CTCCGCCCGCGCGGGTTAATGTTCGTGCCGCGGCCTAATCGTGGATGGTCAGCGCTGATGGAGGTCTCCTGCGGCGCGCCCGCGGCCCGGACACACCGTGGCGCCCCCCCCCCCCCCCCCCCCCACCCTGATCGCCCCACGAGCTGCGTGCAGTCGTGCCGGGTGCGAGGCAACCTGAACCGACGCGTCACGCTTTGTCCGCGTGTTAGGTGTAGGTTTGTTTCTACCCTGGTCTGTTCTTCAAAGTCGGGCTACTCTGTATATCATCTACTGAAATAGTACGTGAATGTTTTGAAGGGTCGTGTACATTTATGGGGAAATGGTGTGCTTCCTAATGGTAAGAAAAACCGGGTCCATAGGCAAATCATGTTGCCACGGTCAGATCATTTCGATGCAGGTGGTTATTGTCTATTCCAAATTTGTCCAGCGAGACAGATATTCTTTACACACGTGGACTTTGGGCGCAAAATGACCACTGAAGTCGAAAAGACACGTGGACTTGAGGCTATCACGGGTATCGCCGCGTGTGTCTCGGTACTGTAAAACAAAGCGGCTTGAATCAAACGAGAGGCTAATGTCTAGCTTCACTGCCTTCTACTCTTTTCGATGTCACGTGCTATGACCGGCGAAGTACGACGTAGGAAAATTGTACGTTTAGAATGTCGACCACGGCGAACATTGCTCCACCTTCAACGCCGGCTGGCGCAGGACAGTATTTAGAGGCCGTGGGGCAGGCTAGAAGCCCGGGGGTTCCATTGCCTGTTAACGTAGCACCACGTGGGGCTAACTGCCACCGGGGGCGATTTTGCTTTCCCCTCACAGAGGGGAAGACTAGCCACAGACAGCTCGACCTTGACGTTACACGAATGTCCCGCAAAACTCCGAGCGTGCGGAGGGAAGCATTCGTTTGTGAGGGCACGAGGCGACGGATGAAAGTCTAGCGAGCTTGTCTCTGCGTGAAATCGTCCGCAGAGCAGACCACTTAAAAATGAAAAATGTGTAGTTAACTTTGCAGTGCAAAAATGCACTTTGTATGTGCATGCATCTCACATTTGCCAAAATGATTGTACTTTGACGACTTAGTGATCGCTTACAATCCTGTAAAGTTACGACATGATGAAGTTTGGATTTACGCATGTTTCTCTCGTCGCATTAGAAAAACCCTGCAAATCAGGATTATATTCGATATGCTAACAAGCCATCCTGGTGAGGTCCACCGCTGCTTTCCCCAGCGCCAGGTCGCTCCCGGCGCCGGCCGCTGGCCCTGATGACCGCCTGTCGGCCGGCCCGCTGACGCGGCGCGGCGCCGGGCCGGGCGGGCGGCGCGGGCGCCCGCAGCGCCGCCGCGCGGCCCGCCCGTTAACCACACGTCCGGCCGGCGCGGCGCCGACAAATCAGCGGGCTGGCGACGCCGCCGGCGCGCCTGGCGGCGCAACTATTTGTAATTGAAATTAACGAGACCCTCTTGCGTGGCGCGGCCTGGGCGGTCGGGCGACGAAATGAGGGTGGCGGGGCGGCAGGTGCCGGCGCCGCCGCCGGCCCGGCACCCCGGGAGCGACCACTAATGGGCGCCGGCCACCGAGCCGACCCGCCGCTCCGCGCTGGCCGATGCTAATGCCGCCTGATTTATGCCGGCGCATAACGAGTTTTTCAATCAGGTACGCACACTGCGCAGTGTTCTCGGTGTTTTGGCTCTTGACGTGGCGTGGGTGCGTCTTTTGTCTGGAGGGTGATGCGTCTTGGTATGGACCGGCTGTATGTCTGGTGGTGAGTACAGCACGAGGAAAGAATGTGCATTTACATGAAAAGATCGATGCGGCCCAAGAAATAAAACGGCACGAACCTGACACAAACGGATGCAATATTCGCAATTTATGTGGTTAAGCCCGCGCCGTGCCGGGGTTTGGGAAAGTTGACTTCAGCCTACGGTTCAGCCTACGGCACAGGCAAAAAACGAACACCCAAAACTACATTACATTTTCAGCATATGCTAGCATATCAATTTGGCATTCTCTGTGCAAATTCAACGTTTTGAATTACTAAGATGAGTCGCCTAGGTCAGGTCAAAAAAGTCAGTCAACCGCTAAAAAAACTTTAACCACGCGACTTTTTGTGGGTCATTTGTCATTGTTAAAACTTACTATAGTAATAGAGCATGATGATACCTACAGTGCGTATTTTCACATTTTTTCGAAGCGGGCGAGACCAGTGACCTGAACTTAAGTTAATTTTCGTTACTGCTTATAAATAATTGCAAATTTGCATGCGTTTTTGCACTTTTGATGTTTGTATATGAGGAACAGAGAACTAACTCACATGCTCAACCATCATATGACCACAGAGTATATGACCTTGGTCCAGGACATGACCCGCTTCTATGGGTGTCTTCAGGAAAACATGCGCTGGGCTCAAAATTCCGATAGGCAGTTTCATGTTTCAGTTTTGGATGCAGAATTCGAATGCTCACTGGAAATATGTGATACCATTTTAATGAAAAATGAGCACAGATCATGTCATGTGAAGGCATTAAAGGTTATAGGAGATCATCAGTGGCTTATGCTGTCAGTAGCGGAGAGGCTAGATGAACGTGTGTGACGCATGTAAGCACCCTTTTATCGTGTTTGTGAAGCTGACGACGTCTAATTTCATGTGCCAACGTGCTTGTTTTCTGTTTGTCACAAATACATTGCCAAGCGTCGAAGGAACTACGTATAACGTCTACAAAATATATGCAATTTTGTGTACCTGCGGATGTACAAAACACCATTTTTGACAACAGAAAACAAACAGGGACCTCACATTTGATTTCAAGTCAATAATTTGGTGTGTACTCTTCATGATTTAACGAGACCTTCACAGCGGTGTCCTGATATCGCATGATGCTACCAACAGTTTCCATACGTATTTTCTTATTTGCTTGCATAGTTGTTTTTCTCCTTCGGTGTCGCTCCTCAATTTTGCGTCATTAGCATTATGCTCGCGGGTGTTGCATGAAAAGGAACGCCTTAAAACCTTGCATGTCTTCCCAACATTTGACTCTTTGTGGAGCTTCTGGGTGCAGTGGCAGTGCAGTATGCAATTGTACCAGGGTACGTAAATTGTGGCATGCACCAGCAAAGGAGTAAATACAAAGTAAAGCTACCGACGGCGTCGAAACAGCACAAATCGTTGTTGAACTTAGCTTAACTTAGCGTGACCAGTGTGATGCCATGACACCCTGAGATGCTTGCAGACAGACACTACTTGGAAATAGGACTTTCATAGGGCTCCGGCCATTAGTAGAGCGCATGCTCCAGGGCTCTCCTCTAATCATGATCTAGGCTGCTGATTGCGGATTACACAGACATCCCAAGATGGATAGGTGGATTTCGTTTTAAAAAAGGTGAGACGCCCGCACAGAAGCACAAAATAATATGTTATAATGCTAATCCGTTAATTATCACCCAAATCTGTTGTAACATGGCACAACACGTCTCGACAGATGACGCATCTTAAGGACTTGGGTTACATTCCTCAGCTTTTGACGAGCGCCTCAATTAAAATTTTGTTTTACTCCAGCATTTGCATGTTTGGCATGCCCAAGGTCACCATTTGTTCCGCTGTCTTCCAAATTCTGAGCTTGCCAAAACCTCATAGATGCGAATACCGACACGTCACAATAAACGCCTCCTTCAAAATCAGTTGTGCAGATATCTAGAGGTTGTCAGCCGGCTCACAAAGACGGCATCAAATGTGTAAACATAAAATATAATGGTGTATATGGTTTCTACAAGAATCCATATGATGGACGCAAGAAAGCAGCCAACCATATTTATTACAACCCGTGGATTGCATTATGAAATTTAATTTAGAATGCATGAGTGCAAATTTTAAAATCCACTCCGGCCACGTCAAGAAAATGCATACCGAACTCTACATAAAAAATTGTACAGATACATCAGTGAAAAATGGAAAACAATAAAACCTGCAGGTTTCAGTCTTATTTTGCATCAGTTTGGGTCATATCAAGTGCTTCATTGCATGCGCAAATCATGGTATACTTTCTCAGCATACATTCGCTAACAATGAAGTAGGAGCAGTTAAAAAAATATAGTTATAAGATAGTCTGGAATGGTCCACTCACATCAAACATATTGCTCACGTGTTGAGCCAAATTCTGGCCTATATGGCAGTTATGCTTTCTCCACACCACTCAAGCGTTGCGTGAAGTAGGCCAATACGTGGCTTTGAAACAAAGCTGCACTTCCAGATGTAGATCATCATTATTCCCTAAAGCATTGCGTAAGTTATCAATCATGCACTTTTCGCTAATGGCCACGGAGTGACCGACTCGTGGTGAGTTTTAAGCTGTGATTGTTTTTGGAAGCGGTTGTGAAACCCTTGCTAATGAGCAAACATTAACTGGAGCGACAATAGCTGCCAGTAAACAAATATGAACACTTTGGGAATATGAAGGAAAAGAACAAATCGATATGATAGCAGAGAAAAACCAAACTATAGGGGGTCATCAAAGTCAAGCGAGGAATGCCGAGAATGTTGAGCTAGCATATTTAGGAAGTCAAAAAGGTCTTTAAGACATTTCATCTATCGAAGCAATCTGACTGGCTGAACATTTTCACTGTCCTTTCCGGGTGCAGTCTGATCACTATGAGACACCAATTGGTTATCTGGTTTCCCTTTTTGCAATCCTGATTGCTACCAATGGGGCGCCAAGCATGGCATGTGGGCTAATATTACTAGGAGGGCATGCTTTATGCGATTACGTTCACAGCGCTTCATTGAAACTTGAGTATATATGTTTAATCATAGGATATTATTGCCATCTCAGAATCGCGATCTTTCATCACCTTGTTTCTCTTCGGATTCTGTGTGTGCTGATAGGGGGAGGTGTTGGTTGGATCTTATCCTGTTCGTTGCTGCCATATGAAATGGCTGTGCACAAAGTTAAACATTATTACACGGGTCAAATAACTCGCATTGGTACATTGAAACATACTGAAGACGTTTAATTCAATGTATTGTGTGCACAAAACAAGCCCTTTGATGTGCAAACTCCAGTTGAACGTAAACAATTGACATTGCTGAAGTAATACAGTCATTGCAAGCTTCTCTAGACAGTTCCTGTCCACTATCTAGCTAAAACTCGGCAAACACGTCTTGAGACTCTGTGCTCTCCTCCTCTTTTAACACCTCCATCAAAGAAGCATTGTCCTTGGATGACTTCATGTGCATGGAGCTAGCGCAATACTTAACGAACCAACCATCCTTCTCAATGGTCTCGAATGAGGCGCGGTTCGGCATCGGCTTCAAGATCTTGATGATGAGCTCACGACACGCATCTGATACTTGCAGCTGGTATGAGTGCCGTACTGGGAACTGCGGCCCGGCCATCACCTGCTTGACAAGCGTCCGATGGTTGTGGTCGTCGAACGGGAGTCGTCCAAAGACCATGGTGAATAGAATGACGCCCATGCTCCAGATGTCCGCTGACGGGGGATGGTATGGTATTCCCCGCAGAATCTCCGGGGGTGCGTACGGATAGCTACCACAGAAGGTATTACTCGGGTCCATCGGCTGTGAGCGATCGTAAACGCGTGCAAACCCAAAGTCCGTTATTTTAATGTTATTCGCACTGTCTAGAAGAAGGTTTTCACATTTCAAGTCCCTGTGCACGACCCCCTTAAGATGACAGTATTGGATAGCCCCAGTGCATTGTCCAAACCACATGCCGGCGTTGGACTCTTCTATGTGTTTTGATGCTCGAATTGATTTTAAGACATCCCCTCCGCTCGCCACCTCCATAATAAGGTACACGCGATTGGTAGTTTCGATCGATTGAAGGAAGCAAATAATGTTCGGGTGTTTTAAAATTCGGACTGCGTCAATTTCTCTCGGTAAAAACTTATTCACGTAGCTGGCTGGAGATTTCTTTTTTGAAATAATCTTCACTGCCACTTTGCACTTGTGACGCGAAGAAAACGCCATTTTAACTGTGGCATAAGATCCAGTTCCCAGAACAGTTCCAAGAAGGTATCCATGAGCTTCCATAACACTTAGCTTTTTTTCTTCTTGTGGGGCCGTGCTTTTAGATGATTCTGCTGTCGATTCCTTGATTTGCCCTGAACCTTTTGGTGAGATATCTTTTGCATTGTCATCGTTTGTTCGAGGGTCTTCTTGGAGTTTATCAGCTTGCTTGCTACTCGTTGTTTTTGAATTATCTTTTGTAACCTCACCGGTCGCCGACTCCATGACAGCGACATCGGACGCCATGGTGACACAAAAAGTAGGATTTTGCTATACCATCATGCAGTAAAAGCACAGCTTTGCCTCATGACAGTAGTATGTGACACCTAATATCGTAAGAATGAAAGGAATAACTGTTGATTTACGCAGAGAAGTGTCGGGTCAAAATACTTTGCCCTCAGATGCCTCGAATATTTATTGTGTAGAAACTACAACGCACGCTCAGAACTTTGAAAGCAAACCTCCTAATGAGTTGATATTCCGGCGACATGTCTTTATCGAAAGGAATATCAGTAGAAAGTGGTAGGTCAGAAGTAGAGTATCAGAATACCGTGTCGATACAAGTGTGCTGCCAAAATATCAACTCATCTATTTCTCTATTCTCCTGGTTTTCTGTGAGGAATGAGGCTATTACTATTGTGTTCTCTATGTGCATAATGTTCCTCGCAAATGCGCTTGAGAACTTACAAAAACAATTAAGGATGCAAGTTGCCACAATGTCACGCCTGAGTTCATGCACACAAAGTAACATATATATATTATATATATATATAATATCTATATATATATATATAATATATATATATATATATATATATATTATATATATATATATATATATATAATATATATACAAAGTAACATATATATATATATATATATATATATATATATATATATATATATATATATATATATATATATTATATATATATACGATATATACACAAAGTAAATATATCTCTCTCTCTCTCTCTCTCTCTCTCTCTCTCTCTCTCTTCTCTCTCTCTCTCTCTTCTCTCTTCTCTCTCTCTCTCTCTCTCTCTCTCTCTCTCTCTCTCTCTCTCTCTCTCTCTCTCTCTCTCTCTCTCCTCTCTCTCTCTCTCTCTCTCTCTCTCTCCTCTCTCTCTCTCTCTCTCTCTCTCTATCTCTCTCTCTCTCTCTCTCTTCTCTCTTCTCTCTCTCTCTCTCTCTCTCTTCTCTCTTCTCTCTCTCTCTCTCTCTCTCTCTCTCTCTCTCTCTCTCTCTCTCTCTCTCTCTCTCTCTCTCTCTCTCTCTCTCTCTCTCTCTCTCTCTCTCTCTCTCTCTCTCTCTCTCTCTCTCTCTCTCTCTCTCTCTCTCTCTCTCTCTCTCTCTCTCTCTCTCTCTCTCTCTCTCTCTCTCTCTCTCTCTCTCTCTCTCTCTCTCTCTCTCTCTCTCTCTCTCTCTCTCTCTCTCTCTCTCTCTCTCTCTCTCTCTCTCTCTCTCTCTCTCTCTCTCTCTCTCTCTCTCTCTCTCTCTCTCGCCTCTCTTGCGCTACTATCACTGCACTGAGATAGGTAAATACTGGCATAGTTGTTGGCGCGTATAGTTTGAAACTAAATTGCAGCATGATTTGCGATTTACGCATCTGAATTAGTCATTGACGTGTACAACGTTTTCTGATAGCGATACTTAAGCTAATTCATATTCTCATACTTGCAACTGCATCATTTCTCTGTGCATATGCTGGTAATATGGCATGCCACGCAGCTGCATAGTGCATCAAAACATGTCTGTTTTTAACATTAACAACCACAAGTTCGCCTAATTTTGATGAAAACCAACTATCGCGAATATGAACAAAACCCAGACGTAAAACAGCCCACTGCATTCATGACGGAGAAGCCTCGCATCTCGTTCTATGGAAGCGGTTCGTCTGTCCAGATAGCGCCCACGCGATCTGGTTGATTATGGCCGGATTTTAGCACACTACGGGAATTTGATGAGACTTAGACGGAGCAGAGGGCGAGCCACAGCCTTAGCAAGGAGACCCTGGGGTAATAAAGGGCACCCTGCTGGTGAAAGCCCTCGCCCCCCCCCCCCAAAAAAAAACAAGACAGGAATTCACACACTTGATTTCGGGGGACTTGATCTCCCCCACCGTGTGTCAAGTTTAGGTTCTTCACCTGAAACAGCAGCCGAAAGACAACAGAAGATGCGATTCCGTTTGTATTTTGAAGTCAATAAATTGGAGCACGCGGGCGTTAGATAACTGTATTGAATGGCCCATCGGCACAGTTGTTTTACAGTGGTTTATTGGGCACTTTTTTAACTCGTCACTTTCATGCGCTTTGCTGTTTTTTTCCGGGATATGTTTTCGGAGGCATTGAAAACCCCAGGTATTGAACGTGCAATGAAGATTAAAATGGGGTCAAAAAGTTTGACGAAAACTCTAGCCTGGGCATTGATGCTTTTGCTCCCAAAGATTGCGAGCGTGTAGGCTCAGAGTTTTGCTATCTTATTTGTTTCGCCAGTCGACTCTGAAAAAATGGATTTCTTTAAGCAAAGATGCAGTGATCATGTCAAGGAAAGCTTTGACCCCATGTCTTTCCACCCTATTGTGCACCTTGAAGACCCCTTTCCGCTCTCCGGACAAGGGCCTTCGTGAGTAGGACAATCAGTGGCACATTGCCTTTCCAGATAAGGGGCTGAAGGGCTCTTTCATCCCAGCCAGGGGTACTCACCGGCTGTCAATCTAACGAGACGAGGCTCTGGGTCCCTAATAGGTGCGGAGGCCATCAGAGGGATACTTGATGTATCGGGGAGGCTCTCGCACTAGGACAGTTGGATCCGGATCGACGCAGAGGCTCTCACTGGCCCAAAAGTATTCCCTACCAGCGTAGGGTTCCAATAGTCGTCACGGAGAATCCCGTGCGGCTCGTCGGGCCCTGGCTGAAATGGGGTGAGGGCCTCTTCGGTACAGAGGCCCATGACTGACGCTGAACCTCTCATCAATTATGGCGTCTCGACCAATGTAAACTGCGGACCCCGGCCTCATCCATGCCAGGAAAGTGGGCCCACAGAGTCCAGACCGACATTGAGCTGGCTTTTCAGTGTTGGTGGCCCACATGGGACCTTCTGTTGTCTGTTAAAATCTATAGTTCGTAAAGATTAGAAGATTTTGAGGCGTTGCCGAGCCATAGGCAAAGCAGAGCACGGTGATTTTAAATGCATTGCATACCTTTCCAGTCATATGAGTGAGACCAGATCGTCAGGCATCTGAAGATTACTGAAATTCTTAACGTGCCTACAACTCGAACATTCTAGTACGGAGAAGATCAAAACTTTGAATAGCTGTTCTACATTATAGTTATTTCATGTAAGTAAGATTTACTGTCAGGTATAAGGGTGATGCAAAACCTGTCGTTGTGGTTTATTTGCTACACTCCATCCCAAACTCTTACTGTGCTATCCCTGCCATGTACTTCTCCTTGCAATCGCGACGGCTATGTGAACAGCCATGGGACCAGGTGTGTGCGCCGGATAGCCAGTGACATGAAACAGCATAAAACACAAGACGAGACGAAGTACGATGTCTGTGGTCACCAGGGGCAGGGTTACCGAGAGGCTGTCTTGCCTGAGTAAAAGGTCTGTGACACAGCCGAAGTACGCGTTTTGTTTTGCTGTTGACTTTAAAGGCCTGAGCTTTAATTAAATATTCATGTATCGACATCCCATAAAATCTAAAAAACACCTTGAGCAAGGTGACTTCCAAAGGAACGTTTCTTTTAGGGCTTCCGAGCGGAAATGATAATCAGAGTGCCTGGCCAACATGTGCACCCTTAACAGCACATCAGACACCTATATCATTTTAGCAAACGTTCAGTGACAAGTTAATGCTGGAACCTCGCCTGAAATTTGGGAAGCGACAAGACTGCGACTGGACGCTTTACGTCCCATTGCAGTGGAATAATGGCAGGGTGAGCCAGTCATGATCTGTGGAGATTTTGAGAGGAACAAATCTGCAACAGCATGAACAAGGCACGTACCACATATCGCAATTTAGCTTGGTTAAATCGCGACAAAAAAGACGACAAATGGGTTGAAGGAGTCTGGAGCGGACCCAACTCTCTCCACACTCACATACTTTCCGTCCCAGCGCCATACTGGGTGTGTTCGCGTTGGTCGCTGCCTGCCATGCCTGGTAGGTGGCACTACCTGGTAGTCCGCTCGCAGCGCCACCTAGGCTGCTTGACTCACTAGCAGCGTCATCTACCACCTGAGCTATTTAAAGGTCAAGGCCACATTGGAGCAGCGGTCAGTACGAAATGCCCCGGCGACGTTCAACGGTTCATGCTGACAATTGCGGATATAACCATTGGAGTAGGGGGAGGGGGGGGGGGCACATGTTCCCTCCGATATGTCCAGTGTCATTTTGTCCGCACGAATCTTACCCACAGTTTTATTTTACGTTTCCCCACCTAAAGTGCCACTTTCAAGTGAGGTTGTTCCCTCAGTTTTCAGTTTTAACCCCAAGCATGACTTGTTACCGCTCCCCCGACCTCAGGGACGCAGTAAGGCCTAAGCCATCATTGGCGCGAATGCATGCAGATACACGAATTCAGAGGTATAATTTTCACATGATAAAATTTGCACGATGATTTCAGGAAATGTTAGGCATCGGCCTTTGAAAGCGTGGCAGAAATCTGTGTAAGCAGGGCGATCACCGTTCATATTGACTAGTATATGCTGACCTGACCACTAGTGAATACGGCCCAGACTCACGCTTTGTGTTCACCATCGTCTTTATTATGCAGCCGCCATGCAGTCAAATCTAAAATTTAGACAATGCTGATGACGTGTAATAAATGTCTGCCTCTGGTCATCATCACATTTTAACGCTCCAACCAGAACCTACGATGTGTTGTTTCGAAAGGCTGCACCAGATTTACTGCCTGGCCAGGTTATGCAGCTGAGCAGCGGATCTCTCGCTGAACCGAATCCTCCCGGAGTGTCTCGGACGAGGTTGTTGGTCGAGCAAGTCTTACTTGACCTAGGACACGGCTTTCAAGTTGAACGAAACTGCCCTGCCTGCCCCTGTCGTCGCGCTGTTTACAAGCTGATATTTACGTGAACACTGATCACAGTCCACGCTATTTGCAGCGTTAAGAAGCGCTAAGAACGCAATTCCTTTGATATCTCCAGAATTCGCAACATAAATACATCATAGCTGTCAGATCAGACGAATTCATCTCGCAACGCTGTCATGTCATCAAAGTGGAATACAAAAACTACAAAGCGGTGAAGAAACACAGGTCTAGAACGGACGATCGTCCCGACAAGGCGATGCCACAGCGACCTAAAACCAGAACATCTGTCTGAGAAGAGATCCCGCCATGACAAAAATCCCATGTTGGCCATTGTCAGTGGTCTGGCACAGAACTGAATCCAGTTCGAATCGGAGTAACGTCCGCAACGGTGCTGATCATGAATTGCCCACTTAAGTTGCTTGCATTATTGCGGTTTTTCAGCCAGATAGAGAGTGGAAATGAATTATGCAGGGCAGTTTAATGCACCTTCTATAAATTAAATATTTAGCTTTATGTCTAACCGTATGGAGGGCAGCAATCAACTGGAGAGTAGCAATGTCGCCTATTTAAAAGCAGGTCTTTAAAACAAGTTGCTCAGCCCATCCGTAAAGACAATAAGTGCAACGAAACGTGGCCAGTATTTCAGCAAAAATGACATGTTTACTTTTGATACGTTGATCGCGTTGAGTAAAAATCAAAGTGAACAATTTCGCCCACAATAATGAGTGGACTCCTCTTCGCACTGCGCTCAAGCAAGGTTACTGGTGGATAACCCAGGCGTGCTAACTACTGGCCGTGTTTGATTATTAACCTTTTACGAATAACAGTCATGACAGAGACAAGCAATTCATCTGCATGGATTGAAGAAGGGTTTAGATTCATCCGTGCACCCTTAGCTGTCATTTGTAGTTCACATGATGAACAGATTCAGGCATCACCTTGCCGGACCGAAGCCACAAACAGGCACAAACAATCTCTGTGGTTGGCGCGCCCATAGATCGCCAATTACTCATCGACTTGCCAATCTGAATAAGGCGTCACACCTGTTGGTACTGCAGGGTCGCACCCACAGAACGGCTCATACACACTTTATGCTTCGCGGCTTGTAATAAGCTTAAATAATGTGGCTCCACACGACGCCTTTCTGTCGCTTAAAAGAAGCCAAACGGCGCATCCTGCAATAACTGAACAGACGTTGATTTTCATTCGGTCCTGTTCGCAGTTCTCTTCCGTGTCGAAAGTGAAGATCTACGCATCTGCGATTTGATAAATGAAACAGACCTGTCTTAAGCCGCATTGTTTATCCGCTTGGATGGTCCCTGAGCTGCTGGACAGTGGCACTTTTTTGTGTTCAACGCTTTCTGGTTCGCCGATGACCTGTTCACATGTCTGAAAAGGGAGACAGGATTAGTTTGCTCTTGTCTGAGTTGTAAATCCATGACATATCACAGTTTCCCGAAGCTGTCAACCCAAATAATGTCAACATGCTGGATGACAGAAGTCTCCCTTTTAATCACTGAGGCATTTTGTGTGCTCTCGGGATGGATTTCAATGCAACAAGAATGGCATTTGGCAGTGCATTACCTGCAAGGTGACACGTTCTCATGTTCGCAAGACTGCTGGCCTATTCATCTCTTGGGTAGACTTTGCCCGCTTTTTTAATTGATACATCCCCGAACTACAACAATAGTTTCCATTGGCAGCACTATATGATGTTTGTATGTATCATATCCTGTTTTGGCCCTGAAATCGCCTACGCAAGGCCTTTTTGTTATATATGAATAGCCACATTTGTGATTCAATATTTTTATTCATCAGAAACATGAGCAACTATGAGATACAGAAGGTTGTGCTCATGACGTAATGCTGATTGTGATCTTCGCATTGCCGCTGGGTCAGGGTCGTGAAACTTAGTTTTATCCTCGTTAGTGTTCTGATAGGAACATATGGCAGAACAACGCGAATCCTTTTTAGCCGGATAATCCAGATTCGCCTGGCACGAATGTTGCATGTGTTCACACTGGCCCATCAGTCGATCGTTTTTACAAAGGCAAATTATTTTCTCACGACTCATCTTTCACATTTTAATTCAAAAACGTCCGCGCCACCGTCGCTGTGTTTCTAAATATCGAAAGGAAATGACCTAAAATATTTCTAGTACCTTTCTTAACAAGTTTGAGTACAAAAACGGCTCTTAAATAGCCGCCTTTAGTGCGTTTCAAAGTATTAAAAGCAAATGAGTCAAGATATGTTAAACACTGTTCTTGAAAAGTCAAGTACGGCTATAAAACAAAAACCAAAACATGCACGAACTGCAAGGATAAAATAACGCACTAAACACTTGTCTCTGCCTTATCATTCACACAGCATAATTCCCACTCAAGTTTTGCAATAGATGGCGTAAATTTGATATGTTTTCAAGTGCTCTGCAAGATATCATTGAACTAGACTGACTGCATGAATGGTATCAGATAGTCTTGGTAGATTTACCCCAAAATACATTTGAACTTTTTCAAAACACCTGTCAGCCATTTGTCCGTTTTCCAACAGCACAATGGGTTTTTTCAGTGAACGATCCCCAAAAGGGCGTCATTGCCTCATTCCAATCAATGTAGTATCATTGTAGTATTCATTCGTGTTCCAGGAGCTTCATTTGTGCGGACGTGCATTGTTGTGACGAACGCGACGCATCTCATCTGGATCGAACGAAACTCAGTGATTTAGGCAGGGTTTGTACTAGGTAGCTAACGCATATCTTCAGGTAAATTCTTTCTTTTCTTTGCATGTAATCAAGTAGGTGTACTTTGCCACTTTTTCATGTGAAATAGTTAAATCTAACGTAGCTTAACCAAACCAGTTCATTCCGGGGTTCAGAGGGGAGATGGAACAAATCAAGGATCTCGTAGCTGAGGCGGTGGGAAAAGAGATGGAGCTATTTAAACGTGAGATAGCTTCCCTGAGAGATGAAACTCAGAAACTGAAACGGGAAAACTCCGAGCTTCGTGAAATGGTGAAACATCTGGAGGCTGCCGTCGATGAGACGGAGCAATACTCGCGTAAGTCTTCCCTCATTCTGAGTGGAGATGGCATCCCTGAGCCAAAGGCAGATGAGACAACTGAGGAGACCAGAAGTGTTGCCCTCAAGGTCATCAAAGAAAAACTCAAGGTAGGCGTAAAGGGTGGCGTGGTGGCGTGCCACTGTCTGAAAAACAAAAAAAGGGTGCTGGTGAAATTCCAGGAGATGGATGATCGGAACAATGTTTACCAGGCTAAATTCGGGCAGACTGATGGTCCAGGCATCATCATTCATGAAAACCTGACTGATAAGCGAGCTCGACAAGTCAAGGTTCTTGCCGATATGAAGCGTGAAAATGACCAGGTCATGAACTTCCGCACTAAAAACAGCATCATCCTGGCAAGGAACTCACGTGACAAAAGATATGCACCGCATACAGCCATGGTTCACACGTGAGCAGATCATTAAAGCCATGACAGACTCACCCACACTGTCCTCTTCAGCGAACATAAGTGTAGCAGGCCAGAATAGATTAATATACTCTCAGACCCTGAACCGCATTCCTGCTGGTCATGTGCTAAACAGAGCTGCTAATCTTGAAGAGTTTGTAACAGTTGAAGGCAGGCGGGCTGGGCCTGAGACCAGGCTCTCAAGTTCTAAAAATTAGTGAGTCCATTGGTTAGTGACGTCACCTGGATAGGCCACCGCTGGCACATTCCTCAGTTAACTGCCCATATATTCATGATTTTCTTGAAAACTGGTGTATGACACCATGGCTGTGATGTACATACAACTCACTGTATTATAATGCCTTATTTCTAGTAAAGAGGAATTTGCCAGTGGTGCCTGGCTTGGTGGCTTATGTTGCCCATAATAATGTTTGTTTATTCTAGGTACTTATCAAGCTCATTGCCTGTGTTCTCATGTCATGCCTGCCTGCTAAAGCAGTGACTAGCAGAAAAGTCCCATCAACACAATCTGTTTTTGGCATCTATCATTCAACACACGCTTTCTCATTTCAAAGTCTGGATCATCATATCCAAAAACATCTTAAACTGATAAAAATAATCTCCCTTTTCTGAACTCCCTCTATGACCTTCATTCTTGTTCATCCACATTTCTTTACCTTCCTTTCCATCAACACCTTACTGTATGGGTTCAACCTCAAATAATAAGGTGTTTAATCCATTTGCTTTAAACATTGATGGTAGTGATCATTCACCATCATATGATGAATATGAAAAACTAAGAGAAGCATGCACATTCTATTTACCTGAAAAGATAAAAACTGTTATTCCACATAATACCAGTGCACTAAACCTCATGCATGTTAACATTCGCTCAATCCTGAAGAAGCACGATGATCGAAGTAGTCTACTTGCCCAGACTGATATAACATGGCATGTCATTTCTGTATCTGAAACATGGCTGTCTCCAGCTTTGGAATCTCATTATGACTTACCTGGATACTGAGCTTTCTACTGCAGCAGATCAAAAGGGGTAGGTGGTGGATCAGCAGTATACATTGCTGATCATCTTCATCCTATACAACTTTGGAACCCAGTTTTCTCTACAGCTGAAGTGGTTTGTGCTGAACTACTCTGTGATAATGCTAATATTATCATTTGCCAAATTTATAGGTCACCCAACACTGACGAACACCACTTCAACTCAGAGCTAGAGCAATGCCTAATTTGGCTTAATAAAATGAACAAAGTTACATTTATTACTGGTGATTTCAACTTTGATCTGTTCTCACTTGATATCAATCCTAATGTGCATGCATTTTTCACCAACATGTGTTCAAATGGCTTCTTTCCTACAATATCCAGGACAACTCGGTCTTGCTATCCATCATGCACTCTTCTAGATAACATATTTTGCAATGACTTATTAAAGTGATGCATACAGGCATTCTCCTCCATGATTTGTCTGATCATTTCCCTATTTTTGCTTCCACGAACTATGCCTCACACCCACACTCACCTGATGTTCAAACACCCATTACCACATTTGATTACAGAAGGCTGGAAGAATTTAAACAATTCCTTGTTGACCATCTGGTTGATATTGAAAATGAGCCAGAACCTGATGCTATTGCAAATCAAATTGTGTATATTTACAATGCTGGGATCACCAGGTTTTCTCACACGAGGCACATTTCTAGAAAGACCAGCTCACGCAAACCATGGGTGTCACCTGCACTTCTTCTATCAATTACACATAGAAGCAAGTTATTTGAACAGAAATTGAAGAACCCCAGTCCCCACAATATTGCAACATACACTTGCTACCGCAACATTCTAACTACATCTCTTAGGCCAGCCAAAAAGAAATACTACAGTAACGAACTCAGTAAACATTCTGGGAATTCCAAGGAAACATGGATAACATTACACACTCTCATCAATTCAAAACAAAAAAAGGATGCAGATCCAACCAGGATTATTGGTACTAATAACAAAATTATCACAGACGATCCGGATATCGCAGAATCATTTAACCTCTTCTTCAGCGAGATTGGACAACAGTTAAAAGACGAGATGCCTAAATCATCTTCCGACCCCCTCCAGCTCATCACAAATGTCGAAAATGAAATGGATCTGCCCCCCACTAATGAACAGGAATTAATTCTTCTCATCGATGGGCTAAACAACGTCGGAGCTGGAGTCGACAATATTAATTCAAAAATATTCAAGTTATCTTATAAGGTTGTACTCAAACCAATTCTCCATCTTTTCAACAGCTGTTTGTCCTCGGGGATATTTCCAAGCATTTTCAAAAGGGCCGTGATTAAACCCATCTTTAAAAGTGGGGACTCGCAACTTGTAGATAATTACAGACCTATCAGTATTTTGCCGTTTATGTCCAAAATACTTGAAAAACTTATATATAATAGACTCGTCCTTCGTCTAAACCAAAACCAGCTAATTCACCAAAATCAGTTCGGATTTCAGAAGAACAAAAGTACTTGTATGCTAATTCTTCTTCTGCAGGAAACTATTACAAAGGCTTTTGAAAGTGAGGAATATGTGTTAGGTTTGTATTTAGATATGAAAAAAGCCGTTGACACTGTAAACATTAGCCTTCTTCTACGTAAACTTACTAAATATGGTATTCGACGAAAATCTCATGAAATCATTCCTTCATATTTGTCTGGCAGAACTCAATGTGTAAAAATAAGGAATGATCTATCAACAATCAAAAACGTAACAAAGGGGGTACCCCAAGGATCCATTCTCGGCCCAATCCTCTTTTTAATGTACATAAATGACCTACCTAAATTAAGCAGTAACATGATTTGTCTGTCTTATGCTGATGATACTGCGATTGTTTTCAAAAATAAAAGTATTGTCGAACTTCAAAACAATGTCAGTACGCTTTTGCTTCTAATGACTTCTTGGTTTGCTGCTAATTTTCTCTCCCTGAACGTATCAAAAACATTCACACAGCATTACACAACCCTTTCTTCGCACTTCCGACTAAATGTGCAAATTAATAATTCACCTATTGAAGAGAAAAAAGAAATTAAATACCTTGGTGTAATCATTGACAAATCTCTTAAGTTTACAAGCCACACTAATTTTGTTGCGAGCATAGTAAGTAGAAATATTGGAATAATAAGTAGGGTTAGGTACTTTATTGATAAAACAACGTCACATCTACTCTATAACACTTTGATTCTTCCTTACCTAAATTACTGCTGCTTGGTTTGGGGCATGAATTATGCTTCTCAACTAGATCGATTGGTAATTTTGCAAAAAAGGGCTGTGCGTCTTATAGAAAATGTGTATCCTCCGCAAAGCTCAGAGCCAATGTTTAAACGATGCAAAATTTTGAAACTATCAGATATTGCTAAATCTCAAATGTTAATTGTGATGCACAAATTTTTAACTTCACAGCTCCATGCATCATTCGATTTAATTTACAATCTCTACGAATCCAATGACATGGATATGAGGCGAGCAAAACATTTAGAACCCTTTCTCAACAAACCCTTTCTCTTATCGTAATTATGGACTATTTACAGCATCCTGCCTTGGCCCTAAGCTGTGGAACGACATTATGGTTCCATATTTTCCAAGAATAGCTGATATTCCTGTATCGAAAACCATCATTAAGAACATCATCCGCAAGCATTTCGTGAACACATATTAACGTAACAAACATATTTGAAGACATTGCCATCCTTGTGCTGTACATATCCAACGCACTTCATATTTGACCTCCTTCATGTTTCATTATCAATTTCTGATATAAAGTCATGCACATATACCCAGATTAATGGCGCTGGCTCCGGGAGTTCTCCCAGCAACAAGCTCTGCTTAGCTGGGTGGAGTCCCTGGAAATCCAGCCCAAAACCCAGCACAAAAATGACCAGGTAATTGCCCCCTCCGACTTGTGACTGTATAACCCTTACTAACACCGGGAATTTAGTGGTTGTAGATTATTGGGCGGTTGTAGCGGGCTGTCATTAGCTGATTTTGGCTAATGACTACTTTAAGCCTTTTCATCTATGATTTTTCCCTCCCTCTCACATAACACAATTCCCTCGGGTTTGCTCCACCTCCTCGCCTGTTTTTGTTTTTAAGTTTGTTTCATCTTCCTAGCTGGGAGTGCCGCGACTTGATTTTATGTTTTCTGGTGTTAACGTACGGTTTACTGCGTCGCTGGGATTGAGGGAGGGGCACTCCTGGTTACCTGTTCTTGGGTAACGGCGTAGAAAAAAAAGAAAAAAAAGTAACGACTTGCGCCAAACTAATATCATCAGTGTCTGCTGCAGTGAATACCAGGTCAGTTAAGCTTGACGCGACAGCAAAAGTTGACTTACGTTTTCTGTGAAAGATTCCAGATACGTTACAGACCAAATCACACTGAAAAATTCAACACCAATCGCATTACTGTTTAAGCAGCTTCAAACAGGCTTCCTCTTATAGTTACGTTATACTTACTCGTGTTTACACGAAATGCGGCTTCTTTGGTCTGTTGCAGCACGCTCGGTTGTGACAGGCAGCAGGACCCGTGCCGAATCTGGCTAGAAACCAAACTAGTGCAGGAAGCTCTGGATCCAGTACGATAAGCGGCTGGAGAGTGGGAGGATGATTTCGTCGTAATTGCGGGCCGCATTCAACATGATAAGTACAGGAATTCTAGTAAGTTGTTGCCGTCAACATTGTATTTGGACATCGAACGGCCCCGTTTTCAGGTTGGACATGCTTCCACACACCGACACGCTCGAGGCACATTTAGGCCATGGCCGGGAGCGCGTGTACCGCATCTGCGATCAGAAAACGGTCACATTTCAGTGCCTTTCAGTCAGCTGGTCATTTCTTCGGGTTTAAACCCCATCTCCAAGAGTCTTTTGCCGGCGGAACAGGGTTGGAGAGCTTATTTTCAGGCTTATGCACATCAAAACTTCGCTCATTCATGCCGCGATGTTACCAACAGTGTGGCATTGGGCTACGTTGTCCTTCAAGTACGCCAGAATAGTTGTGATAGCTATAACACATGTCATGACCACATTCAATTTGGGAAATAAACTGTCTCCAACTGAGTGTCCTTCTCAAACGAGCTAAACTAGCGCTACAGATGATGTTAAGGATAGCTTATACGACCAGTATTTGGCATCAGTGTCATATGGCTTACGGAAAGAGCAGTCAGCACAATCCCGAATGAAATAATTCTAGCATAAATTGCTCAGCTTGAACGTCTACGCCGAGTTTTCCTGAGAGGCTGGTCAGGGAGAAGAACGCGCAGGAAAGCACCAGGCACACGTGGTCCAAAGTACTTTTTCAGAATAAGCAGAGCATTCTGATTCCATGCACAGCTGTTTTCATGATAACAAAACCTTAACCAGCTGAGGCATTATCACTTTTGAAGTTGTCTTCCGCCGAAGCGCAATATAGTTAACACCATCACAACCGATCATACCAGTAAGCGCTGTTGCCTGCCAAAAGGTCCGCGCAAACACTCAAACTTTGCCGAATTATTGCGGCATAAAGAACAGACTCAAGGCGATTAGAGGCAAAGACAAAACGGAGAATGGCCCAACAAAAAATAAGTTTCGACAGTCCGTAGTAACGGGCATGCCAATTGCACCACAGACACATCCTGACTAAGATTATTTGGTGAGCGGCAGTGAATGATGGATATCACCGATTCGTACGCACCAGTACGTTGACTCGGGGTTGGGGGTCCAGTGGGTCGTAAATTTCAAGACCGGCCTCAGTGTCCACACATGAACAGCTTGCCATCTGTAGCCTTGAACCGAACTGCGCAATTGCGCCATGCTGCTCAGCTACCGCTGCGTAGACAAATCACGTCCTATGTTCACCCGTAGCTGGCCAACAACATGCCTGCATGGCTGTCAACCCCTCAGCAGGCAGGAGCAAACATGCATTTTGTCAGGCTTACATGAGTTTTTGGCTGTTAGATTTATTTTTGTTAGCAAGAAATAATAGCGGGCCCAAAGTAGTAGCGGAAGTAATAGCGGTAGTAGCGGAAACTTGCCTATCACTGAATACAAACCTGGTGAATCAAGAGGAAATGCTGCAACGTTACATTTATCTAAATTTAACTTGCCTTTAAGTGAGCTTGGAGCTCACCAAAAATAGTCTTTAATCAGGCTCGGAGACGGAACTCTTTCAAGGAATTGATCCCAGTAGCATGTCACTGAAGAGGTAGCTTGCATGACGGTGCGGCATTTTCCCTTCTTTCATATTGTATCTTTTTTTCCAGAAGATTGTTCTTTACGCTGCAATAATTATGTAAATATGTGGTATTTGATGCAACGTTTGAGCCAGCACGAAACGTCCCTACTGCACTGTTCCTCTCCAGAACGAGCAAAAAATGCGATTCAAACCAAACTTTCTTCTTCAAAAATCCGGAGCAAGAAAACATTGAAAGTTTCATGCAGATTATTTTGGGTTTGTGTTCAGCCGTAATGCTATGAAATAAGACCATGTCATAATGAGCTTCTTGTTAAGACGTGCTCACCTTCCATAGGGCTCCATCCGTCCTAGCCAAAGCATTCCCTCAACTACAAAAAATTAAAGAGAATATGCTTGCAATAGGAAAGACCCAGCATGAGGAGAGTACAAAAAATAATTTGACAGATTGTTATTCGATAAGAAATGTGTAAGGTTAGTCCGAGCAGGTCGGATGCAGCAGAGGCTTTGTTTCAGTATGGCAGTCATCCAGTATTGCGACCGCCCACCGAATGCGCAAGGCATGAGGAGCAATACTTTAGCCGCTCGTTGATTGCGGGGATGAAAAGCTTCCCAGGCCAGGACAGCCCTTTGTTTCTGTATGAATTTTATCCAGGATAACGACCGCTCACCGAAGGTGCAAGGCATGAGGAGCAATACTTCAGCTGCTCGTTGATTGTGGGGTTGAAAAGCTTGTAACTCTGAGAACCGCTGCATTTGATATCCACTAAAGGAGGTAAAAAAAACTTAAAGAAACGCAGTCCTGGAATGGGCCGCGCGCCGCTGGTCGCAGGCGCGGAAGGTGCTCTTAGTGCAACTCGCACCAGTCCTCAGCAGATTCTGCCGCCGTCACGATAATGGCAGTCGCGATGATGCCAGATGACGCAGACTAGCACTACACTCTGAGGCTATAAAGAAGAGAAGTGTCGTGCTGTGACGAAAAGTTGGCAGCGTAATGTGGTTCAGAATATAAGTAACACTGATCTCTCCATTACGCCCTGATGGTGTTACAGTGGAAATAACCACTGTCAAATGCAACCATCAGACTAACCTGGTCCCAACTGGCTCCAAAATTTTACCAGAGCATGTTTTTGAATATGCCTCAAAGGTGGAACACTCCCGTTAAAGGGAGGACATACCCGCGTACCTCGCGCCGTACGCGCTGGTTTGCGATGATCCGGCAGCAGGTCGTCACTCCCCAGTTCCTGTCATTCCCCGGGTTGGTCGAGGAAACTCCTAGCGAATATAAAAGTCTACATAAAAGCCTAACACGATTATTTTTTGGGTTTCAGTTCATTTCACACCCAATCACAAGCATATTGACTGTGGCAAGCCGTCGGGACGTAGCATCATAACAGCGGCATCTGCCGCAGAGACCCACCCAGGTGTTGACCTGGGTGGTGGGTGGAACTCTCACCCACAGAGACTGACCTATGCCGTGGGGCGGGATAAAGACAATGTTGGATAGGCTGGGGTGATGTTGAGCGGTGCTGGACGGGCTGGGGTGATGTTGAGCAGTTTTGGGCGAGCTGGGGTGATGTTGGACGGTGTTGGACGGGCTGGAGTGATTTTGAACGGTGTTAGGCGGGCTGGAGTGATGTTGAGCGGTGTTGGGCGGCCTGGGGGGGATGTTGGATGGTGTTGGGCGGGCTGGAGTGATGTTGAGCGGTTTTGGGCGGGCTGGGGGGATGTTGAATGGTGTTAGGCGGGCTGGGGTGATGTTGAACGGTGTAGGGATGTCGGGCGGCCTCTGTGCCGCTGACCGCAAAGGTCAGAAACAGCAGCGTGACCTCCGACCAGACCAGCGTGTCACGTCACTGTGCCGGAGGCGTCATCCAGCCAGCTCTTGAAGGCCGACAACTCAGCGCAGGATCTCTGAAATCATAACCCCCTGTCGCAGCAGAGCCCTGTCGGCCAGATTCCAACAAATATCCAGGGCGAAACATATGAGTGTCATTTCTAGGGCTCCAGGCCGCACGCATGTTACGAAATGTTCCGTGTTCGATGCTGTTCCGACTAAAATGTAGAAACTGCGTCCATAAACAACGCGACTGGAAACGCACGGCCCGTTTCACCGCTATGTGCGTTTACTCGTCTGCATCACGCTCGTCTGCTCTCTGACCGTCGCATCCATCGACCGGCATCACGATTGCTGCTGGGTTTTGGACAGCGTCGGGGACTGGGAGTAGCACGCGTCGGCAGTGCAGTGCAGAGCAATGGAACTATGTTGCATGCCTGCAGCACACCGTCGGACCCATTTCGAGGCTTCCTCATTTGCTACGCACCTGTCATCGAGGCTCTTTTTATCCCGATTTCTTCCGCCGGGCATCAGCGTGAGGCGACTGCAGCCATAATCGCAAACAGTTCGATAGGTGCCGAACCGCTGTGAACGCGGAATGCTAGGCTCCGCTATCAGGGATGGCCCCGGCCCACTGCCCGCCTATCTGCCGAGGCAAACTAAGACCACACGCTGAGTCCAATGCCAAGAGAGACCAAAGACCAAATACCAAAGAGACCACGTGCTGAGCCCAACGTTACCACCAACTCTAAACTGATACACCTGCGCACCCGCGCTTCCTGTTTGCGAAGCCTACAAGCGGTATGCGCTTGCGCTGGAGCCTGCGGGTTCAGTGTTCAGATAACCCAAGGCGCGGATGTCGACGCCTGCTACTGCGAGATACCGACTCAACGCGCACGTGCCGACCAGCTGGTCCGCTCCAACTGACACGTGCGCCCCTAACCTGCCTGGCAGTTTTTCTGGCATCAAACTGCGGCGACCTGGATATTGAATGGTCCCTTCCGATGAATGAGAGTCAGTTACTGACACAGTCCCACAGACACTGCTCTACGTTTGCCACGTTTGGCTATGACTTCGTTTGTTTTGCTTCAGCTGACCTGACAAGCTGTCACATCCACATCATGATGACTGTTAATTGTCCGTCATGACAAGAGAGAAACAACGAAAACAAGTGACAATGATCCATATGGGTGGTTATGACCAATATGGGGACATATGGATCAATAGGCAGTTAGGAGAATACGAAATATGGTTAGCTGTGCACAGACAGGATTTAAAAGCCGTTTCTTCGAATAAAAACGTTGGGAAACTTTCAAAAACTTAAGAAGGTTTTAAGCGGTTTTCAGCATTTCTTTTCTAACAACACAACTTTGCTGGGCAATTTTTAACTAAAAAATGTCTTGCAGAAATTCAGCATGTTCATAGAGACATTTATACTGGGGAAATTCCGCTTCGTTAGTTACAAGTAAGATAATGATCGTAAGTTAAGCTATGGTGCCAAACTTTTTCCTACCGTATCTTTCCAGCCTTTGTTTAAGGAGATTCGGTGGCGTACGCGGCACAGACGCGAGACAACAAACTGACATCAATGTCCCGACCGCCATCAACTATAGCGTTGACGCCGATCCTCCACGGAGAGCTGAGGGAAGGGTTGATGAGAGTGAGGATATCGGCACTGTTATTCTACCGGCATGGCACTTCACGGGCAGGGGCGCAGCCAGGATTGGCTCAGAGAGGGGTTGTAGCTCGATGAACACCCATTACGCTGGTATTATAACTTCCTGTTCTTAGTCATCCATGACGAAAAACACGTGGGCCTAAGGGGAGGGGGTTCCTGGCCCTCCCTTGGCTGTGCCCCTGTGCGTCACTGATCAGCATATATAAATTGGGGGGTATTGTGCTGGTGTACTGATCTTTAAAGCAGGGCACGGCTTGATTACATCTTGATATCTTACCAAAGGTGCGGGACCGTTTCAGGGCGGGCGTACGGACAGTCGGGGGTTTCAGCGATGGGCTTGCGCTGCTCGTGTGTGCCGTGCCACAATAGGGTAGTCTTATTTAATTCATTCTTAGTTCACTCACGTTCACAACGGCCTTCTGAGCGCTGTTAAATCTTTTAACGCACCTTCTGCACAAAAAGAGCCATAGAGCATATCAGACACCGGGAACTTATAACGATGAGTTGTCATTTTCGCGTCGCAAAACTGTTAATTCACGGTGAGGCCGCAATCTCCTGTAAGGAAGCTGTTAGCTGACGTCCTGCAAGCGACCAAGAGCAAGCGGCGATAGTCCGTATCGGCGTCGGTATAAAAGCTGGCCGGACATCGCCTCCGGCACAGAGACGCAACACGATGGTCTGGTCGGAGGTCACACTGCTGGTCCTGACCCTTGCGGTCAGCGGCACGGAGGCCGCCCAACGTCCCAACACCGCTGAACGTCACCCCGGCCCGCCCAATATCGTCTTCATCCTGGCCGACGATCTCGGTGAGTGGTGCTTGCAGCAATGGTCGTGGTTTTTGCGAGGTCGTGTACTGGCGGCTTGCTGCCATCGATTCATCTGTGTTTGAGAGTAAAATGGACCGAGCCCCGAAAATGATCGTGTTTGAATTTAAAGCACAGATCTGTGCGGTATATTGTGCAGATTGATTTAGCATGATTCTTTCCGTCAGGGGTTTTCTTTTTGCGTTGCATGTAGGAAATTCGCAGTGTTTTGCGTTATTATTAACTATACACACACACAGAAGTGATGCTCATCTATAGACATGTCGTAGTACATGGCATGATGACCAAGGAAAAGACGCGAATGAGGCAACTTTTCAGGTCTTAGAATTCGCTAGTTTGAACTGTTTCTGTCTGCAGTTCATGGCCGCAGAAAAATAGCACTAGAATCTGCTTTCGCGGGCTGCGTCCGAACGCTTTAAGAGTGGCGACTTGACAAGTGATAGTGTGTACTCTGTGTTGTGCGGCATGTAATGCGACCCTGGTTCATCGGCCTAAGCAGAATAATGCCAGTTCAGTCGATCCTTTTTCGTCCAGATTTATTAAAACAGGAGTGCAAATTGCCAACGTGTGATCTGGCAAACGTGCTTGCCAGATTTTGACTGGTCGCACACTTGCTCCACGATGTCCGTCTCTCTGCACCAACTGAGCCACGTGGACGAAGAAATGGTCGGCACGTCTGTGAAAAATGAAGCCGATGCGAATAGCGATGCAACTTACTTTTGTCGCTTATGTTATAATTGCACCAGGTGAGGGAAGGTTTCCAACTTAGCTGCGTACAATAGTACATTTCCGTGGGGAGGATATTGGGAGGTTTAAGAGCGTAACGAATAAGAACTTTGTCACACACGCACGCGTCGTAAGACCTTTGACACACACACACTCACACGCGCGCGCGGGCACACCCACCCACACGTCGGGTATGGCTTTCGCTAAAAACGCCGTTGCCTACGTAAGCCGTAGCGACCGAGGAGCGGCGCGAGGGATGCGGTACCTGCCTTGACAGTAGAATGATATGTAATATCACGAGGACGGCAAATTGCTTTGGTGAGTAAATTATATGGTGAGTAAATAGCATGGTGAGTAAATGATATGGTGAGTAAATTGTATGCGTCACGCCACGCAGGCCGGCTGTACCGTGCAAGATGAACTGGGCGTCAAGCAAGACATTTGGCCATGGGGACAGCGTCTGGTGAGAGAGGGGGGTGACATCAGAGGCTGTTGGACTTTTTCCATCCACGCGACCCCGTTGGACGTTCTGTTCAAGGCTGCAGAGTTGGGGTGACAAGTCTGCCGCTGACATTGTCGGTCATGCGGAGCCCATGTGCAATATGTGTCGGCACGCATAAGTTGCGGTTGCCTTACCACTCTACAGACAAATACTTCAGTTGCAGAAGGTTCTTATCGCAAATGTTAGAAATGCGCTAGCCCTTGTGTAATTCCGTGAAATGTCACAAGAGGCTTACGTTTGATGAATCACGAAAATGGTGACAAATGACAATGAACCAAGTTGTCTATATGAGCTAGATAAATGTATCTATAAAGAGCCTAAGTAAAGGTAATAAAGGGCCAACAACGGCGCTGCATATATGTTCTAAAGATAGAACGCGACTGAAAAAGTATCTTACGTCACGTACGCGTCATCGTGCGTCAGCAGAGATCAGATAACGCGCGTCTGCTCCTCGGTATCTGCATTCAACAAGCCTGATTAAAACACGAGCGAAAAATCAGCAATGTCGCGGTTTAATCCGGACTTCGTTTTGGTCGTTACCGTGAGTGTACACTGAAGCTTTGTGTAGAATTGCTCATCCCGATCACTTCGCCAAATCAGGCGTCAAATATCATGCAAGGACCAGTCGGCGCTGCCGAACTGGCTGCCTCCCCGGCCACAAGGAGGTGGACACCACAGCTCCACGAAAACGGCTTACAGTCATCACCACCAGTGACGTCAGCGATACAGAATATGGCTTCCAGTGACGTGGTTTTGTATTCCTAGTATGGGAATAGGCAACATCCGTCATGGAAATCTCCGGCTACCTCTGAGCCCCGCTGGTGACACTCAGAGCCCTGTTGGTGATGCTCAGAGCCCTGCTGGTGAGGCTCAGAGCCCAGCTGGTGAGGCTCAGAGCCCTGTTGGTGATGCTCAGAGCCCTGTCGGCGATGCTCAGAGCCCCGTTGGTGGTGCTCAGAGCCCCGCTGGTGATACCCAGAGCCGCGCTGGTGATGCTCGGAGCCCCGCTGGTGATACTCAGAGCCCCGCTGGTGGTGTTCAGAGCCCCGCTGGTGACACTCAGATCTCCGTTGGTGATACTCAGAGCCCCGATGGTGATGCTTAGATCCTGTTGGTGGTTCTCAGAACCTCGCTGGTGATGCCCAGAGCCCCGTTGATGATGCTCAGAGCCTCGTTGATGATGCTCGGAGCCCTGTCGGTGATGCTTAGAGCCCCGTTGGTGGTGCTCAGAACCCCGCTGGTGACACTCAGAGCCCCGTTGGTGATACTCAGATCCCCGTTGGTGATACTCAGAGCCCCGTTGGTGATGCTCAGAGCCCCACCGGTGATGCTCAGAGCCCCGCTGATGATACTCGTGGCACGTTGGTCCGTCTGCGCAGGCTACAATGACGTCTCGTGGCACAACCCGGACATCATCTCACCGCGGCTGGAGCAGTTGGCTCGCGAGGGTGTCATCCTGGAGCAGAACTACGTGCTGCCGCTCTGCACGCCCTCCAGGAGCGGCCTAATGACGGGCCGGTACCCCTTCCATCTGGGCAGGCAGGTGAGCGGCGGCAACACTGCCATCTGGGCAAGCGCGCGCCGTGTGCAGCTCCCACTCCCCCAACGTACTTTTCCGTGTGAACCAGCACACGGTTAACATCAGCATATATGTTTTAGTCTTTTCTTAAAAGGATGTCATTCGTGCTATGCTTCGTCAATTTAATTCTTGAACATCCATCGAACCGCTATCCAATACCATATGAATAAAAAAGCAGTGCTGCACTCCGTGTTTACCGACACTTATACGGGATTTATGCAAGCATGACCGCCTCGGGGCGCAGTAGGTTAACATGCGTGCCAACGTACATGAACGCCGATCATTCAAGCCTGACTTCAGTGGATTTTCTTCGACCGCCAGGGATCAGTTGCTGCCAGGGAACTGGCAGCAACTGGGGAGGGATCGGCCTGCAGCGGGATTGACGCCGAGCCAACCAGCGCCCACGGCGGTGGGCTCACGGGCATGTTCTGCCTTTAACGGGAGTGTCCAACCTTTGAGGCACAGTTCAAAATATACTCCGATGAAACCTCTGGACCAGTTGATCCTAATAGCTGCACTGGCTTGTCGAACCTTTCACTGCATCGTCATCAGGATGTAATGATGAGGTTTATTTTCGCCATTTCAGAATCCAAACTACGTGATCACCGTTTTGAGACAGCCATGACGTCACTTTGCATACCTTAGGGAAGGGCTGCTAAACAAATACAGAGCAATTATATTCACCATTGGTATGGTACGTGATAAGCATGTTAACACCTTACTAGTATTATGTTTATTGGTGCTTAAGAGCATTCGGCAGGCACCTAGTGTTTTGTTATCCGAGCTCGTTCGTATATTAAGCCAGTCCGCAAATGTTTGTCAAGTTTTTCCCTTCATAGCATCTGGCTTGGGATGAAGAAAAATGACTGCAACACGCGGTCGCCTTTAAAAGTACAGCGTGACCAAGATACAAATAATTCATGTTTTCGCCAGTAGTGGCAGTTTCATTGGTTGCATAATCGTGGTTGTGGTGCTTATACAATACGGTCGCCGTCGGCGGTAGTCATCAATGATCCCTCACTAAGATTTGCTGAGATACGTTTTGGGAATTACACCCCACTCCATACTTCTAACAAACAAGCAGCTCACGTAACTTAGAAAGAGAAGTCATTCTTTCGTAATAAAACAGTGTTGAGTCTATGAAAGATGTCTTTATGTTTTGTTTGTCTATTTTAACATTGAGGACGTAAATTCAAGTTGCCGAAATCCGGGGAGAAATCAGGTTTTTGTGTTGAGTTAGGTCAATCTTTCCGGCTGAGGCCGCAACCGATTTAGGAACGTAATATCTCCGGTCACAGCAACACGCTTCTTTCTTTCTTGGTAGCCCGAGTGGTGGTAGTGGTAGTCCGCACCCCACCCCCTCCCCCTTCAGAGTCCACAAAACTGGAGTCGATGCCGCTGCTAATGTCGTGACGACAGAATCTGCTTAAGGCCGCTATCAGCTGTTGCAGAAAACAGGCACCACTTCTCGACTGTTCTGACCCGCACATTGCGAGCCTGCAGGCTTCAGCGACGCACGTACTCGTATGAATGACGTCAGCACCCATGAACGCGTGTGATTGGCACAGCGGGCGGCGAAGACTATTTCAAGCGATAAGCGCATTGGTTGACGTTCGAACCAGCGCGTCATTCAAGACAATATGGTATTCTCTTTCTCAAAGTTCAAGTGCGCTTCTAAAATAGCTACTGTGTTAAGCGGCATAGGGCATGAGCCAAAACGATGGTATAGCGTTTTGTTGAATTCGCGTGTCGATGGCCTAATGTTTCTACGTCTTTTTCTTTAACGCGTTTCAAGCTTCGATCGTAAGTGGATAATGTGATGTGGTTTGTCCACAGTGTTTGCCGAAAGCTGTTAAACTCAATAGTGTTGAAGCGAGACATTACTACGCTGTATGTCTCCATTTGCTTGGAAAACTGGATTTCACTTGTCCATGATTGGCGGCAAATATACTCCCCAGTTAGGCCTAGCTCTGACGCAATAGGTGGCGCCACCGGTCTATAACATTGCTATTGCAATGGGTGAGGCTTCGGCACAAAGCCTAGGAACAATCGAGCCCTAGGGACAGCCAGCGTGGGGTTACGACTGCCCCGCAACGGCGCTGAGAAAAACTGAAAGCTCTGTCGTGCACATAGTGTGCACGTGTGTGACTGATGCTACAAAACATCTTTTCATGAAATTACGCATGCTTAAGGAAAACGTACCGTGTTGCAGCAGTGCCTTTTGTCCTGCTCTTACAAATTGTGCGTGTCTGGTTGGTGCCATTGCTAACAGCACGGCCCTCTCGGCAAAGCTGCTTTGATGACAAAACGCAATGGCCGTTCTGACTAACTGTTTCCGATTATCGCATCATGCGTGCGTATGACCCAGGTATGAGTCATGTAGAATGTTGCGATGATGCCCTGGCTTATTTGACGACTGAAAGAGCGCCACCGGTCGGAGTTAGACCGCGTGACCAGACAAAGCTCGGCTGCACTGTGCGTCATGACCTCAGGTCACGCGTTCTGTTCGGCAGCACAACGTCCTGTTCGGCACACAGCCGACCGGCCTGACTCTCAACCACACCCTGCTGCCGGAACTGCTGCAGGAGGCCGGCTACAGCACGCACATGGTGGGCAAGTGGCACCTGGGCTTTTGTGCGCCCGAGTACCTGCCACAGGCGCGCGGCTTTCAGTCGTTCCTGGGCTACTGGCAGGGCGCCGAGGACTATTACAACCACACGGAGGCCATCGGCGACAGTGTCACCCTCGACTTCTGGGACGGCGAGAAGTCGGCGCCCGAGCTCAGCGGTGTGTACTCGGCCGAGCTGTACGGCGACCGGGCGGAGAGCCTCATCCGCGAGCACGACCAGCAGAGTCCGATGTTTCTCTACCTGGCCATGCAGAACGTGCATATGCCCCTGCAGGTGCCGCAGCGATACGAGGACATGTACCCGAGCGTGCGGAACGCTGACCGCCGCACCTTCAGCGGCATGGTGACGGCCCTCGACGACGCTGTCGGCAAAGTGGTTGACGCGCTCAAGGAGGTTGGCATGTACAACAACACTGTCATCGTGTTTATGGGCGACAACGGTGGGCTGCCGCACGCCGGCGGTAACAACTACCCGCTGCGCGGTACGAAGGGCACGTTGTGGGAGGGCGGCACCCGGACGCCCGCCTTTGTCCACTCGCCGCTGCTGGCCGCGTCCAACTACTCCAACTACCGCCTGGTCCACATCACCGACTGGCTACCGACGCTGCTGCGCGTGGCCGGCGCCGGCGGCGGCCTCGACGGCGACGGCTTCGACCAGTGGGACAGCATCGCGAGCAACGCGCCCAGCGCTCGCTCAGAGATGGTGTACAACATCGACGACTTCGGCATAACGTTCCAGGCCGCCCTGCGCGACGGCGACCTCAAGCTGGTGTGGGGCCAGAACCAGGTCAACAGCCACTGGTACCCGGTGCCCGAGTCGGCGACGCCGCCGCCGCAGCTCGCCGACCCAGACGACACCCTCGGCTATTCCGCCCACCTCTTCAACATCACGGCCGACCCCACCGAGCGCGAGGACCTGGCCGCGCGGCTGCCGGGGGAGGTGACGCGGCTGCAGGCGCGCGTGAAACAGCTGATGAAGACGGAGGTGCCGGCAGACTTCCCGCCCGGCGACGATGCTGGACATCCGGTGGACGGCGTCTGGACGACCGGCTGGTGCGAGGCGCACTAAGAGTGCGCCGCGGCTGCGACGAACAGCGCGCCGCGTCCCTGACGCAGGTGCAGCGAGCCACGGACGTCCCGGCCGCCTCCTGGTGCCGGCGCTGCCGCACCGCTGGAGCGGCGATAGTGCAGGGATGGTGCTGCGTGCATCAGCCATGCTTTAGAATATCTTACCTGTTACCTCGATACGATTTATGTTATCCTTACGTTGACAGCATGTCGTAGAAATTACAGAGCGGTACCGACGGCTTGGTGTCGCCTCTCTCTACAAGACGTACGCCGACTAATTGAGTGTCTTTTTCGGCCATTTGGCTGAAAAGGACACTCAATTAGTCTGGGTACTGTGTCCCGGCCACTTACAGCTAGCAGGCAGACGAGATTAAGTCGCTGTTGCCCAGGCAGTGCTTCGCCCGGGCTGTGAGGCGACAACTGCTGGCTGCTGGTCGGGTCTGAACGTATGTCTTAGGATTGCCTTGCTCATATTGTACTTTTGTCCCATCATGCGTGCGCGAATCACGATTTGTACGCATGGGCGAGTGTCCGTCTTGACATAATATCATGACTCTTGGAAGTAAAAGACGCGTGTTCGTGTGGATTACCCTGCGCCAGGGCCAATGGCAAAAATACGAATGCACAAAAGAAAAAACGTCACTGTAAGTGGGAGCATGTTTGGAGCCGTTAAAGCAGCCATACGATCGCTGTTGAATCTGTTGGTGCGATGCACTCTGGAACGTGTCTGGGTTTTCACAGAAGGTGCAGGCCGATTTTAGCTGAAGCGTCAAGCTTGAAGAGAATGTCCCATATTGGAAAATATCGCAGTACCATCAGATATGATGGAATAAATTTATTCATACCCACTGGCATACTTTGAGTTATAAACACTGATCCAGGCAACACACTTTCGCTGTTGAGTAAACTGCTAGTCAATATGGCATTGCTTGATTACGTCGTGGTACCTTGCGCAACAGTGATTAAGAGCCAAGTGACGGCCGTCATATCTGGAAGTCGTGCTCATAAACGCCAGATATGAGCAGCTCAGCAATTCTATATTTCATGGCCTTCATTGCCGCATGGCTTATGTAATAACAGGATTTAAATGACGTTATTATGCCGCCTTGGATGCCTGGGTGAGCACGAAAATTCTCCCCAAAAGTCAGCACATATTCTCGGGCGTGTAGCTCAGAAAGGACAAGGGGTTAAATCTCAAGAAGGGCAGGGCTGTGAACTGCCTCAAATGATCTCAATATGATCTTTCAGTTAAAAATTGCCTACAAATGCAGAACACTCCCTTGAACTGACCTGATATTTGCAGCAAAGACGCTGACAATGGTAGTTTGACACAGGACATTGCTGACACCGCGATGATAAAATGAGACGATGATGCCCTGTTGCAGATAGTACACTCAAAAACACCACTACGCTGTTGGGAAGCAGACAACACCTAACACCGTCACCAACACCAGCGCAAACGACATCCATCGTGATGTCAAGCCATTATGCATATGCATGCTTTTCTTTTGAGAAATTTCAACTATATTATTTTTGTGGATCTACAAATACCATGATACCAGGTACGGCGCTACGGACACGGGGTTGACGGAGACTTTTCCAGTGTGTTTCCGAGGCAAAATGGGGCCTTCTCACAGGGGGGCTCCAGGGTAGTGTTATATTACACGGGAGGGGCACCAAGGGCATATGCTCTGTCATCAGCATGTTACATGCATCATATCCAAGAAGATAGATGACATTTAACAAATGCAAAATGGGGCATTGTGCTTATCCAGGAAAGGGTCTCGCCATCCCATTCAGAACAGTATGCTTCCAATTCACGAAGCGAGCATCCTAATCTAACCAAGATGCCTCGTTGTTCCAAGACAAGGCCTCCTGATCTGAAACCGCAGTCATCTGATGCATACCCATGGCATATGACGCTTTCTGGATAAAGTAAGTGCCTCCTAACCCAGAATGCGGGCCTCCGAGTTCGTAACAGGGGGCTTTGCGAGCCAACGAAGGCACCTCTTTAAAATATCATTGGGTCTACTGATCTAGAGAGGTAGCACCTTACTCCTAAACGTTACCTCATGATCCATAATGCGGGCCTCTTGATGTGGGAAAGGGTCCTGTGAGCCCTATTCATGCACCTGGTGCCCAAGTCATGAGGGGGGGGGGGGGGTTCTTCACCAGAATTTGTGTGAACTATACTGGGGTACAATGCCATTAGTTCGGGAACAAGGGCCTCCCACACTAGTCCACACATTTGTGCCAGACCACTTATGGAAGGCAACAGCAGATTTTTGTCTTGGCATGCGGTATTCTCAGTCAATGTACTAGTTTCTGGTCACTGTAGCACTGTCTTGTCTGGAGATTTGTCTCTTCTAGACCGTGTTACTCCAAGGTTTTTGTCCTTGTTTTCTTCCATGCTGATAAAATGACAATACTGCGAGATAACCTCGTCTGATTTAACAGCTTTGATGGATTTATGTTTCACAGTTGAAGATATTGAAGTAAACGTCAGATATGATGAGAAAGGCTCACCTATAACTATATAACTATTGGTATAACTGTTATGTATATATATATATATATATATATGTATATTAGTTTAACTATTGGTATACTCTTAAGTGGAAAAACTGTTCAAAACACCCAAATTATTCTGTTTAGTAGATATTCTCCTCGATTCCCCATTGTTTGATCACGTCATCGTACTTCGCACAACATTTTTGAGGAATCAAGCGTCAAAACACTTCAGTGCTGCGCCAAATGCGGTATAGCCGCCGTGATGTGGCGACGGAGCCGGCGGCGCGTCGGCGGCGAAGGAGGGACGCAGTGACGTCATAGCCCTGTGTTGAGCTGCCCTGCATCTAACCAATGGGAAATCCCGTGATGACATCCTCTTGGTCGAATGCTGTCAATAGGCCTATGCTTACTCGCTAACGTCATTTAATCAGCACCTCCTGGTATCTTTAATGTGGATAATGCAGTATGAGACATCTAAATACATGACGCCAAAAATTCAGGAGCTCAATACTTTTCTGGCTCATATCAAATGAAACAGGGAATGCCACACAATAAAACACGCTCGTATGTTCCGGAACAACATTATGCATTTGACTAGGCTTACCTTGAGGCAGCAGTCACAAGGTCAGACAATTAGCAATGATCTATGCTTAACGAAGGCCTTTATCCCTCAACCCTGCTCACAGGCAGTCGGTCAAGGTTCTATAGACTAAGAAAAAACACGACAATTAGTGCGAAGGTACCAAGGGTATACCATATGCCACGTACCGTATACCAAATACCGCATTGCCATATACTAAGGCTGCGAGCACGAGAGGGCTGCAAACTGGGAACTGAACCCGCATCGTTCGTATACCCATAGTGTGCTTGATTGATGCTCACAAATTTCGTCCACTTCTTCCTTCCATTACTTGACGATTCCTTTTAACCAGCGGCAGAGTACTTCCGCTATCACGGCTATGGTATTTGCTGTTATGACCTTTTTCACGGCGTCAGATATATTTCACATGCAACGAACTTGGCACAGATTTAGATAAAAAGACCCACCATACCCAAAACATACCGCCAAATATGCAGAGAAGTCAAGTACGGTGTCACGTTAGGCTTAGAAGCATGAGGCGTACCCAGCATTAAGCATCTTTTGGTGCCTGCCCGTAAGCGTCCGAGCGTCTATGAAGCCGGACTTCTGCCTTGCGTTGCGTACATGCCGCGAGAGTGATGCTGTTTCTCAGTAATGATCCGCGATGTGGGGTTTCTCAGGCGGCGGCTCGCACTGGACCGAGTGGCAGCACTGCGGGTAGTCACTCGCGGCGTCGCCCTGCACGATCCGGCAGCTGGTCTTGACCGAGTCATCAAGGCCAATAAAAGGACAGGGCAGCAGGGAGATCTGTGCGAAGCCGTCGGTCTGCGTGCAATCGGCCCGCGTGCATCCCGCTTCGGTCCACCTCTCGCCGACGGCAAACCAGCGTTGCTGCGAGCGGGAGAAGCAGTGGCCACGACAGCTGAAGGTGGCACAGCAGTGCGGGTAGTCACCGGAGGGGTCTTCCTCGACTATTTGACAGTCGGGCGCCGGCGGCGGTCCGAGCAGACCACAGGGCAGCTGGGAGAAGTCCACTGACCCGTCCTCGCGCACGTTACAGCGGCTCAGTGTGCAGCCCTCGTCGGTCCACTCGTCGCCCGGTCCGAAGTACCGCTCCAGCTTCCGCGAGTAGCAGTCCGGGCAGGTGATCTTGGGGCAGCACTGTGGGTACTCCAGCCCCGGCTCACCGTCATCCAGCGCGCACTGGTAGTGAGATGGAACGCCAATAAGACCACATCCAACGCCAGAAATACCTCCACCCTCCCTGCACGTGGCCCGACTGCAGCCCGGCCCGGTGAACGTCTCCCCCGGTTGGAAGAAGCGCTGGTGACGCTCCGAGAAGCACCCGTCCGACGGCAGCGGCTCGCACTGCGCGGTGGGACAGCACTGCGGGTAGTCGCTGGCCGCGTCGCCCTCCACGATGTGGCAGTTGGACTGGCTGTCGATGGCGAGATGGCCACAGGGCAGTTGGATGACCTGCGCGGCGCCATCCGAGGCCTGGATGCACTCGGACTGCGTGCAGCCCTTTTCGGTCCACTTCTCGCCCACCGCGAACCAGCGGTCCTTTGCACGCGAGAAGCAGTGATTAGGGCAGATGAAGTGTGCACAGCAGCCCGGGTATTCTCCGGCCGAGTCCTCCGCGACTAGCCGACAGTCGGGCGCCGGCGGCGGTCCGAGCAGGCCGCAGGGCAGGTGGGAGACGTCCACCGACCCGTCCTCGTGCAAGTTACAGCGGCTCAGTGTGCAGCCCTCGTCGGTCCACTCGTCGCCCGGTCCGAAGTACCGCTCCAGCTTCCGCGAGTAGCAGTCCGGGCAGGTGATCTTGGGGCAGCACTGTGGGTACTCCAGCCCCAGCTCGCCGTCATCCAGAGCGCACGGAACGCCGGGAGCGACTGCGCTGAGCGGGCAGCCGACTGCACCCACGGCGCCGCCCTCCTCGCATTCCGCCACACCGCTGCACTCCGGCAGCGTCCACCGCTCGCCCACGGCGAAGCGCCGGTCCAGATACTTGTCGTAGCACGGTTTTGCCTCGGTGCAGTTCTCGCGGGGACAGCAGGTGGGGTACTCGCCACCCGGCACCCCCGGCTCAACGCTGCACCCCGGTGACGTCGGGAACGCCGGGCACCCCACGACCCCCACGCCGCGTTCCGTGCATTCGGCCCTGGCGCATGGCGGCTCGGTCCAGCGGTGACCGACTGGAACCAGTCTCTGCAGCGCTGGTGCCACGCACTGGCCGGGCTCGGGGCACAGCCACCGCTCGCAGCAGTCGGGGTGGTCGGCCGTGGGGTCGCCCTTCAACAGCTGGCAGCCGGGTTGCGGGGGGTCGGCGGCCACCGGCTCGCACTTGCTGAAGTACGCGCGGCCGCGCACGCACCGCGCCACGCGGCAGCCCGGCACCCGCCACTCGTCGCCGTCCTTAAAGTAGCGTTCCAGTCGTTGCGAGTAGCAGCGGCGGGTGCGTCTGTAGGCCTGCGTCGCGCCGCACAGCGCGGCCAGCAGCAGCGCAAGCGTTAGCCAGCGGGACATGGCGGCTGCCGGGCAGAGACTGGCCGGCCGACCGAGAGCGAAGCCGCCGAGGCGGCCAGCTGTAAACAACGCCCGCTGAGAGTGTTTGGACTTCTGCGTCGCGATGGGCAGCGGCGCAGCCAGACCCGTGGCTCGTACCGCCGTGGTTCCAACCGCCGTCACTCCAGCCGCTGCACTGAGACCGTGAGGGGGTCTTGGACGCGCGCAGCCACGTGACACTCCACAAAGTCGTGGGCGGCCATCTGGCGATGGTGCGGCAGTCCCGCACAGGGCTACGGGGTCCTGGGCCGGTTGTCCGGGGACTGGGTCAGTGATACATTGCTTGAGGCCAATCTTGCGAACGATCACCGAAGTGAGAGCGTGGGCATCATCAAAGATGACTCGGTGGTGATCAGATGTCGGTCGCTGACGCACAGCCGCGACATTGAGCCTGGTCGGGCTGCGGTCCTACCCCTGCAACACGTCGCCCTGCGTCAGCTGCTTCTGTCCAGCCCACACGGCAAGGAGTCGGTCGAGAGATCCGACGCTCGCTCCCGCCACGAATCACTGTACACATACGCACCCACCCAGGGCATGCACGTGGGTGACCTGGAGGAGACTGGAAGGCATACGCGACCATCTTAATGGGTGTGTGTACACCCCTTGATTTAACGGGAGAGCGGTATGGGACTTTCCAGCGGTAGATCGTGCTAATTTTAACGTTCCAGCAAACCACATGGTAATCTGGGCTTTCAGGGCTGACATGTTTAGATTTTCGGAGGCGTTTGAATGACATGTTTAGGCTTATGGCATGGGACTGACTAGTGCGATAAGACATATGACCTTCACTTAGCAGCTTGTTCTCCGCCGCATTTCTTTGCTTACACTTGCGGCCTCATCAAGAGCAGGCTTTTGACGTCAGTATTCGGGGGGGGGGGGGGGGGGGAATTCGCTGGCGTCAGACTTCTAGCAGCCGCTTAACGCAGGTGCGACTCAAATTTCAAGAAACGGCTGCGCGGCAGCGCTAGGACGCTCTGCGATGCCAGTGAAAACCGCGCGCGGTGGATGTGACCCAGACCGTTAACATCGAAGCAAAGACAACTCGGCTTCTCTCGGAGGTGTTGTGTGGTAATCTATGGTAGTTGGGAAGTGGCGTGGGCGATCGCAGGTGAAAGTTCGGAGTGGCTCGAGTTCTGATCTGCACATGTCACGAGACCTCACCTGCGCGCCGACCCCTTCAAGCATCGGAAATGCAAAGGCACATTTCTACCGTAGCGATGGATGTTTCTTTCAAAGCACATTGCTGCGATTGTTAGCTTTGATGGACAGAAAACAGTAGTGCAAGTAAAAGGTGACACAGGTGGCACATGTCACCCCACCCTTTTAAGATCCGGTGGGCGCGACGACCACTCGGGGCCTACGATCAAGGACCCGACTTGTGGGCCTAAAGGCTTCAAAAGGCCGGCCGGAGGTTGTATTCATGGGCTTTGACCCGTAGCGCCAGACACCTAAATGTCAGCCAGAGGGCCCTGCGTGCTCCTCAGGGGCCCACTCCGTCGGTAAGAGCTTACATGTCGGTCAGACCCCGCCAGTAACGCAGACTCGGCGTGGGCCTGAGGACCCATTTCCCAAGCAGGCACAAAGCCGGAGCCAGTGATTTACATTGGTCGGGGCCCAAGCGTCTGCCAGGGCCCCACAGCGCCCAACGGGGCCTTGTGTTGGTACGGGGTCCCGAGTCCGCCAGTGGCAGTGTTAGAGGAGGCCCGAAGAACCTGGACGGCCCACCTGGTCCGACGGTCAGATACCCGATTGGCGGGCCTCAGGGCACGAAGGGCTGGTTGGAGTCTGATCCAGCGGCCTCGGTCTGCGATGACGGGCCTCTAAAAGACAGTCAGAGTCCTCTTTCGGCGATCAGGGACCCCCTGAGTCGATATATATGAGTCAAAGTGCCGGTCAGGCACCACCGGGACCGCACAGTCGGCGCAGTGTTGGTATGGGCCTGAGGGCCCACTTTCCAATCACCTGCAAAGCCGGGGACAGCAATTTACGCTGGTCGGGGCCCTCGTATTTGTCAGAGGCCCAAAGTGTCTAACAGAGGGTACTGCGTTTGCAAGGGGCCCCGGGACCACCAAAAGCAGTGTCCGATGAGGCCCGAGGAAGGGACCGGGCGGCCCACCGGAACCAACGATCGATGGTCCGGTTGGAGGGCAAAAGGGCAAAGGACTGGCTGTAAGTCACATAAAGAATCGCGGCCCGAAAGGTCGTAGCCTGAAATATCAGTCAGAGGTTCCCTTGCACTTGCTAAGAATCACCTGAGACGGCGTGGACGTCTAAGTCGGCCAGAGACCACGAACACCGAACAGTTAACTTCCTGTCAGTCTAAACCCCGAGGACTTATTTCCCAAACAGAAGCAAGGTCAAGGCCAGGATTTGCATTGGTTTGGGACTTTAGGTCCCTATAACAATGGTTGGGGCTCCTGTGTCGGTCAGGGATACACAGTGCTTATCACGGGTCATGCATCGAATAGTCACCCTAAGTCGGTCACAGGCTTTTTTGGAGGGGGTCCGGAGAAGCGCCGAGGGGCCCCTCGGAACCCAAGGTCGAGGGCCCGATTGAAAGGCTGATGGGACCGAAGGACTGATCGTAGGTCACACTAAAAATGTCCGAAAGACCGTGACCTCGGCCGAAAGGCCGTGACCTCAAATGTCAGTCACAGGGCCTCTTGCATCGATTGGGAGCCCCGCGGGACAGTGCGGACCTCCGTGTCGGCCAGAGACCTCTAACACCAAACGGTCGGCTACGTGTCGGTCTGAGTTTTGGGTTCATTTCCAAAGCACGAGTAAGGTCGGACTCAAAATTTGCATTACTTAGGGCCACTGAAATGATGAGGATGTCGATCAGGAGCCCACAGTGTCTACCAGGAGTCTTGTGGCGGCAAGCGGCCCTAGTCGTCAGGAGCCTTGCTCATGAGGCCCGATGAAGGACCCGAAGGGCCCCTCGGAACCAAAAATATACGGCTTGATTGGACTTGGGTCAGCCCCCCCCCCCGCCTCCACTCCCACCCGAAGTGCTGACCTGAAATGTCAGAGTGCTTCTGTGAGGGTCCTCTTACTGGGCTCTCTATCCTATCCTAAAGGGCCTCTAAACGGAGCCAGGAAGTCAGCTCTATATCCATGTGATCACTTGGGCCCCATTTCCCGAGCAGGAACGAGGCCGGGCCCGTGATTTGCAATGTTCGGGGTTCTTGAGACAATGAGGGGTCCCTGTGTCCCTCAGGGATGGCGGTGCTTAGTGCGTTCTGTGTCGGTAAGTGGCCCAGAGCCCGCCAGGAGCGGTGCTTGGGGCTGCCGAAGAGGGGCCGAATGGCCTTTTGAGAACACAGATCAAGGCCCCGATTGGACGGCTGAAGAGCCCGAAGGGCTGGCTGTAAGTCACATTAAGGATATATTTCAGTGTCAGATTTTCAGTATTTCAGTTTCAGTGTCAGATATATTTCACATGCAACGAACTTGACGCAGATTTAGATCAAAAGACCCGGCATACCCAAAACATACCGCTCAATACGCAAAGAAGTCAAGTACAGTGTCACGTTAGGCTTAGAAGTATGAGGCGTACCCAGCATTAAGCATCTGTTGGTGCCTGCCCGTAAGCGTCCGAGCCTCTATGAAGCCGGACTTCTGCCTTGTGTTGCGTACATGCCGCGAGAGTGATGTTGTTTCTCAGTAATGATCCGCGATGTGGGGTTCCTCAGGCGGCGGCTCGCACTGGACCGAGTGGCAGCACTGCGGGTAGTCACTCGCGGCATCGCCCTCCACGAACCGGCAGCTGGTCTTGATCAAGTCATCAAGACCAATAAAAGGGCAGAAGAGCGAGGAGATCTGTGCGAAGGCGTCGGTCTGCGTGCACTCGAACCGCGTGCATCCCGCTTCGGCCCACCCCTCGCCGACGGCGATCCAGCGGTGCTGCGAGCGGGAGAAGCAGTGGCCACGGCACCTGAAGGTGGCACAGCAGTGCGGGTAGTCACCGGAGGGGTCTTCCTCGACTATTTGACAGTCGGGCGCCGGCGGCGGTCCGAGCAGACCGCAGGGCAGCTGGGAGACTTCCACTGACCCGTCCTCGTGCACGTTACAGCGGCTCAGTGTGCAGCCCTCGTCGGTCCACTCGTCGCCCGGTCCGAAGTACCGCTCCAGCTTCCGCGAGTAGCAGTTTGAGCAGGTGATCTTGGGGCAGCACTGCGGGTACTCTAGCCCCGGCTCACCGTCATCCAGAGCACACTGGTAGTGAGGTGGAACGCCAATAAGACCACATCCAACGCCAGAAATACCTCCACCCTCCCTGCACGTGGCCCGACTGCAGCCCGGCCCGGTGAACGTCTCCCCCGGTTGGAAGAAGCGCTGGTGACGCTCCGAGAAGCACCCGTCCGACGGCAGCGGCAGTTGGATGACTTTCGCGGCGCCATCCGAGGCTTGGATGCACTCGGACTGCGTGCAGTCCTCTTCGGTCGACTTCTCGCCCACCGCGAACCAGCGGTCTGTTGCACGGTCTAAGTAGTGGTTAGGGCAGACGAAGTGGGCACAGCAGCCCGGGTATTCTCCGGCCGAGTCCTCCGCGACCAGCCAACATTCAGACGCCGGCGGCGGTCCGAGCAGGCCGCAGGGCAGCCTCGAGACCCCCACCGACCCGTTCTCGTGCAAGGTACAGCGGTTTAGGATGCACCCCTCGTCGGTCCACTCGTCGCCCGGTCCGAAGTACCGCTCCAGCTTCTGCGAGTAGCAGTCCGGGCAGGTGATCTTGGGGCAGCACTGCGGGTACTCTAGCCCCAGCTCGCCGTCATCCAGAGCGCACGGAACGCCGGGAGCGACTGCGCTGAGCGGGCAGCCGACTGCACTCACGGCGCCGCCCTCCTCGCATTCCGCCGCACCGCTGCACTCTGGCAGCGTCCACCGCTCGCCCACGGCGAAGCGCCGGTCCAGATACTTGTCGTAGCACGGTTTTGCCTCGGTGCAGTTCTCGCGAGGACAGCAGGTGGGGTACTCGCCGCCCGGCACCCCCGGTTCAACGCTGCACCCCGGTGACGTCGGGAACGCCGGGCACCCCACAGCCCCCACGCCGTGTTCCGTGCATTCGGCCCTGGCGCATGGCGGCTCGGTCCAGCGGTGACCGACTGGCACCAGTCGCTGCAGCACTGGTGCCACGCACTGGCCGGGCTCGGGGCACAGCCACCGCTCGCAGCAGTCGGGGTGGTCGGCCGTGGGGTCGCCCTTCAACAGCTGGCAGCCGGGTTGAGGTGGGTCGGCGGCCACCGGCTCGCACTTGCTGAAGTACGCGCGGCCGCGCACGCACCGCGCCACGCGGCAGCCCGGCACCCGCCACTCGTCGCCGTCCTTAAAGTAGCGTTCCAGTCGTTGCGAGTAGCAGCGGCGGGTGCGTCTGTAGGCCTGCGTCGCGCCGCACAGCGCAACCAGCAGCAGCGCAAGCGTCAGCCAGCGGGACATGGCGGCTGCCGAGCAGAGACTGGCCAGCCGACCGAGAGCGAAGCCGCCGAGGCGGCCAGCTGTAAATAACGCGCGCTGGGAGTGTTTGAACGGCTGCGTCGCGACAGGCAGCGGCGCAGCCAGAGCCGCGGCTCCAACCGCCGCGGTTCCAACCGCCGTGATTTCAACCGCCGTCACTCCAGCCGCTGCACTGAGGCCGTGAGGGGGTCCTGGACGCGCGCAGCCACGTGACACTCCACAATGTCGTGGGCGGCCGTCTGGCGATGGTGTGGCAGTCCCCAATATGGTTGCGGGGTCCTGGACCGGTTGTCCGAGGACTGATGTGCACCTTGGGTTGTGCAGGCCTCGCCGAGTTCGAGTTTAGTCCTCCAGGGACATTTGCTATTCGGGTGCAATCCACATATTCGCTACCATGAGTTTTTTTGTGGGTCGGCATTTTCCAGTGCTATCTGAGTTTCCAGCGTAGCTCATCTCAACGTTCTCACCCCATGGGCATTGCGCTTTCTTCTGTGGGGCTACGGTTTACGGGTGGTTTATTCGTGTTTTTGAGGTTGCAAAGTTCAGATTTTGTTCAGCACGACTTCTCCATGTGGTGACTGGCTATGGCTGATTATCACTCGGTTTCACCACCACCTTAGTGGGCTGCAGACTTTGAGGTTGTGCTGCTGTAGCATCAGATGTCGCGCGAGACCCCAATACATCACTGGTGACCCAGTCAGTTTGAAGGGAGGCTTGGGTTGCTGCTGGTCGTTCGCATTGGTCTCCACCTATAGGACTGGGTCAGTGATACATTGCTTGAGGTCAATCCTTCGAACGATATCCGAAGTGAGAGTGTGGGCATCATCAAAGGTGCCTCGGTGGTGATCAGATGTCGGTCGCTGACGCACAGCCGCGACATTGAGCCTGGTCGGGTTGCGGTCCTATACGTACTCACCCACCCAGGGCATGCACATGGGTGACCTGGAGGAGACTGGAAGGCATACGCGGCCACCTTAATGGGTGTGGGTATACTGCTTGATTTAGCGGGAGAACGATATGGGATTTCCTAGAGGTAGATCGTGCTAATTCCAACGTTCCGGCAAAGGACAGTACTACGTGTCGGTCTGAGTTTTGGGTTCATTTCCCAAGCACGAGTAAGGTCGGACTCAAAACTTGCATTACTTAGGGCCACTGAAATGATGAGGATGTCGATCAGGAGCCCACAGTGTCTAGCAGGAGTCCTGTGGCGGCAAGTGGCCCTAGTCGCTCGGAGCCGTGCTCACGAGGCCGGATAAAGGACCCGAAGGGCCCCTCGGAACCAAAAATATAGGCTTGATTGGACTTGGGTCAGCCCCCTCCCCCGCCTCCACTCCCACCCGAAGTGCTGACCTGAAATGTCAGAGTGCTTCTATGAGGGTCCTCTTACTGGGCTCTCTATCCTATCCTAAAGGGCCTCTAAACGGAGCCAGGAAGTCAGCTCTATATCCATGTGATCACTTGGGCCCCATTTCCCGAGCAGGAACGAGGCCGGGCCCGTGATTTGCAATGTTCGGGGTTCTTGAGACAATGAGGGGTCCCTGTGTCCCTCAGGGACGGCGGTGCTTAGTGCGTTCTGTGTCGGTAAGTGGCCCAGAGCCCGCCAGGAGCGGTGCTTGAGGCTGCCGAAGAGGGGCCGAATGGCCTTTTGAGAACACAGATCAAGGCCCCGATTGGACGGCTGAAGAGCCCGAAGGGCTGGCTGTAAGTCACATTAAGGACCCCCGCCCGCAGAGCCGTGATCTCAAATGACTGTTAGAGTGCCTCTTGCACCCACTGAGGACCCGTGTAACAGAGCGTTCCTCTATTTCGGCCATAGATCACCAACACCGGACAGTCGGCTCCGTGTCGGTCTGAGCTCTGGGGTCCAGTTTCCAAACAGGGGCAAGGCCGGGCCCGCGATTTACATTAGTCAGGGACCCTGCAACAATGCGGGGCTGCTGTATCATCGAGGGGCCTCCAGTGCTTAACAGGGCGTTCTGTGTCAACAAGGGGCCTCAAGTCAGCCAGGAAAGCCCTTGCTCAACAGGGACGAGGACGGACTCCATATGACAGAGGGCTTCTTGAGTTGGTCGGGGCCTTTTGAAAATGAAAGGAAACCTGAGAACTTGTCATGAGTGTTCACACTGAGACACTGAGATAGGGCCCAGTTCATACAGTGTTCACACCGAGACAGTGTTCACACCGAGATAGGGCCCAGTTCTAGTCGGCACTTCCGGTTCCGGCTTGCCAACCAATCCCAGCACGGGCCGGCTAAGGCGGACTGGGGTCTATGTGCCGATTATTGGACTACCAGCGGCGATCAGGGATGCTGTTGCGTCGATGAGGGCATTTCCATCGATCAGGAGCAAGTTGCGCGGTTCAGAAGGCCTCCCATGTCAAGGAGGGGAACAATGTGGTGTCAAGTATCCCTCTAAGGGCCTCCAAATCGACCAGGAGATCTCGCCCTGTGTCGCCAAAGTGGTAGCCGGAAGACACCCCACAGTGGGACGGGATGGCCCTTTAGCCAATGACCGGGAACAGCAAAATGTCCCTAGTGTTCTACTCAAGGGACCCCTTGTCTGGAAAGAAATGAGATAAATATTGTCGGAAAGAAATAAGGGAAATAAGTGTCGAATAGAGTGGGTCGCCATGAGTTCAAAAATAAACGAACCCTCCTATGCTTGCTAGCAAACCTTCATCCCTCAATTTGTCCTAACTTTCAATTGCGGAATCGACTCGTGAAACAAGCTACGTCAAAAGGTTTGAGCGCGCACGCCCGCCAAGGGCGTGCATTGGGAGCAAGGACAGCGATGGGCTGGGATGCAGCTTTCGTTAAACCGAACGGCGTTGTCCGCTGCAAGTGACACCAGACAGCGGGCACCGTGCGCGTGGAAACAACTGTCATAAAGTGATGGCTCCGTTTGTCTTTCAAAGTTAATTTGGACTTAGCGCATCTTTGGACTTAGTTCAAAGATTAGGCTTAGCGCATCTTTCACAATTTTGTTTTTGTTTTCCGGGCAGGAAAGTATACCTCGAAATATGCAATAAACGGGGAAGACACTACCTTTACTCCTCATGTACCACCACCAAATTTCAGCACCCTTCGCGGTGCCGTAGAGGCCAATCCGTTCTTATCATCGATATAAAACTCGCACAAGTAAAATACGCGCTCAGAGTACTTTCTAAGTGTGAAGTTTGATCTTCTAAAGCCTGTAAGGCCGGCGCCACGCGGTCTTTGGAGACTGCAACGCCCGGCGCTAAGCGCGAGAGCTGGCGAACGCGTATGTTCAAAACCACGTTATGTAATTTGCATCTCTAATGGATTCTGACTAAATGTTGAACATTTCTGAGCAAACATGACTTGGCCATGTTAATGCAAATTTTTGACTCATTTCAATCCGCAATTTACATTCGTCGGGTCCTAAATATGTCTGTAGAACCGAGATAAGACCATGACAAAGCTGAGTTTTGCCGGTTTAGAAAGAGTTCAATGGACAATTGTACAATAAAGAGCAGCACCGATTTCTTCTGCGCAGTCGTCGAAGAGCATGATTTTCTTAGTATAGTTACTATAAAATTCAGACAGAATTAATTCCGCAGAAGCCTCTGGCATCTACTGCAGCTAAAGACGATAGAAATAAAAAATGTCAAAGAAAAGCATAGTCCTATTAGAAATGGCCCATTTCCAGCGATTTTTGGATATGTTTTTACCATCAGCTGCCCTTTTGTCGACCCCCTCCCACCTTGTCAAGGCTCTAGCTGCGCGTCTAAAAGAAAGAATAGTGGAGTTATACGGTAGCGTCCTTTTTACAGATAAGACAGTACGGTTGATATTATTCCTTGTAGAATCAACGGGAGAAACAAAATATGTCATTTGCTTATTACCTGGCTATTCCAAGTGGAATATGGCTTCCAGTGCATCTTATCTATAAGTATGCTGCTCTTTGCAAACGCGCTTGACAGTTTATCTCACTTCTTACTGTTTATGAGCAGCTGCTAGAGAGAGAGAGAGAGAGAGAGAGAGAGAGAGAGAGAGAGAGAGAGAGAGAGAGAGAGGAGAGAGAGAGAGAGAGAGAGGGAGAGAGAGAGAGAGAGAGAGAGAGAGAGAGAGAGAGAGAGAGAGAGAGAGAGAGAGAGAGAGAGAGAGAGAGAGAGAGAGAGAGAGAGAGAGAGAGAGATAGATATATATATATATATATATATATATATATATATATATATATATATATATATATATATATATATATATGTATATACGTATATATAACCTCACCACAACGGTGGTGCTTCTTTTGAACTGCGAGGAAATCTTGTGTATATTACGCGCTAATGCGCATAACTGCGAGCCAGAGAATCGTCATGCATATGGCTTGCTGCAAGTGGTAGGGTAAATTGAGTTGGAGAGGGGCTGTCTGTATTACAGGGCTTATCGCTTTAGATCAGTGGTGAGAGGTGAGACCCTTTAGGTGAGACCCAGCAGTCTACCAGGAGGAAAAATCACACGGGCGAGTGCGAGAAGGTGAAAAGAAGAAAACACCCACTTCGGATGAGTCTCTCTACATTCCACGCATTTGCACTAAACTCCGCGCAGAAATTACGTGACGACGTTCGGCAGTTCTGACACTGTATCCGAAAACAATCAGGTCTCGTCGAAGGTGCCACGCTCTGTCACGGACCGGTGCAGACTCATGCGCGATGCGGATCACAGCATCGCTGTGGGACGGCTCAGTCCGTTTTCCGGTCCGCGCGTCTTCAGTAGACCACGCCGCTGCGCCATTGTGAGGGGGCGGATCGTGAAAGCGCGTTCCTTCGAGCACCCATACGGCACGCCAGCAGTTCAAGGATGGGATTCTACTGGTGCATGTGGTAATCATCAACCTGTAGGGGTCACAAGTACGGGCGCGAAACGGTGTGCCAGAGCCGATGGTGGGCTGCCGTGGGAAGATATGTGTGTGATTAGACCTCTGAGTGTTGATTATGTCAGCCAAATTGATAACGTCTAAGCTCCACAAAGTGAGACGTAACTGAAATTAGGAATCCAAAAAAGTTGCCGATGCTATCTTTGATCTTAAGTGACCTAAAAAGCATTCGGTCAGAGCTGTTAGATTGGCGCTAAAAGAGTTTGCAGCAGCATTCGTCCACCTTGCGTTGCGTTTCTAGTTTCTATGCCTTTTAAATTATGCGAGGGTGGATTCCACCCTGACCTTTTCAGAAGGAAAAAAATTACGTCCTTCCGGCGCATGTGTTAACTCACGACTAGCGAAGAGCAACTTCAGCATACCTACAAGAGAGCTATTCTGCAATAAGGGCAGACATCAACAGTTCATCCAGCTGGTGTTCAAGTACGCACTGTCTATCCACCAAGTCCCTGAAATGTGCTCCGGTATCGATATATCCCTTCCATCTCAAGATGCGTTTTCCCTCATCCCATTAGACGCACAAATTACCGACCCACAATCGTCCCTGCGGAGACAATGGCAGAATGGGCGCCATGCCACGAAGCAAAAACACCGACTTCGCTTTCGTCGGCGTCGCGCTCGTCGCGCCTTCTCGCTATGCCCGAGTAAGAGTGTGGCATTGTGTACAGGCTTGGGGTCGGGTCAGCAGCAGGCGGATTGAGCCGGACAGCGACAGGGTCACCTGGCGGGAGTCTGAGGCTGTCGCGGTCCCGACAACGGCCCCGTTCGGTCGCACGCCGCGGCCGGGTGTCGCGGTGTCTGCGAGATGGCGCAGCAGCCAGCTGCACCCATACTCACGGCTGCTGCTCATGGCTACTGTTTCGTGTAGTGGTGGCACGTGTGTGTGTCACGTACATTTAGTTTGCAGCGATTATCAGTTGTTAGTACACGTGCTACTGCTCATGAGATGCTCCCTGTAAGCTCGGGCTGCTGGATTTCGTCCAGAGGCCTGACCACTTGACCATCCCGCTCCCTTAACCGATCGTAAGGAAACGTATGGTACCAGCAAAAGCGTGCATGAAATTAGCCATTGCATAATGTATCACACAGAATAAGCGCAGAAAATAATGGAGCAGCTGTCAGATAGCGTAGGTTCATGCGAGGGTGGCTCAAGGCGTGGTAGAGGTGGTGTTACGGGGGCCGGGCTATGCCCCTCACCCTGCAAATGGTCAGTCAGCCAAACAACGACACATTTCGGGACATCGAGTAACATCTAAAAGGCTCTTTAAAAGGGGAGTTTGTTTTGGACTAACCCTTGGGGTAAAAGGGGTGAAACTGGATGAGTTCTGAAAATCATGATAGCTTGTCAATTTTGCCGCCAAGTTGACGTCCCCCCCCCACCCCACTTCCACTAGCGGCGTCCTGAATCAGTCCTAGGCCATATGGGTCTAAAAGTATTATGCTTTGCTTAGCTATGTTTCTCGGATAGATAGGATGTTGAGGAGCGAGGCTAGCGGATGAACGGGAAAGCCAACCCCACGTGTATATCACTCTTTGAGATGACATTTCCGACATTTCCGATGACATTGCTGAGATGACATCTCCGCACCGAGCCTGAAGGACTCGTATGTGAACGCATCTGTGACATCGCTGGTAAACCTATCAACGTTTCTGATGCAACCGAATGCAACAAAGGCCAGTGCAATGGAGCTGAAGCCGGGACGACCACAAGTGTCCACATGAACCCTCTCATGAATCATGAATCGACCGGGATGTGCCAACGTATTGAGGGCTCTCGCAAGGTTCGCAGGTAAAAAAAACGACATTGACGGCACTGTCGCGATTCATCGTGGAAAATGCCTGTTGGGTCACTAGTCCTGGATTCGAATCCGTATACAGATCGCATGCAGATTGCATGCAGATCATACATACAGATCGCATACAGATCGCATGCAGATCGCACCACGCCAACTGGGGTTTCCGCCCCGACCGGGCCGTGGTGCAGAATCACCAACCTGCGGGTGTACCAAAGCACACTGTGCTGTCGGTCTGTGCTCACCCTGTAGAAAAACGTCCTAATATTGTTCCGGCTGCCTTTGTTAGCGACCCTGGAAAAATGCCGTGAGACTTAACTGATCGGTAGTGGGAAACCGGAAAGAAAATGGGCTTTCCCGTCTGCGTGCTTGCCCCGCGTCGCTTTTGGAACGCCATCAGCTATATTGAGTGCGGACAGGTCTACCAGCCGTATAGCACCGACAAGCTCACCTCGCTGAGAGGAGGGGACCACCCCCACCTGTGGGAGGAGACCCTCGACCGGACCGGCACCCCCGCCGCCAGCCGTCACTCTCTCGTCGGCCGCCGCGGTGACCGGATGACCTGCGGCGCGGCCCGCCAGAGAAAGTGGCCCGCCTCCTCACTTGCTACGTGGGCCACGCATGTTTTATCGGACGCTTCCCCAGTGAGGAGTACGCGGCCGGGTTATCTCCGGCGGCGGGCGGCGCGCTCGCGCTGCGTTGAGCCGACCTCACCGGGTCGGCGGGCGCACTGCTGCGGTGGAGGTGGGCACGACAGGGTCATCGGTCACTCCGCCCTTCCAGCCATGTTGAGGAACACCTCGCTGATCATCTGTGGTCTGCTCTGCCTGGTATGTACAGGCGCTCGGCCATGCGACCCGTCCGAGCTGCTTCGACCTCTTCCCCGCGGTGATTGCCACTGGTGTCTTGTTTTATGCTGGGTCGGTCTGTAGGTGAACCATCATCGCCTCATGGTCTTTGATAATGTGCATTGGGTGCAGTGACCGGTGATGAGCTCGCAGAACGAGGCCGCTCGAACAGATCTTCACCTGCTCGGAAACTCAGTGCCGCTTTTAAATTTGGTCTCTATCGTTTCCGGCGAGTGACCTCCACGTGGCCTCGCCGACTTACCAGCCGTACTCAGGGCGTGAACAACTAGAAACTAGAAGTGCCCTTTCACCATCGAGTGGTTTGTCCCCTGAATCCCTTTGGACACCGCAGTGTTCTTTATTGTTGTCCGCATCACTTTTATTCGAAGGTGATGACAAAACCAATGAAAGGGCATTCAGTAAACAGCAATGCGTCATGCTCCGAAGTCAGCAGATGCCATATTTCACAGGTTTTGTTCTACGATCGAAGAAGTTTTGCCGACAGAAACATCGCACGTTTTCAGATCAGTTATCATCTAAGGTCGAGACCGGTTTTTAAAATAATGCCTGCATGCACATTGAAATGTTGACGTGACACGCACACATGGAAGCCCTTATGACTTTTGGTGGCACTATGACCCTAGACCTTAGTGACATAGCTGAGCCCGCTGGCATTGACTGAGCTGTACTGGAGGAAGTTGCTACAGGACGCTGTGCACGACTTTGGTATTTGTCATTACCTTGTTCGGCAGAGAATGGTTTAATGGAGGATGGGAAGGAAAGAGAAGATGCTCTTTTCCCCTCGTCTTGCTGCCTTCTCCTAGCACGTCTTTCCCGACCACATGCTGTTGGCCAGTCATGATTTAATGCCTCGCATTGGACTTGAGTCCAGACCCATATACTTTGGGTTGCAGACTTAACTGAGTAGATCCACTTAACATGTGAAACAATTTATATGCAATGTATATAGTGACCAATTTTAAGGAAATGAACTGGACTCACGCTATGACTTATCTCCTTAAATTCCACGCACTGTTCGCACTTAAATTCCACGCACCAATTCCAATTGCACTGTTCAAACAGTAACATGAAATGAACTTCATGCTAACTCAGCTAACAGCATCGACTCTTCGGCTACGACTCTGTATGGGCTTTTGTAGCTGACCGCTTCCGGTGGACGAAGCAGTGGTATCAAGTAGATGTCTTCTAATAGCCATTTCTCAATTAAATCTGGAATTGACAACCGCTTGAGCTGCAGTCGCGACTTGTGTGCCCCACGAACAATCATCTCAGAGTAAATATGTGGACAATTTCATACGCAATATCAGGGTGCTCTGCACGGTCCGGTCCTCTGATTATGGAGCAGACCGCGGCTTGAGCGGGCCTTACGACCTGAGCAGTGACAATTTTAGCTTGAGCGACAGAGCCGAGCCCGGTTTTTATCGACTGTCAAATATTCTGTAGGTGAATATCCTTACAACCGCTGATCGCGTAGATGCATGTAGCTTTTAGCAATAAGTTATGGCACTAATAAGAAATAGCGCTGTGTAAGCTCCTACGCCTGATCACGCTGTGTTTTCAGGCACCATCGCAATATTGCTACGATGTCATATCCTCCAATCATTTGCCATGAAAGAAATGTTGCTTTTTAATTTCAAAATAGCTGAGAAGTTCAGGTCAAATCCGGTCCCATACCCCGACAACCCGGCGTCACGGTGGCACGAGACGTACGGATCCTGACGGGGGCGGGGACGGGCAATGGTGTTCGCTGTAGTGTCAGCCGACGTGTGCACCAGCCATGGCCCCTCGCGTGCCAACCATGGATCATGGATGGATCACTTTGGAACGTCTTTTGGGACTGACACCGGATGTGGGCAGCGCGGGCAGATGAACACGCGGAATCAGCTGCATGGCGTAGACGAGTGTATAGTCTACGAACAAAAGCGATCTTGATTTATCTCGATCTCGACCTCAGCATGGGGTTTCAACATACCCATAGGTACATTTTGGCCATCATGACGGTAAGTGCACGCCGGTAATGGTCAGAAAAGGGACAAATTTCATCGTCTTCAAAAAGGGTCCCACTTACATGTCGTGACCTGAGCGAATTGTAAATGGCTTGTGATAGCTGCACAGGTGTGTTGGTGTCCACCTGACGAGCACCCTGCAAAAACACTCGATAATTTTACAATAACTTGGTCATAGGCAATATAACTGAGGTCACAACAAGCTCATCGGTCACGTATAATCAAAGCATCTAGCCTGCCCATGCTCCGAGTTGACCCGTTTCTAAGCCATGATCGTTGTGACATAGTGCATTAATCCTGCACCAGCGAACAGAAGACGGCAGAAGGTCTGAACTCTGCCTTCTTTACTCGTGGCAAAGATGAACTTCGCAATGCACTGGTCAAACCCACCCGTATTTTTCCAAAAAGTGTCTGACTCCATTAGCCAGGCTTTTGACATTATCTCTGAGATGGTAATTGGAACCCTGGACATCTGTTATCACTTTACTCATCCCGTGCCGTGCAATACGTACCGGTGCTAACGTGAAATTTGATGGTTTGGTGGAAAATGGCCCCAAGTATTGTGCTCCATGGCCTAGCTATGACCTTAAGGCCAAAGTACAATATTATCCTCTGGGGAGGCCGCGGACAATTCTTCTTGGTTAGTTTGTCATTTTATGGTCAAAACATTGCTAAAAGGCAGCATTTTACCATTACCACACAACGGATGCATGAGTTGCTATGCATGTTATGTTATTACCGTTCGACTGTAATGTTATAGTTTAAATGAGAGGTGTCCGTGCCTTACAAGGAAACGGCTCGTGTCTTTAGTGCCTTGCCGTCTATAGAGCTAAGAAGGCCTCAGTTAAGAGCCCTTCTGAATCTTTTAGTTTTCTTATTTGTGCGTATTTGTGGCGTGTCAAACAAATGAAGGGCAGGCTCGCTGCTATCTGGTGCGCGTCCGCCCGACTTTTTTAAGTGCTTGGTTGATTTTCTCGGGCGTGGCAGGGTAGCATACCCGTGAAGAAATCGGAACGCTCTGTCAAGTTATACTGACCGCGGCGACAGTAATATGTGTCATTCTAAATCAGGAACAACGCCGTTTACCAGCTTAATGTCCAACATGATTTTCCAGAAAACGAGGCCATTGGTCATACCACAGTGCGCTTTGTATCACAATAGATAGCTCTATCTAGCCTAGACAATGACCATGCAAAGCATAGGCATCAACAAAGTCGTGCAGTTTGCATCATGTATGTTCATGGGTACCGCTAGTTTTTTGCCAAGCTCCGCGGCCAGCGAACCCATGAGTGGCCGTTCCCTTCTTCAGGCGCGCGTTAGCGCGCTCAGTGTGGATATCGGTTATCGGGCGATCAGCGCTTTCCAAATGCCAAAGAGCTCGCGAGCCGTCTGGACAATCTCAGTCCGCGCGACGCACACCTCATGCGATGCACGTTTCAAAGCTTGGAAATCTCAGCGGCATCGGCTGAGCTCAAGCTGAGTTATCCCAGCCACCGCCCCAGAGTTGTGCGCACAAAAACGCCTCCTCCTTCCCACCGGACGGTTCTTCAGGCGGCAAAACATCGGATCTCTGCCTTCATCTCCGTCGCGCTGTCCACTTTCGCGTCACATCTGGCTGCCACGTGGTCATGCGCGTGTACACGGGGACAGACGACCTACGCGGATGCGCGCCGTCAGAGCGTTGTTGTGGGATCATTCTAACGTTATGACACGTAACTTTTCTTTGAGGACTTTGGGCGCTCGATAACCAATTGCAACCCATGGGGTATCCTTTGTTGCATTTTTACAGGTTTGTCACTTTTCCACTATCCTCCCTCATCCGAACTTTCTAGATGTCTTCATCTCGTTGCACCTTTCCCGCATACAAGTAGCTACAAAATCATCATCAACCAGCGCAGGGCAATTCGCCGCGCGTCCAGATAAAAAGGGCTGAACACTGAACAGCCCAATCTATGCAAGTGGGTCAGCTTGAATGGCATGTCAGTACGCAAGAAAAATAACCAGATCCAGATAACCCGAAGCCATTTGTGAGGCAGGTTCCAAGCTGGCGAATTCAGACGCGGATTAAAAGGCTACACCTTGTTGTGCTATTATAACCTTCTCCCCCCGGCGAGTGCACAGCATTAGCCGGCCCGTTTGTTGCAGTGTCGCGGTGGCCTGGGCTTGGAGTGCCGCTGGTTCGGGCTACAGGAGGTCCGCAAGGGTGACGTCATCCGCTTCACCTCGCCCAACTACCCCAACAATTATCCGAACTTGCACAAGTGCGCCGTGCGCTTCTACCCGGCCGCTACGGACGTGTCTGTGCACCTCATCTGCAACGACGTGTCGCTGCACCGCGTCACCGGCCCGTACGCCTTCCTGAGCACCTTCCTCCTCTCCTACGACTGGGTGTTCCTCACGTCCGGCCCCTGGGTCCAGGACTTCCCGAGCGACGACTCAACGCTGCCGGCCTCCTGGAAGGCCGCCGCCGGCGAGAGCATCAACTTCGTCTTCTCGACCAACCTGCTGGACGCGAGCCGCGGCTTCCTCTGCACGGTGGTGGGCGACGACTCGCAGGAGGCTGTGCGGACCTGCGGCCTGCGGAACGCCGCCCGCTCTGGGCGAGGGTTGACAGCCAGGAGCGGTGAGATGGCTCCGGCCGGCAACGGCAGCCGACCGGTGCCCGGCGGCCGCCAGCTGCCGCTGCCGGGCGGGGCGCTCGCGCCCGAAGACAACAAGATCTTCGGCGGCGAGGATGCCGGCCCGAACGAGTGGCCCTGGATGGTGTTCGTGGTGGTGGCGTCGGGCGGATCCTCCAGCTTCTGCGGCGGCACCATCATCAGCCAGAACTACGTCCTCACGGCCGCGCACTGCTTCGACAACATGGTAGGCGTGAGCGTAGGGTGCACTAATTCGTAGAAATGGGGTGTTGTTTATATGAAGCGGAAGCCAGGATCTCCAGTCGGCGTTTTATCGCCGGGCCGCTCAGTTGGGAGTAAGAGGCAAATTGTCCAGACGTCAATAATTTAAGCAAGTGCAACTTTGCACCACGCATTGTTCATGATACGCCCGGTGTTTCGTTCTTAGTTTTTATTGCTGTCTTTATCGCTATCACGCTTGAATTTTGCTGGCCGGTGGCTCCTTTTGCTATCACAAATGCGGTGCACAGTTCAACAATGACCAGCTCGAGCCCATCTCATGGGCTTGGTCAAAATATCTCATCCGAGAATGCGTTTGTGCCCTGGTGTGTATTTCTGGTTCTACATGCACCGCTAACCGTGCTCAGAATAACGGCATCACTAGTGTGATTTAGGGTGTGCGTGCACCCTATCCTGATGCCGTTCCGGCCTCCCAGCCAGACCCATTTTAACGAAGAGGCGCGCCGTGAGAACCGGCTCATTAGCATATGAGGCCGCGTGACGTCCCGTCCTGCCGGTTCGAGGTCCACGCCGCCCCACATACCGACTGGCCGAGGCCTATTCAATCCGGCTACACGCATCGTAATGCTGGACTGGTGTCTCAAAGGGTGGCATAAGCTGTTAGCAATGAACTTTCATGCCTTGGCGGATTCTGTGACGCTGCTCAACTGGGTTTGGCTGCGTGATGGCCACCTGCTACGACCTGGGTGTGACGCGGATGGTTCTTCATGGTCAGCGCGACAGAGGGATGAGGTCGTATGGATCGGGTTCGTTAAGTTATGTGTATTTCCACAAAACCTCATCAGATGATACAGGATCCTTTTAGTTTTATACTTAAATGTTTTTTTTACTTTAAATGCACTTTTGAGCTTAGCTGCATCATTGCCTCAATTTTTACCAGGAGAGACCGTCTCACAGTCCAGTGTGACAGCACTGCGCAATTAACGTGGTTACCATTGCAGTAAGGCATTATTTTAGAGGCAGCTAAGCTGAAATCATTTACATTATCTCGATGTAATCCTATAGTTCTCTTAGTCTCAAGAACATGACGTGTCATTCACTGGAGAAAACCCTACACCATCGTCAACAGCATGGCATGAGGTCTGCCAGGCCGTAACAAACGTCGCAACAGCGCCTGTGGCCGCCGTCGTGGATGACCCGCGCGGGGCCGTTGCGTGTGTGACGCTCGTCCGCCCTCTCCTCGCACCAGCCGGGCGCCACAGCCACCCTTCGGTTCGGCTCGTCCGACCTGACGAGCCCCACCACCCTGGCGGTGCTGGCCGAGAGCATCATCCTGCATCCGGACTTCAGCACCAACAGCCAGGGGGCGCTCTTCAACGACGTGGCGCTGCTGAAGCTTCCCGCGCCTCTGACCTTCTCCGACGACGTGCGGCCCATCTGCCTGCCGTCCTTCTCGGACCGGGCGCGCGCTTACCCAGGCACCGCTGAGATCACCGGTGAGCGGGGCGGGGGGCGCTGAGATCACCGGTGAGCGGGGCAGGCACCGCCGAGATCACCGGTGAGCGGGGCAGGGGGCGCTGAGATCACAGGGAAGGGAAGGGCCGAGCTCGCAGGGAAGAAGTTGGGTGGGCTGAGATCAGGAGAGAGAGAGAGAGAGAGAGAGAGAGAGAGAGAGAGAGAGAGAGAGAGAGAGAGAGAGAGAGAGAGAGAGAGAGAGAGAGAGAGAGAGAGAGAGAGAGAGAGAGAGAGAGAGAGAGAGAGAGAGAGAAGAGAGAGAGAGAGAGAGAGAGAGAGAGAGAGAGAGAGAGAGAGAGAGAGAGAGAGAGAGAGAGAGAGAACTGGGGTCACCGGTGACCAGGACAGGGGCCTGAGATCACCGGGGATGGGAAAACACTGAGCTTGCAGAGGAGGGGATGGACCGACTGAGATCAGGGAACAGAAAGAGTAGGTGAGCTAAGGTTATCGGGGAGGAGAGCAGGGGGCCGAGCTCTCCTGAATTCGCCTGCAGCTGTGTGTTCGTGCATTCGGTTCTGGGTTCGGCAAAACACGTACATAACAAATGCACGGAGTTGATCTAAATCCTCAAAACATATGACGCGCTGATACTTACGCATACATGATACCGGACAATTGCATAATGCATCAAATAACATGGATACACATTTTAGCAGGCTACATTGGCGGATGCATGCCAACATGGATGGGTATTTAGCAGACCCCAGGTGTATGCATGTATGCACGTCTCTTTCCTAGCTCAGTTCATGACCCGCATATCCGGCCACAGCCCGAGCCGTTTGTAACAGCGCGGCCGCCATTCTCCCCATGCCAGCTCACGTTTGGCTGTGCCGCTAGTCAGTCCGGCCGCCTCACGTGTCATGGACCTGTGCGGCTGAGACGTGCCGCCGAAGGGGTCGCAGTGACCGCAGTGAACTCTACCGGCTGCGTCCGTGCGGGGACGGTGTAACTGTGACGAGTGCCGCGTGGCGACCGCCACAACCCGGCTCGAGAAATGTGTGCACGGGTGCTTCGGAACGTGCCCCTTCATACCGTGTCATTGGCCGCGACCGTGCGCCTGTACCACTCACGGGGGTCGTTCCATGCTGGGGGAGCCGTGGCAAAACTGGGCGGATGTTAAACAGGAATGACGTCAGTTGCTGGTCTCTGTGAGCTGCTGCTGCCCCCACGCTGAATAAGTGGAGCTTGGTGTGTACGCTGCCGGTCCGTCCCAGAAAACTACGTGTGCTATGACCGCACAGCAGGTTTCCGGCGCCGCTGGATGTGATGACACGTTGGGCGTGATGCAGCGGTCAGGCACGGGAGCGGGATCAGTTTCATTCCCCCCCCCCTCCCCCAAACATCTTGCTGCTCATATGAGTTATCCATTAGTTAGCCCCCGGCGGCAAGCAGCGGGGCTACAAGTAAGGCCCCTTAGAGTTTCGGGAATAGCTATCTTACTGTGCCAAGTAGGCTCAGAGAATTTGCTGTACTTGATGAGCGCCAGTGTGGCACAGTCTGAAGAAGTCACAAGCTCGACATCAGGTTACGCTACTGAGCCATGTCATCAGCGCACCCTTGCAGGACGATTTTGTCTCAACATACAGTATTTGACAGTAGGCGGTTATATTCTACTTTTGCAATTAATCTATCCATCAGTTGCACTATCTGCCAGTCGGTGTCTTTCAAACTATCGGGGAACGGGGAACATCAAGTCATCGCCAGAGAACATCTGGGGCCACCTCACATACATCAAATTGACCATGATTTGTTACGTATATTTTGTATACTTCATATTTTGGACAAATGAGGTGGTCTATCAGACACAATCCCAAACCGTAATACAGTATGTGAACCGGAAAGCGGAAAAATCAGATCTGATAAAGTGGCTCTTCCTTGACTTGACACGACCTGAACGCGACCTGAATTTGACGCTCCTCTTAATGTAGTTTTCCGATCGTGGCATGACTCTGGAGCGCGAAAACCTGCTCTTTGTTTAGTAACAGTACAAAAAACCTCCGTTTGGTCACAGTTAGGGCCAATACTACCGGTGCTTAACTGTCCCCTGGTCATTTGAAGATTTTCGGGATTTTTGAAGCATCTGAGTGAACTGTGACGTCATCAATCTTGCGACAAATATGAACTCATCGATTCGTGGGTCAGATTGGCTCGAGAAGCAATTTCTGCCTGAGGTTTTGCAATCCCACACTTAGATCTTGACATTCCAGGGGACTGTTACCTGTCAACGGTCCCGGGTGGCGAAATTACGAAAGGGTGGCAAGATAAGGATTGCATGTATAGTCAGATTAACTCGGTTTAAACTGCCCTTTTCAGCTCTTGAATACAAGTCACACCACGTTAGAACAGACCCCTTACGCAGCGATCTCCGCTGTGGCGGGTTGGGAGGGACGCTGTGGACACGAGACACTGTGTCTCGGCGTCCTCACCGACCTTGGGTGGGTGTCAGCTGGATTCGCGTCCGAGTTTGAGAGAGATTCGCGTCTGAGTACGCCCCTGCTGAGGATGCGGAGCCGATGTCAGGAGACCGGGTCGGCTGGGAGCTCGCCCCATCTTCCGATGCCCTGAAGTATCCTCCTGCTCGGCATGACGCCAGCCTTTGTATGTCCGCAGGCTGCGGGGGCGGCTACGAGGAACATCTCTCCACTGTTTCTTCTTGATCCGCCCGCCAACTCTGACCAGACCACACACGCGCCCGCAGAAAAGTGTCGCCTTCAGGGACACACATCCACACCCCCTCCCCTCCCTGGATCCAACGCTACCTAGGCCGACTGAGCCTTATCCCTCACACTTGCACACGACTCTTCTCATTTTCATACCGACAGGCTGCATTCTCACCTCCGGTTGAGGGTCACGCGTCCGGATCCGCTCCTGGATCCGCTGCTGGTCAGAATGACCCACGTCCTGGCGTGCCCGCAGGCTGGGGTAAGCTGGGGAACCTGCTGCCGATCACGCCCCAGCTCCAGGAGGCCACCGCCCAGATGCTGGGTCTCACTGAGTGCAAGGCGCGCACTGCGAACGCCGCCACCTTCGAGCAGCTGTGCTCCGACCCCGTCACAGGCATGAGCGTCTGCCCGGTAAGCGTTCGACGGGGGGGGGGGGGGGGGGGGGTGGAGGGGATGCAGGTGTTCCGGTGGCAGGCGTTTGTGAGGATGGAACAGTTTATTCCTAGGTGTGAAACCGAGGCGTAAACGTCCGGGGCTGCCCACATTACAACAAAACACGTATTTTATTCGGGTCTAGCATTGTTCTGCGGAAATGCGCTTTGAATCCCGAACTTCAAAGCTCCAAACTTTATCAGTGCTTCGAATTTCGGAACTCGATGCTGAATCTGGGGAGCTCTGCTCTCGGAACTGACCATGCTGCCTCTCCGTTGACGGTTTTCTGCTGTTTGCTACCTCTTGCATGTTGTCTCAAGGCTGATCGAATACCCTGACCTAAATAATGCAATGCCATTTCAACAGAAACTTCTCATTTTGTCTCAGTTTGATTCGATTGCATTCCAAGCGGAATCTTGCATAATGTCATGACAAAAAGTGCGCAAATTCCGGGCCATGCCGGTTAGCACTCGTGTCAGTTGACAGGCAACAACTGCATGTCGGGCAGGCCCCACAAAGCGCACTTACTGGGGCTCGTAATGAGAGGGCTGTGTGCAGCTTGACTACGAGATGAGGGAGCCTGCCATGGTATCGACAATGTATGGCCAAAGCTCGCAAAGCTTGATGTTTTGAACCTTCGATGCCCTCCCAACTTCGGTATGTTCCGCCTGCCAGATTTACACAGCATGTCCCGCAGCTGGTCACCAATGGGACATATGGGTCAAATGACAAACATGTGATATATTGCTGACATAGGCGTTGTTACTCGTAAGCCGCCGGTGTCGGCGGGGGGGGGGGGGGGGAGGCAAGGCATCCAGCCTTGATGACTTCGATCCTATCCGAGGCGACCTCATTCAGATAGCTTGCGTCGAAGCGTGCACTCCAACATATCCCAGCGACGACGTCACTGAATCGTACTGCATGTCAATGTATTCGCACGCCGGGCGCACTTCAGCTGTGAGAGACGGGTGCCTGCTGGCGTGCGATCATGCTGGCGCTCACGGGGGTTCTCAAACTGGGGCGCTGGCTCAGCTTGGTTCGTCGTATATCAGGGTCTTGTGGGCATCGGAATGTCAAGGGTTTAAGTTATGTACTTGACCGCAGTATGACTCCTATGCATGCACCTGAACTGAGCCTGGTGGGCTTTTTCAGCACCCAGCTTTGTCGGTTCTAACGCCATACATCTGGGCGTAGAATGCTTGCATGATAAATGCTGCTGTGCAACGCCATTCAAGATGCCAATGGTGCCTTCTTCATACTCGTCTTCAACTTCATTGAAGCCTTCAGGTGGCGGCCTGGCATGGATTTGCTTGATGATAAATTAAGTAGAATCGCCGCTTCATTTCCGATATATGTTAGAGGTGATTCAACAGGATGCTCTTGTTACGTCGGCCGCCGGCATCAGTCACTAGTTGCCATTTGTGACGAGCTCTCTTCTGTTACGCTTGGTTCACGAAATATTTATTTCTGGTGCACCGCGCTCGCGACCACTGTGCACATCGTCGGCATACCACAACTGCTGGGGAGTGGTTGTAAGTGTTTGAATTGGGGCATCGGTGCCAGACCTTTCAAAACAGCTGATGCAGAGGTACGCGATAGATGTTAAATAAGAGCCCGCAGCTTCTAAGAGTGCTCATGCATCGCCTCTGTTAAGTTTTTATTGTCGCTTTCCGTTTTTAATCGTCATCAGGTTTTCAACTCTCGTTTCCAACGCGCTGGCGTTACAGTCTGCTACCAACGCCACAGAGCACGTTTATTTCGGAGAGTGATAGTGCAATTTCAGTACTTTCTGACACGCCTTTTCCAATTGTTAATCAAAAGACGTTATTCGCTCATTTGGCAAACTTAACGTACGAAATGAACATAATGAAAGACTTCAGATGAGCAATGGTTTTCGCCTTTTGTTCTTAGGAGTGGACAGCTGCCGTAGGTTCTGTGAATAAAGATACGCATTATCGTTTGATTTATCGCAGTACACACACAGATTGTAACGCGTTTGTCCATACAGTTTGGGGTTGGTGTGGAAACATGTGTATGAGTGTGTCGAAACAAACCTCAAAGTATATGTATATATATATATATATATATATATATATATATACGGCTCTGGTACTGCTCGACGTCCTGGGCGCCTGGCGCCGACCTGCTCGTCCGTACCGCCAGCTGCGTCACGGGGGTTTTCCTGCCGCAGGGTGACTCTGGCTCGCCGCTGAAGATCGCCGACTTCGACGGCCGGTACACCCAGGTGAGCGCGACCCCAGGTCAACGCATGGCGGAGTGGATACGGGCTTTTATGTCCTCCATTGAATCAGGCAGCCTACATGAGTGTGCGTACTAACTCCGTTTTATAATGTAGCACTGCTTTGTAGAGTTTTGTAGTCATGCACCTCGTATGTGTCAACAAGTCACACTCATGAGGATGTTCGTTCGCCTTCGATATGCATGTCAGGATAAGTGTGTAGCAGACTATATGTGTGTCACGTCGGATAAGTTGAAGAGAAGCACGACTGTGCCATTCAACTTCGCCGCCGTCCTCCGGCCGTAAAGGCGACGCCGCCAGGTGCCAACGACGCCGTCTCCCTGCCGCAGATCGGCATCGTCAGCTACGGCAGCGCCTCCTGCGAGGCCGACGGCCTGTTCGCCGTCTACACCAGGGTCGACCAGTTCCTGGAGTGGATCCGCGACAACTCGGACGTCACCATCCTGCCCTAGGCGTGACAGGTCGGCGCCGGCCGGTGCCGCGCTGCGCGGGCCGGCGCCGGAGCTGCGGCCGCTCACCGGCGTCCGCCAGTGCGAGGCCTCGGGGAGGCGAGGCGCGGGAGGCGGAGCGGAAGCGCCGGAAAGCGTCGCGCGGAGCGGTGCGGCGTCCTGGCGGAGCGCGAGAGCCCGGCAGCGCTCCCGGAGACGCCCCGGGAGGCTCGACAGAGCGCGCTTGGCTCTCCATGTATATGGGCGCGGCGCGATGGCAGCTGGAAGGGAAACTCTCCACGCTGATCCGATGATCCGGCGAGGTGGTTGGGCAAACTGTGGGGCTGTTTTGACACTCTGTGTGGCCGGCCACGGCAGGTTCGACAGATGCTAGGAATAGCATTCAGGGACATGTGCAATGTCAGATTTTGCATTGATGATAAACGCTGCGGCGCAGACGTTACCAAATCGCGCCTGCACGTCGTCAGGCAGCTCTGTGCGCGGTTACCAGCTGCGGCTGCTGCTCAAACCCGTAAATACTCGCGCAAAATATTCGGCCCGTGACCTCGTGATGAGCTTGACGACCGCCCCAGCCTGCACAGTTTGTCTCAGCTGTTTACTGACGCCTGGTGCTGGAACTGCGCGCCAGCCTCACCCGGCTGGCCGCTGGCGGCCGCCGCGGACTGGAGTCGACATCCGAACAAAAACACATATCCGTTGCGTGGTCGGCGCGTCGGCCGGCAGTGATAGATGCCATATTCGCCCGTTGCATTGGTCAACGAGCCGTTGTTACGCTGTTAGGTTGTTACGTTGTTACAAGTTAGCTGTAGATGCGGACGAGAGTCTTTGTTTGGTCGGCGCTTTTGGAGGCTCCGGAGGAGACATCCACGTATGTGTGCCAACTCCTTTGCTATGTGCCGGGAGAAAGCAGGCGTCGGGTGTTTTTACTTCGCACCTGGGCGATGTCTCGTATGATCTCGGAGGGATGCATGGCTCACTTTGCCGCCATGTCACCCATTCCAATCAGACAGGAGAAACCCAGCTGCTGTTGAGCCATTCAACCGATGCGCTTGTTCTGATCTGCTTAGTATGCGTAAAATACCGACGAATATGTTGGCCATTGTTCTTATCTGCCTACCCAGCGCATCAATACAAATGTGCAACTCTTTCGATATGGTGTGATAAGGTGGTACGCTGTTTGGCGGTACAGTCAGCAAACAACAGATCGTCGGACTGCCACTCGCGAGCCCTTTGCTCAATGTTTGATGAAAACTTCGTGAGACCACGTGGCTTTGCGTACGGCCATTAATGGCGTGGCGAATGACGGCCGTTGCCTAGCAACGCGTCGCAGCTTTCGCGTCCCGGCGTGCCTCACACGCCGGATGGACCAGGAATGTTACAGCTGTCCGCTATTTCTAGCACAGACACGACTTTGAGCGTGCAGTCGGGCGCCAGCTGAGTCTGTCTCGAGGCCAACCAAACCAGCGGCCGCTTATCTGAACTGGAGGTGACCTCGGCAAGAGGAACCGCGTACCGCGTGCTGGTGCGGACGCCCTAGCCTGAGTGTTAACAGGTTACCATCCGCCTGGAAGAGCTATTTGACCCAGTGTATCGTCATCGTCTCTGTGGGCGGCAAGGTGCAGTTGTTGCACGTGCTGTGGTCGAAGCACCGCTTCCGCATCACCGGTTCTTACTGCACCCAGGTCACGAGAGATATGACGCACAAAGCGGCCCAGTATAACTTGTGGTACATATACCAACGTGATAACTTCACGCCTCCACACGTCAGGGCAAACAACGGTGACCTTCAAGAAGGCTATGCTTGAAGTATGAGCACTCAACTTAAAAGGTCATCATCACTCGTTTTGCAGCTTCAGCGGCTCAAACCAAACTTAAGTGATATGCAGATGCATTGATGCGTGTCAGAGCATCATTGCTGCATGCCAGAGCATGTATGCGGCGTGCCGGGGTATCAATGATGTATGCCAGAGCTGAGCATACCACCAGAGTATGCATATGAACCTCATCTGCTCTGGCGCGTCCCAAGTCACCGGTAGCGGGAGGGTCTATTCGATGTTCCTTTAGTCACGGGACAACATGGAGAATGCCACATAAGCGACATGTAGGCCTCGGTAAAGAAGAAGTTGTTGGGATAGATGTATTAAGATCGTCTTCATTAGTGAGCCATGGCAATAGCTATAAGACTGCATTTACATTTTAAGATTGTATTAATCTCTCTTAATAACCCAACTATGGACTATCTGATAAGCTATACAGTAATATATTATTTTAAACGATTTGTACGCAAACATTTGCGCGGTACTTTCTGCAACATGTACCGGTACGAGAAGTACACCGAGGCTGAAGGGGCCAAGTCGTGGAAAGTAGCATGAATATTCTCAAGATATGATTTCGAATCTGACTTTCACCCAGTAGCACGGGCAGGGGACACAGGCGGTATGTGCTCCTTCCCAGGTCCCAAGGAGCCCTCTAGACGCTCGAGACAGACGCTTAAGGGCGCGAAGGGCTGGCCGAAGATCCTATTCGGTGTTCCGGCCCTGTAGGCCGGTTCTTTAATGCCAGAGGGCCCTTTGGCACAGATGGGGGGGGGGGGGAGAGGGGAGGGCTGAGTCGATAAGAGCCTCTGTGTCGGCCAGACTTAACCAGTGCCGAGCAGTCGGCTTGGTGTTGTTCTGGACCTGAGGGCCTTTTTCCCCAGCAACGACAGGGCTGGGGCCCGCGATTTACATTGGTCGGGGCCTCTGAGTCAATGAAAGGCCCCTGCGTCAACCAGAGATCCTTCGGAACCGACAATCAGTGGCCCGTATGGAAGGCTGAGGGGACCGAAGGGCCCGAAGGGCTGGCTGTAGGTTTCATTGAGGATCTCGGCCCGAAAGGGCCGTGCCATCGAATGTCATTCAGAGGGTCTCCTGTACCGATTAAAAACCCGCTGGGACAATGCAGCGGGTTTTTAACTCTATTCCGGTCAGAGGCCACCAGCACCGAACAGTTGGCTTCGTGTCGGTTTGAGCAATGGAGGTCCATTTCTCGAGCAGTAACAAAGTCTGGACCCACAATTTGCGCTGGTCGAGGTCCATAAAACAATGAGGGAGCTCTTGTCGGTCGAGGCCCCGAGTGACTTATAAAGGCCCTCTGTCAGAAAGCGGCTTCGATTCGGCCGGAGACCGTGTTCGAGGGCCTCCGAAGAGCGCGGGAAGTGTCAAAGAGGGATCTTGATGGGCCTCGCGGGATCAAAGATTACAGGGCCTCTTGCGCATCGATAGCATGCCTCTTAGACAATACCGACCCCTATTATGGCCGGAGACCACCAACACCGAACTGCCGGCTCCGTGTTGGTCTGAGCCCGGGGACACATTTTCCAAGCAGGGACGAGGCCTGGGCCCGCGGCTTACATTGTTCGGTAGCCCTGCAACAATAAGGGACCCTGTGTCAGCCAGGGGCCCGCAGTGCCCAACAAGGGTCCTCTATCGGCAAGGGGTCCCGAGTCGGCCAGTGGAACATTTGTTGAGCAGGTAGAACGGACTTGACAATACCCTTTAAGACGCAGTGGTGCAACCAGGAATTAATCCAACAGGTGTCCACATCGAGTCATGGGGCCCTTGCGGTCGGGAGCCCCCTTTGTCGCTTAGCTGCCCTGTTTTTTTTCGTGGAAGCCTTTCCTGCTGAGATCCTATTTTCACGCTTTTGGAACAGTTTTATGTTTGGCAAGCATTTCTGGGAAGACCAAAAGTACCTACCGCAGGCTCTGCCCCCAGGGGTCCACGCCACCTCCAGCGGGGAAGGGGGGATATCTGCATGGCCCCACGGTCACACCTGGCTGCATCTCGGCCAGAGTAGCCAAGATATTTGCGTGTGTATTCAAATGTGTCTAGCTTCATCGATTAAAAAGTATCGCAGACTGTGTAAAAATGCCTACGTAGCGCCTCCAGTTCATTCCACGTCACATTCAGAGCCTTACAGACGAATCACAACAGCGGAGCTAACAGCTGTCAAATAATGTCGCTAAATAAGGAAGGAATACTGCACTGTTCTTTGAGTACAAAATACAGATGCAAAACGTGGGCAGAATAAAAATTAGCTGTGGTGTTCCTTTCAGGATGGTTGCATTTGCGGAGCGGCTTGGCGCGGGAATCGTTCAACACAGTCAAGGCCTAACACAAAAGTGGCCTGGCATTCTGCGGGGAGTGGGCGTGGGAGGGGGCTGTTCAAGTAAGTGTGGTATGATTACCGTTTGGCGTGAGTTTTGGACCAAATGCACCGCCATTATGACTCTTCAGTGAGCTGTGAAACGGTTAGGTTCAGGCACTTCCATTTCAGTGTTGCCCGGCATCAGAAGTGCACTGGTGCTACTTGGGTGTGGGACGCAAACTCAGTTACCCATTCTTTGCGCATCGTGTATTAATGTCCATTCCTGTTCAGGAGCGATGTGCATATGCACAATCAGCCATGACATGGTCAATATATTGCATAAAGTAGTTGTAAGTAGAATGCTTTGCTTATGGTGTTATTAATGTGCTTGCAGGTCATTTCAGTCTTATATGCTGATTTTGAAAGGATGTCTGGTATTGCTCAAACGATCAAAAGTGGTGCGATTTGTCATAATTTTGTTGTACTAGTAAGGTAGTGGACATGTGCTATGTGCTATAAGCTCTATTTAAAAGGCATTGTGCAATCAGTGACCATGACAAACCAACTTAAGCCTAACTGTATTGGAAGGCCATGCCCATGTTTTGCAGGCTCCCAAAACAGTTTTCAACAGTCATGTTCAGTTCAGTTCAACAGTTCAACAAAACAGTCATGTTTTATGAATGACTGGATTATGTGTGCATTTTTCTGTAGGAGTGACATACAAGGGTTGGCACAAAACATTAAAACTGTTGATATGTGCTAATGCTTTTAGATTTGTGTTCTCTTTGCAAGTGATGTGCCTTTGCAGAGGCTGCATTATCCTTTTTTTCTGAATTGTGGAAAGCAGCCCTGGATAGCAATCTTACAGCTCTGTATGTTGGTCTTTAGGAAACTAGATGTGTGATTGCATCACCTGCATGCTAAATTTTACCTTCAATATTTCATGGACTGGTGTTATGATTGGTTTCTGTCATGTCTGTCACATGGGCCATCACTGGTGCTGTGAATGCCAGAACTGCCATGTACTGATGCTTTTATATATTCCAGCATCTTCATGACAAGATAATAGTTTTCATAGCTTTTGAGAATGAGTACTTTCAGACTACAACAGTATATAAATGATCTCCTGAAGCATGCTGGGTAAGCTGTCAATATTGTCATCCTAAAAAATTGTTTTAGTTATTTTCATTGGCAAATATCTAGTTACATTATGTGTCATGCTAACATGGGTATAAGGTGTAATTTAACTGGACATTTACATCTTTTTCATCATTTTCACTGCCAAATTTTTGATCATTTTTACTGCTTAGTTGTTTCACAATTTGGCAGCAAAAATGTCCTTTCATTTAGTTACATTGTTCTCCCTGCCAAATTGTTTCACAATTTCAATTTGAAATGTAGATTCTTGCATTGATGATGCCAGGTTTACAGTGATGTGTTAAGCATTTTAACCACCATCTGTTTTATAAATGTATCCACCCAGTGATAATTATTTTTCAGCCATGAACGAATCACTCAGGAACAGTTAACTGCCCTGGTGACAGCAGCAGCAGAAAAGCCAGCAGTTTCCCAGACCCAACTGCAGAGGGCAATCAAAAATCTGTCACAGAAAAGCAAGGACTTGAAAGTTATAACAAAAAAGTACGAAGATCTCAAGAAAAAGGACCTGTGAGTGATCATTGAGATGGCAGCATGGTGATATAGCACACATATTACTTAGTTTTCTTGGTACTGATTTCATTTATTTTTGCCACATTGCATGTAGTAGAAGGAAAATACTGTTGCATGGAATCATATTTATTGATAAATGCATTTGCCATTTTGGGATTTATTGTTGAACGAACTAATGTTTAAGCCATGCAGTCATGACTGTTTCAAGACCTTGTCACTTGTTTTGTGAGCTTTCATACCAAGCTCACCAGCACAAGCTTTGCCTCCAGCTGTGCAGCTTTGTTTTTATGTGTGCCCAAAGCCCATTGCTGCCAATGCCCCCATCTCTTCATTCACTCACTATTTGACTGTGGTGGGCTGCATGTCCACTACAGGCTGTTTGTGTGCTTGACCCTGCACTGATTGATGCCTTGTCACTAAGCAATCACAGAGCTCCGACCCCTAAATGACAGGTGTGCCCACCTGGACCGGGTGCTGGTGCTGCTGTCCCGTCGTCCGGCGCCGCCGGACACGGCCGTGGCGGCCGCCTCGTCCGCCTCCTCAGTGGCCTCGGAGCCGCGGCCCCGCAGTCTGGTGGACCTGACTGGCGTCACCGAGGTCAGTGCACTCCACACGGCCGATGTTACCTGGTCAGTGTGGCTCTGGGGCAGAGGTGTGGCTGACTGCCTGCACCAAGGTCAGCACGCTCCACCCGGCCGGCATCACCGGGTCAGGTGTGGCCACGGGGCGGAGGTGTGGCTGACTGTAGTCACCGGGACCGTGATTGTTCTGTTGCATTACCACAACGGACCTGCGACCTGCGTTACCTGTGTCGCTCTGTCGCGTCAGCAGACTGGTGACCTGTGCCTTAGGATTCCATATGGCCTCACTGACCATGCGGCGTCGGCTGACGTTTAGCCCGCATGACCTCCAGCTGACCAGTGACATGCCTGACCTGCACTGAGCGTGTGCGCGGTCGACAGCTGAAGGAGGCGCTGCAGCGTGTGGTGGGCCCGCCGGAGCGCGAGGCGCCGCCGGCCGCCTCGCTGGCGGCGCGGCTGCAGCAGTCGGCCGGGCCGCGGCAGCCGCCGCCGCCGCCGCTGCCAGACTGGCTCAGCGAGCGGCCGTACATGACCCGCGGTCTGGTCACGGCCGGCGAGCCGCCGCCCCGACTCGGGCCCGCGCTCGCGCCGCTCGGTACGCATCGGCAGCGCTGGTACCGGCGCCGCCTGCCGCGGCTGTTTACAGCGGCGCGGAGTGGGCCGCGGTACGCCCTGTGTATGGCTCTCCTGCTGCTCCGTCGAGCCTGGCTCAAGTTTGTTTCAACTTGGTTTTAAGTGGCATTTCGTGCATGCCTCGTGTTTCATACGATGGTTCAGAGATTCATGCTTTCACGTTGTGTGTCGCATTTTGGGGCTTTGCTTGCGGACCCATTTCTCGTAATTCTCGTGACACGAGTAAGTTGCGCGTGTTACTTCTGCGAAAGGTTTTTCTCTAGTCGCACTGCGTTGCCTATGTCCGGAAACGTCTGAACGCGTCCGCTAGGTCCCTCACGAGCTCAGCAGCGGCTGCACCGACCCCGGCGATGGTTAGTGTCCTGCCGGCGGACGGCCCGCCGCCCCGGCCGCCGCGCCGGACGCCGCCGGCCTTGTGCTGGGTCCGTTCGCTGACAAGGGCCGCCTGTCCTCAGGTGACCTGCCCGTCACCACCCAGGAGGCCACCGTGATCGAGGACGTGCTGTTCTGCCTGTCGGCCATCGACGGCGAGTACGTCACCGTGTCGCACGGAGACTGCCGCATCGACGACACGATAGGTAGGCGAGCGCCGTCGGCACGGAGGGCCGGGGTGGAGGTGCGAGCGTGGGGTCGTCGCCGCCGCCCGGCCTCGCCGAAACGTTTGCCAGTGGAGGCGGTGCCCGGGCGGCAATGTCATGCGAGACTTGCTGTGTTTGCACTCTTTGGCGGGCGCTCGGTCTGCTCCGGTGTCCATGTGTGTTTGGTGGGTACGTTTGGTTTTATCCAGCAAAGGTTTTGTGGGGCTATGGCGATGCGCCCTATGTAGCGACGTGTGGTTCGTCTCGCGTGCATGAAGCGGTCCTTGGTTGAAAGGCAGTAACGTACCAGTTGTTCGAAGATAACAACCCCACGATCTGAATGAGCATTCGATGCGCCATAAAGGCCACACCATCAAATCAGCAGCCTCATCTGTCATAACTACTCCCCGGCTTGTGAGCACGGCATACATCCTCTTTCCTGCCAAGCTGCCTTCCGGCCTCACCTCCCCCGCCTCCCCGTCTCCCCGTCTCACCCCCAGCCTCTCTGCCTCCCCGTCTTCCCGTCTTACCTCCCTCGCCGAGCCGCCTCCCGTCTCACCCTCCTCCCTCCCCGCCGAGCCGTCTGCCCGTCTCACCTCCCCCACCGAGCCGTCTCCCCGTCTCACCTCCTTTGCCGAGCAGCCTTCCCGTCTCACCTCCCTTGCCGAGCCGTCTCCCGGTCTCACCTCCCCGCCGAGCCGTCTCCCGTCTCATCTCCCCCACCGAGTCGTTTGCCCGTCTCACCTACTCCGCCGAGCCGTCTCCCGTCTCACCTCCCCCGCCGAGCCGTCCCCCGTCTCACCTCCTTTGCCGAGCAGCCTTCCCGTCTCACCTCCCTTGCCGAGCCGTCTCCCGGTCTCACCTCCCCGCCGAGCCGTCTCCCGTCTCACCTCCCCCACCGAGTCGTTTGCCCGTCTCACCTACTCCGCCGAGCCGTCTCCCGTCTCACCTCCCCCACCGAGTCGTTTGCCCGTCTCACCTACTCCGCCGAGCCGTCTCCCGTCTCACTTCCCCCGCCGAGCCGTTTCCCCGTCTCACCTCCCTGCCGAGCCGTCTCCCCGTCTCACCTCCCCCGCCGAGCCGTCTCCCCGTCTCACCTCCCCTGCCGAGCCGTCTCCCCGTCTCACCTCCGCCGCCGCCGCCGCAGACCCGGCGCTTCAGGAGACCGTGCGCCAGATCAGCCCGCTGTTCGGCCACTTCGCCAGCGTGATGGCGTTCGTCGAGGAGACGACGTTCGCGCCCGGCCAGGTGGTGCAGGCGCTGGGCGCCGCCGTGCGCAGCCACATCAAGAACTACCTGGTACGGCGCGGCCGTCGGGAGTGGCGCGTCGCCGCGTCTGGGCTGGACGCTCGTGCTCACACGCGTGGCTCACGCACGTCGCAAACCGTGTGATGCGAACGTGGTGTTACGTTCGCCGTGCGCACTGCTGATCAGGTTGCTTTCTGTGCAGCCTGGATGTGTTGGAGCACCTGGCTCGTGGATTGCACCTGCACCCGCCGTCTCGCAGTCTCAATCGAGTGTTAAATCGCGCCGCTCAGGAGCACGGCTTTTCTAGCAGGTCGTGGAGGGAAGGTTTATCGCGCGCGGGAGGCACACCGCACCAGCCGCCGCGCCCCAGCGACCAGCTTGCCTCGCGTCGTGACCCTCGGGCTAGAGGCCGCCGGCCGACCCTGTCCTGCGCTCGTCCGCAGGTGCTGATCGCCCAGCTGGAGACGCAGCAGCGGGCGGGTGAGCTCACAGCGCAGCGGCTCTGGTTCTACCTGCAGCCCAGCCTGCGCACCATGGAGATACTAGCTGACGTCACCGACACTGTGTACCAGGTGCGCGAGACGACCTGGCCGGCCCGGTCACGGCGCGCGGCGCCTCCCTGGGCTGGGCCCCGCTCTCCTGGGGTAGAGCGCCGGGCAGGGGCGTGCAGAGACGCTCACCAGCAGTGTCGGGGGTTTCGGAGTTGAGCTCGACAATCTGTGGGTATGCGCTTCTGTAGCGTCCGCTGTGTCCGTCTGCGCGCAGCACGGTCTGCAGAGCGGCCAGATCCTGAGTCTGCTGCACGAGCGCTGCCTGACGGGCGACGAGCGCACGCAGCAGCTGTGTCTGCACCTCGTTCAGGCGGCCGCCGTGCCCTACATGAAGATCTTGGAGAACTGGATCTACAAGGGCACCATCTCCGACCCGCACCGCGAGGTGAGGTCCGCCGCTGGAGGGCGCGCGCGGCGCCCGCTCGCCGTCTGGCACCCATGGCACTGACGTGTCGAACGCTCTGCGCGGTGTCTGTGCGTAAGCCGTGGGGCGATGTGTTTGTTGCAACGTACTTTCTGGCGTTCTTTTGTAGCGTCTGGTGTTTATAGCATGGCGACCACTATGGTTTTGTGACAGCGGTGTTTTCGACGTTCATGGTGGTTTTCATCAAGGGCCTCGAGATCCAGACTTGGATGTTATGTACCGGTGCGAGCCAACTCCAGTTTCCAAACTGACAACGTGCTGGCGTAAGCGTGGCGGCGGACAGCACCCCAGCGTGTCGTGTTCATCGTCACGAGATCCACGACCATGACCGCCCTCCCCCCCCCGCGCTCAGTTTCTGGTGGAGGACAACGAGGTGTCGGGCGGCGAGCAGCTGAACGTCGACTACAGCGACGACTACTGGGAGAAGCGGTACACGATCGCGCCGCAGAAGATCCCCACCTTCCTGGCCAAGGTGGCCGACCGGCTGCTGCGCACCGGCAAATACCTGAACGTCATCCGGCAGTGCGGTGAGGTCGGCGGCGGGGCAGGCGCCGGTGGGGGCGGCGTGCCGGCTGAGGTCAGGGGGCGGGGTGGGCGCGGCGTGTCGGCCGAGGTGGGGCAGGCACTGTTGGCGCGGTGTGCCAACTGACGTGGGTAGAGGAGCGGGTGCGGCGTGCCGGTTCCGGTGGGGGAGCGGGACGCGGCGCGGCGTGCCGCCCGAGGTGGGGAACCGGCTGGCGCTGGGCTGCCAGCGACGATGTGCAGCATCTGACGCTCCGGTGGTGGCGGTGTGGGCATGACCGCCGAATCGGTTGGCTTGGGTGCATTCGTTGTGTTCTGAGGAGAACAGACGAGAGCATGGCATGCTACTGCCCACCGTGATCAGGCTAGAGCCTGGCGTCGAAGTGCATGCGTTTGAACGGATCAACATTTGATAACGTCCCACGACCGTTGTCAAAATGGCTGCGTTAATCAGTATCCAAGATCGTTCTGATGGGGCTGTCAGTTGTTCTAAATGGATTTCAGATGCGTGGACAGAGTGACGAAATTCATGAATAGTCACCACTTTTAAGCTCATACTAACGGCCTTGCAGTGTTTGAAAAAAAGGAAAAACTCTGCAACCTTTGGAGGCTTGAGTACCGTGCCCGCTAAGAATGGTGCATGCAAACTCGCAGACCACAACCCCAGCCCGCAGGACTGCCACGCGTGCGCCGGCGCGGCCCCCTTGTGTCACGGCTGTGTCCTCGTGCGCGGCAGACGAGAGCCTGCGCCGTTCCCCCTGTTGACGGCTGTGTCCCGGCGCGCGGCAGACGAGAGCTTGCGCCGTTCCCCGTATTGACGGCTGTGTCCCGGCACGCGGCAGACTAGAGCCTGCGCCGTTCTCCGTATTGACGGCTGTGTCGTCGTGCGCGGCAGACGAGAGCCTGCGCCGTTCCCCGTGTTGACGGTTGTGTTCCGGCGCGCGGCAGACGAGAGCCTGCGCCGTTCCCCGTGTTGACGGCTGTGTCCCGGCGCGCGGCAGACGAGAGCCTGCGCCGTTCCCCGTATTGACGGCTGTGTCTCGCCGCGGGGCAGACGAGAGCTTGCGCTGTCCAGTGGCGCCCAGTCTGGTGTACTCGCCGCGCGAGAAGCACTATGTGAACGCCATCGACTGCGCCTACGCGTACTCGAGCAAGACGCTGCTGCGCCTGCTCATGGAGGACAAGGACCTGATGGGCCGCCTGAGGTCAGTGCCGGGGAGCCGGACGCGGGCGCGGGCGCGGGCGCGGGCGCGGGTACGCTGGTGACCCACCGGTGGGGCTAGAGACCGGGGGACCGGAGAACGGTCCCGGCCGCTGGTGCGTGGCGGCGTGATTTTAGCGCCCTGGGTATTTAGCAGCTTCGTCTGGCGCGTGACGGCTGGTGTCTGCGGTGCTCTGGCTGCCAATGGGCTCGCGTTTATCGTGTGAAGTTGGCCATCCATCAGCGTATTAGAAGAATGCTGTTGTTTTGCACAGCATGGTTTGAAGGGGTTCTGCCGACAGTTTGCGTGATGCTTGTTCGAAAGCGTCTGCACGTTGGAATAGACGGGTTTTAGGCACGGTCAGAGCACAGTGAGCTGACGTGATGGCACTCTGCTTCCAGGTCCGTGAAGCACTACTACCTGATGGACCAGGGCGACTTTGTGGTGCAGTTCATGGACCTGTGTGAGCCGGAGCTGCAGAAGAACATCAACGACATTGTCCCCACGCGGCTGGAGAACCTGCTGGGTAATGACGGACCGTTCTGAGCACCGTTCGCTCTGACGACAGTCAAAGCTGATCTCACCTGATGGCCCAGTGACCTTTTTCGTCACAGGATAGCTGCGTTGTACACACATTCTGTCTCGCGTCTGTGCAGTATGTTGGGTCTTTATGGCTCTGAGATCGGTTTCTTAGGGTCGGGTCTGGGTCGGCAGCGTGGCGTCCCTTTCTACTCGTAAAGATTTACTTATTTCTACTCCGTGACCCTCGATATCGATCAATGAGTTTCGCGGTTATTCAGACACGTCACGTTGCCACCTGTCTTGGTGCTGGCCGGTCGCGCACGAGCGCCACGGGACGTTTCGCTCGTGCTTACCGCCTCGTTCGGAGGCGGCGGCGCTTTGGCTGCTGACCTGGCCGCCGCCCGCAGACCTGGCGCTGCGCACCTCGGCAGGCCAACTCGGACCCGTACAAGGACGACCTGCGGCCCGAGCTGCTCGGCTACGACCTCATGACGCAGATGATGAAGATCCTCTCCATCGAGACGTACGAGGAGAAAGGTAACAACCGCGCGACGGCGCTCGTCAACGCAGACGGCTGGACAGTCATAATGATTGGAAATGGCGTGGTGGAGCCTGCCGTGTTTTGGTGGTCAGTCTTCGAGGCAGGTGGCACTTCATGCTTCGTGAATCCTCCTGGCACGCCGTTTCGGTTTTGTTTTAGTGTGTTTGTTAAGACGAGACTGTTAAGCAACCTGCTCGCGTCGATAAGTGGTTCCTTTGCAGATGGCTGCATGTGCATGGAGCTAAATTGTGAGGCAGAAGACTGCTCTGTTCATTCTTTTCCGAGACTGCTATTTTCATTCCGTCTCATTTCAAGGGATGCCACTCAGACCCAGCCTTCCACTCGCCCCACTACACGTAACATCTGTGCCCCACCTTTCCTCTCGTTCCGCCCGCCCTCGCGCTCTGCAGCTGCCCCGTCGTGGTACACCCCCTTCCCCTGCGGCAGAGCACTGGGCGCCGGCTGAGCGGCTGACCATCAGCGGCCTGGAGGCGTTCACCTTCGGCAGCGCCGTCACCTGGCCCGTCTCGCTGGTGCTCAACCGCAAGGCGCTCGCCTGCTACCAGATGATCTTCCGCCACCTCTTCTACTGCAAGCACGTCGAGCGCCAGCTGTGCCAGTCAGTCGCCAGGGACGGGATGTGTGGGAGGGAGCGCAGGGGGAGAGGCGCGAAGCGTGGCGCGTCGTCCTGCGCGCAGTGGCAGCTGCGGGGCTTGTGATGAGGGGGTGTGAAGGTGGAGCGTAGTGGGCGTGGTGTGGGATGTGCGTGATTGCGGGCGATGGGCCAGATGTCAAGTATTTGTGTGGTGCCATTGCTGTGGAGTGTCAGGTCCTTTGACTATGAACGAAGGGCGCCACTTGTCTGGATGGGCGCGCCGCAGCAGGGGCGTCTTTAGTTCCACCGTGTTGCTCTTGGCATGCTTGGCATGGCTCACCGCCACCACCCCGCCGTCACATCCTGGCGTCGCCCCTGCGCGCGCGGCCCAGACATCTCCCCGCCGTCTGCGGCTGACGCGGTCACGCACCGCCGCAGGCTCTGGCTCTCCAACAAGGTGGTGAAGCAGTTCGGGGCGGGCGGCGACCGCGGCTACGCGCCGGCCTTCGCCCTGCGCCAGCGCATGCTCACCTCGGTGCAGAACCTGCTCTATTACATGACCAGCGAGGTGCTGGAGCCCGGCTGGCAGGTGTTCATCGCCAAGATGCAGCAGGTGAGGCTCACACGGCGACAAAGGTGTGTCCGCATGGTGACGGCTGGCGCCGTGGGCTGGACTGACGTCCTGTTGTTCTGGTGCCGTGGGCTGGCCTGACGTTCTGCTGTTCTGGTGCCGTGGGCTGGCCTGGTGTTCTGCTGCTCTGGTGCCGTGGGCTGCCCCGATGTTCTGCTGCTCTGGTGCCGTGGGCTGGTCTGACGTCCTGATGCTCTGGTGCCGTGGGCTGGTCGGACGTCCCGCTGTTGTGGTGCCGTGGGCTGGCCTGGTGTTCTGCTGCTCTGGTGCCGTGGGCTGGCCTGACGTCCTGCTGGACGTTCTGCTGCTCTGGTGCCGTGGGCTGGCCTGATGCTCTGCTGCTCATCTCTGATGTTTCCATTTCGTAGGCGCCTTTTCTTAGTTTTCGAAACGGTCTTCATGTTTGCTTTCCTCCATTCTTTGCGTGCACGCTAAATCAGTTTTCGTTTCCATTTTTGCAACGTGTCTGGCTACTTGTGACAGAAACTATGAAATTACGACCAAAAACTATCTTGCTTTCATGTTGTCTTATCTCTAGTGTAGATACTTCATTAGGGTGTAACCGGCTGACTTGTCAGCCTGAAATGTCACCTTCCGCCCGTTTAAGTCGGTGACCTCGAACAAGTCAGCCTCGAACAGTCAGCATACAAGGACCAATTCAGTGTAGAATCAGTGCAGACGGGCTATCGTCGGCACCTCGCCAAGACCCGACCCGACCGGACATCTCCCTGGCTGCGCTGCCGCCGTGTGCCGTCCGCTGGAGCTGACCGTCGCCGCCCTGGCCGCAGGTGACCAACGTGGACGAGGTGCTGATGCTGCACACGGATCTGCTGAACGGCTGCATGCGCGACTGCATGCTGACGCGGCCGGAGCTGCTGCGCACCGTCTCCCGGCTGCTGGCCGTCTGCGTCGCCTTCGTCCGCTTCCTGCAGGTGAGGCGACTGGAGAGGCGGTGACGTCCTCTCCCCGGCCCCGCCGGCGGCGGTGGGCGGGGGTGTGCTGGGCCACGGGCGGGATCGGTGGTCGGCCACGGTCGCGGCGCTGCCGGGCTGTAGCTCACCCGTCGCGCCCGCCGCAGCTCCGGTGCGGATCGGGCGGGTTCGTCAGGTCGTGACGGGGAGGTGTTGTGTGGTGTACACACCCCTGGCTCGACTCCAGGCGTTGTGGAGATGGCGATGAGGCGTGTGTGGGCCGAGTGTGTGCTGCCAAAACTCCCGGGTGATGGCGGCCCGGAGTTTCTGAGGTGCTTTTGCGTGCGTGCTGCACCGCGTGACGCGCGTGCCTTGATCCCGCTCCTCCATGTCGTGTCGCCGCTGGCGAGTGACACTGCGGCGTTCCGTGGCCGTGGATCAGCACAAGCCGGCCACGATGTGTCGAGGGAGTGTGTGTGTGTGGGGGGAGGGGGGGGGGTCTGTGCGGCGCCGCCGTCTGAGCGCTGTCTGGCGACGCAGCGCGCCCGCCGGCACTATGTGGACGCCGAGCTGAGCAGCATGCTGGCCGGGCCGGCGGCGCGCGCCCCGTCGGCCGAACGGCTCCCCGGCAGTGCGGTGAGTCGGCTGCCGCCGCCGCCGCCGCCGCCGCCGACCGGCGCATGCCCGCCCGGTCGGAACGCCGGCGGCTGTGAGCGGGCGCCCCGAGAGCCGCGGTGGACGCGCCCCAGTGACGTCACGTGATCAGACGTGCTGCCAGCCTGAGGGGCGCGCCTCGGCTCCCACCCGCTGAGCGCCGCGGGTTGGACCTGAAGCCGGTCCGAGCGCGTCAGATCCGTGTTGACCCTGCTGCACGTTGAGTAGCCAGCCTGCCCGCGCGGCCCTGTATATTGTCCTGCGTGCGTGGAGAGTCGGGAATGGATGCCCGCGTGCGGTGCGTGCCCCCACCGCCGGCCACCGCAGACCCAGAGCATGAGGCCTGCGGCGGCCAGCAGCACGGCCGTCGTTAGCTGCCACCAGCCGGCTGAGCCGGCCGCTCCGGCGGCAGCCCGCGCCCTGCCTGGACGCCGTGTGTGGCGCTGCGGCATGGTTGTTTTTTCGAGGGAATGACGACAAGACGTGCAGGAGTGTCCTCACTGAGGTGCGGATCGGACTGTACCTCGACCGGTCCGCAAGCGCGGTGGTCAGGCTCCGGCCGCGTAGGAACGGCCAGGTGCTTGATGATCTGTGCGTAGGGACGGATGCGTATGCTGGTATGCAGGTGTTGATGTATTTGGGCGTATGCAAGCACCGCATGGTAAGCCGCCTTTTCCAAGCTAGCTACAGGGCTTTGATGAGTGACCGAGCTATCGTTAACGTGTTAGCGCGGTAGTTTGGATGCTGTTTCGGCTGATCGTGCACGCTTTTGTACAGTTGCAATGAAACGGTCGCGCGTGTTGAGAAAACGTGCTCATTCGTTAAGTTATTATCTATCTGTTTCTCACGAGCGATTCTTTAACATCATGCTGAATGATGGACGGTTGCTGGGGTCCCTTTTAACTGCATTAACGTCGTTTCTTGTGCAACGATGCCTCTGCATTATTCACGAATTTCAGTCTGATTTACGTATGCTCATCACTCCCGCTTGCGGTACCTGCTTCTCCCTCCACCCTCTCACTGTCGCAAGCCATTCCGTCGCGCTGCTCATCCGTCCGTGGGTTTTCCGGCCGGCTGAACATCCTCGCATGCTCCCCTGCGCCTGCCGTCTGCACCGCGCAGCTGTGGGTCCGGGGCCGGGTGGCCATGTCCGCACGCACGCGCGCTGCATATTCATGGCGCGCGGTATGGCCGGCACGGGCCGACCTGTGTGCGTGCGGGGCTCGGGCGCCCATCGTCGCAGGATCGGCGGGTCAGCACCGCACCGCAGGCGGGTGTGGGGCCGGGCTGAGGGCGGTGGGCGCTGCACGCGTGCGCCCGCAGCCAGGGGGGGGCAGTGGTTCGCTGTATCGGTCGCGCGCGCGTGGCAGACAATGTGCGTGTGCGGGGTGTACCGGCGCCAGCGCCGGCCGTCGCCATCGGCACCACGCGCGTGTCCGCGCCGTCTGAGACGGAGCACTCGGCTGGCGTCTCCGCTGTCCACTGTCAGCCGGCGCCCGGACCTCGGCCGCCGCGCCTGCAGCCATGCTCAGGGCGTCCGTGGCTAACGACCCCACGTGGACCGGCGCTGGCAGTGCTCGCAGCCGGCCGGCGCGGCCAGCACAGTGCGCTCCCGCGGCGGCCGCCTGTCGAGCCGGCCCGCGGCCCCCGCTCCCCCGCCCTCTATCCCCTGCGGGACCGGTGACGAGCTCTGTCGCCGTCGGCAGTCTCCCGAGCCGCGTGACGCCTCCGAGAGCGGCACCTTCGAGAGCCGCGTGGCCGAGATGGACGCTCAGTTCACCGGCGTGCTGATCACCCTGCTGGACAGCATCTCCGACTTTGGCCGCGAGAACTACAACGCCAAGCTCATCAGCATCCTGTACAGGTACGCGGCCCCTCGACCGAGCTTTGAGCCACCTTGCTGTGTGGGGCGTTTGCTTTATGCCAGTTTTATAACTGATGCGTCTTTTCACGTGTCCGCGCATCATGCATGATGAGCTGTGGACGCAAGATGACCTCAGGGGTCAGCGCGCCTGAAGGCCCCGTCCGACAACGCATCCGATGAACTCTGTGGTCATCACCTCGCCACGCGCTATGCTGCAGCACTGTGGTTCGAAGGTTTTGTGCGGGCTGTACAGTCGGCTGGGGTCGCGACGGCCCGCTGCCAGTCGTGCCGAGGCCTGTCCGAAACCGGCGGGTGGTTGCCTCACCGCGCCTCGTCCGCTCCAGGCTCGACTTCAACGGCTTCTACACGGAGCGGCTGGAGCAGAGGGCCGGCGCCCGCTCCGACGGCGCCAGCACCCCGTCCCAGTCCCAGTCCGGACTGCTGTGATGTCGCCGATCCGACGGCGAAAGCAGTCAGTCCCAGTCCGGACCGCTGTGATGTCACTGGGCTGCCGGCGCCAGCACCTCGTCCCAGTCCGGACTGCTGTGACGTAGCTGATCCGACGGCGGAGGCAACCCGTTCCAGTCACGGTCGGACTGCTGTGACGTCATTGAGCCGACGGGGACAGCAGTCCGTCCCAGCCTCAGTCTGGACTGTTGTAACGTCACTGATTTGGAGGGCCAGCGCCCGCTGACGGCGGCGGGTCCGTCAGTCGCGGTCCGCACCGATGGAATGCCATCGATCCCAGCACAGCGTGCCGTAAGTGACCTCTGAATGCGGCTAGTGCTCCCAGCAGCTCGCCAAGCTTCTGTGGCGTCAATGAAGGCGCTGAGTGTCAAATGCTGAACTGATTCAGCTGCAGCGTCAAAGAATGCGACGTGTGATAGACGACTGTGGATGAGGTGACGACGTCCTAGTGCTGATCAGTGGTTGGTGGTGCTCGGATGAAAAATACCATCGAGGAGAACGCAACGCGATGGAACCGAGACAGCAACAAGGAAGCCGGTCTTTACTTCCCACCACTGGGTTTAGGTTTCGGTCAGTTCTGACGTCATTGTCACAAGCTGCCCTGGTGGAAGGGTTCTGGACTGATTCGTTCGTGCCCCTAGTGGGGCGTCTCGCACCGTCTCATTCCTGACCAGACGGTCTCGTGTGACGTCACTGACCTCCGGATGGGTTAGCGCTCGCTTGGACAGCCGTGGGAGCGTGGAGATAACCCGTACAAACGCGGGGGACGCCGCACTACGCCGCCGTCCCCACTGCGGCATGGTCTTCCACTAGCGTGCGTCCTGACGCCTCGGCGGATCGTGTCGCTACACCGTTGCGGCGGGGTGCCCGCCCGTGCGGACCTGGACTGAGCCGGCTGCCGGAGCGATGGCTCACCCCAACGCCGTGCGACGGCGCGCGACGCCAGCGTGCCGTCGCGCCGCGCCACTGTGGCGGTGTCCTGTGATGGGCGGCGGTAGCGGCGCAGGTCCCGCGAATTCCTCCCAATGCATTTCGCCGGCGGTTTGTCGCCGGTTGTTTTTCCGGCGAGCTGTCGCGGCTCCACGGAATGTGTGCGCGGTGTGCGCCCCAGCAGCTGGGCGAATGGCTTGTGCTGTTGCTGCCGTTTACGGGCGGGTATTTAATCGTCTCTGAAGCGTGCCATAGCTTTAGGTCTCCGTGGAACAACGCTCACCGGAACTAACGTGTGGTGCGTGTCGAAACGGTGTCTGTAGTACGACGTGCCTGCAAGATGTATTAACAAAGACAATGCTGTTCGCTGAGATGCGAAGACTGCGAGTGCGTTATGCGTGGACGGAGCATTCGAGGGAAAGATTGGAAGGAAAACAAGTTGAAGGGAAAGGTTTGCTGCCGGCTATGTACGCATGGTTCGCAGACAGGCTGGAAGCCGGGCGACGCCAGGTAATGAAGCGTGGGGTCCTAGCTACTGACTGCACTTCGAGGTCTGGATGGGGAGCGTGCCACAGCGTATTTGTCAAATCATCAAAGAACCAAGCGTATATAGAAGTACGAGTGTTCTGTATTGCCAAGCGTGGAGGAGTATTGACGTCACTCAGCAAAGTGCAGCGCATAGTTTTACCCAAGCCGAAAGGCAACAGCCCTTACTCTCAGTGACATCAGTGTTACTGTGATCACGGAGCGTTTCCGCTGACGCTAAACTGCAGTGTAAGCCACCTCTGCAGACCACCAGACGAGTGACCATCGGTCCGTAACACGGCGAGGGAAACCTCATCCATTAATGTAGACGGTGGCGGAGGTCTGAGACCACCGCCGCGGCAGTAGGGGATATCACATTCGAATGTGTCGGACGGCGTCGAGACACGTGGACCGGCGCGTCGCTGCGGTCGCCGTGATGTTGCGGGCTGCGAGCTCAGCACCGCGGCGCAGCGACGGGGCGCTAGTTGCGGGAGGGAATGTCGTCGTTCGAGGCGGAGCTGAACTTGCCCAGGTACGGCGAGTGCTTCAGGCCGAATGTGAACTGCGGCTCCCGTCTCCTCACCACCTGGAACGATGGCGGGGATGAGGCGTTCGCTGCCGAGTTTAGGTGGGTCCAACTGCGCGCATTGCGCCACACATGCGCCGCGAATGTCATCATACGATGTGGGTCGTAGCAGCGCGCAACAGTTGGGTTGCAAGTGGGGTTTCAGCACCATACGCCTGCTTTTGTTCAACTTTACTCACCGTGTGTTTGTGAATTCATGTCGGTTTAAAGACGTGCTGGAGACGAACGGCTAGGGCAATGCTGCCGTTTGCGTACTAAACATCGACGCACACGGCTGTCCAGCACACATACGCATGAATCCTATGGGTAGACCCGGGATCCCATAGGATTCGATGTCAGTGAGATCTTGGGATCAGATCCTGGAGTTTTGGGGGCTCCAGGCACGTCTGCTGGTCAGCTCCAAGTCCCAGAATGGTATCTCCCATAAGGCCATTTTATGGCTCATTTCGGAAGCGGCCTAAATGGCAGCCAAGCACGTGACCGACGTGAGTGGCATGGCAGAAACACGTGACATGAGTAGATAGCATGCTACACCCACTCCGCAACACCCATATTTTCGAACTTCCCTGTCAAGACCTTCATCAAGATCGTATCGCCATAAGTAGTCTGGCGCGGCTACACCAATCCAACCTTGCCCTGCAGCCTGCAGGCGTGCAGTCCTCGGCATACGCTGACTGTCTCGCAGGCCGCGCATGGGGTCATCCCCCCCCCCCCCCCGCTCCGCTGCACCTACCCGTGCCCCTCCGCCGGCCCCACTGACCGTGTCGTGCAGCCGGTAGGCGGCCGGGCCCGGCTTCTGCGTGTGGTCAGACGGCGGCACGGTGCGCTGGCGCAGCGAGAAGGCCGGACTGCGCGGCTGCAGCGCCGCCGTCCGGCCCGACTCGTACTGGCCCGGCGCCGGGAACGCCGCCCGCTCATCGGTCGGCTCGCGCCCCCGGCCCTGGATCGTGAAGCGCGGCGCGTCGCCCAGCAGCTCGCGCACCGTGTACGAGTTGGGCGCTGGGGGAGAGAGAAACGGGGATGTCGCTGGCGTCTCAGTGGGCGTTGTTGAACAGAAGCAGGGGCGTCACTTAGAAGAACAAAATGCGAGCAAGAATTTTGATTTGCCATGTTGTGCTGGGAATGCATCGCAAATGCCTTGGCAGCATATATTATACATATATATATATATATATATATATATATATATATATATATATATATGTACATTTTACCCATAGATTCCGTGCCATTTGTTGTTCGCGGCAACCCAGACGACAGGCATTCTGCATGACGTCACATAGAATATTTGCCAGACGCGAAGACTCTTCCTGCGACTTGATCGGAATAAGACAGAGATGGCGCGACAGGTTCAATTATAAACAGGCCAATTTGCGCGCTCAGAACCGATCACGAGTGATGAAAATGTGTTTTATACGTGACAACATATATATATATATATATATATATATATATATATATATATATATATATATACATAGGGTGCATTCGCAACACACCAAAAATGTTCTATTATAAGTGGGGTCACATAGAATCTTTCCCTGGCATGTTCGCAGTGCGGCTCGTTTTTTTACATCTTCGTAACCGGTCGTGATAATGGCTGCGCGTGCAGACACAAGATTTTGGGTGCAGGTACTTTGAGCGCCAAGAATGGGAACTGCAAATTATGCTCTTTGTCACGTAAAAAATAAATTGTCATCACTCGTTGTCGGTCCTGAGCACGCAAATTGGCCTGTTTATAATTGAACCTGTCGCACCATTTCTGTCTTATTCCGGTCGAGTCGCAGGAAGAGATTCTGTGCGCCTGGCAAAGAATCTATCTGGCGTCATGTCGAATGTCTGTCGTCTGGGTTGCCACGGACACCAAACGGCGCAGAATCTATGGGGTATGACGTCATGAATGACGTCGGCAGCATATATTCCGCGCCGTCTGGATCACTGCGAATGCATCGGTGATTATTAAAAGGGGTTCGGGCACCTCCAGCAGCAGTGACGGCACTGGAGAGATAGCAGTTGGATCATCCATCTGACATGCGGGGGACAAGGGACAGACAGGGCGCCCCGGCCATACGCCGAAACTGTGTGGAGAGTGGTCTCACTTGTCTACTATTACGAAACAGCAGACCAGATGATAAGAGGACCGGGCTCGCGATCAGGTATTCAAAAGGAGGCGATTAGAGAAGTCTACGAGCACAGGGAGCAATCCTGCCTCACTGCTGCCCAATGAGCCCAACTGGCAAAGCTGGAACCCACAAATTCCTTCGGCAAATGTCTTATAGCTGCCCGGAAAGTTCGCACGAAAGACAAGTCCGGATGCTACACAATCGTGCCTATAGAGCGTCCGAGAGTTCAGCCCATCACCACTGCCACACACCAGGTCACACAGCTGACCCCTCAGGTCACATGTCCCGGCTGCCTGACCTGGCACACCGGTGGCCTTCTTCGAGTCGAGCCGCTGACCGAAGCTGTAGCGGGGCGAGCTGGCGGCCAGCGCGTGCGTGTCCACCCGGTACTCTCCGGGCGCTGGGGTCACCTCGGGCCGACGCACCCGCGCCCGACCGGCCATGCTCCGCGCGGGGGTCACGTCCTTGCCTGCGGGCAACGGGGCCACTTCAGCGGACGGGACGGGACGGTACGCAGGGTAGTGCCGCGCAGCGTCGGCAGGGGTGCTAACCACTGCAGATGAGGTGTGCATCACGGGGCGTCATGGTGAGAACTGAGGTCGCGTATCAGGTTTAACAGTGCAGTAGTGTGGCGGTGATAGTGCACACCAGCAACCGTTTCAACAAGTGCTTCTAATCGGACGAAGCTGCCACACGCCACGTCTCAGCACGCGACGCTGGCCGTCAAGCTGTCGCTTGCGTCTCTTTCGCAACAGCCGGTCGGCGCATGCCTGTCCGTGCTGACGGGCAATTGGTCTCCGTTCATGGCCGGCGTGTTTTTACTGACGCCCGCCCCAACGCCGTCCCGCATCACCATTCGCTATCTCATGACGCCCGGCCGGCCAGTCGGCCTCCGCGTCGGGGCGCCATCGAGCGGCGTCCGCCGGGTCAGCTGCGCGCCGGTCGGCCGCCCGGCGTCGCGTGACGTACCTTTGTTGGTCAGCTGGCGGGTGTTGTACTCGTTGGGCGCCGGACTCGGGTTCAGACTGCGCACCTCGTGTCGGCTGGCGATGGTGAAGGCGGGCGATTCGCGGCCTGACCAGAGCAGCAGGTAGTGCGCCGGTAACGAGGCCCGCTCCACACGACAATGGCAGCTGATAGCTTCGATCAGCTTTTGACTCTCGGGAATTTGACCAGTCATCAAAATCAAGGTGATCTTCCATCATTAAAATAGAGGTCCTTCATGTATCACTGATAAGTTGTGGGCAGTCTGACGAGCATCATTCAGATTCTCTCCGCTTCAGAAATACGAGGCGCCGTTTTCGCTTACGGCACATGTGACACTAGTTTCGCCCCCCCCCCCCCCCCAAGCCACCTGACCGTAAGCCAGCTGGTCCGGCCGGACTTCACGCCTTAGTTTTCCCACCAGCGCTGCAGCAAACTTGTTGAATGGTACCTATGCTACCTGCGCGAAGTAGGCTCCGGATATCTTTACCTCCGCAACGCCGAACTGGCGGGCCTTCAGCTGCGCCGCGCGCGCCCAGCCCTCGTGTGATTCTGTTGGACACACCCGCCCCACACGCGAGGTTCCTTCAAACCAGCCAGTGGCCCACGCAATGCTGCCCAGCCAGCCCGGGACACGCGTGACCGTGCGTGCCTCGCCGACCACGAGCTCTATCGCTTCTCCAGAGTCGGCGGGGACGCACTGAGCCCTGCTCACTGAGCCGCGTCGCCGTGACGCCCGAGCGTACCCAGCGTGGAAGGCAGGTTGGCGCAGCCGGGCCCGGGCGTCTGGAACTCGGCAGCGATTGGTCCGCGCGGGCGGGTTGGCGTCCACGTGCCGCGCACCATGGCCGCCGTCCTGCCGAAACACACAGCCGTGATGAGACGCTACCGGGTGTCAAAGCTCTGACCGGGAGTTCAGTAGACCTCGGTCGGACGCGCGTCACGCGCAGCCCGGCGGCGGAACTAACCCCGACCGTCGTGGGCGCGTCCGTGGGGGTTTGTCGTCTCTGGGTTCCCCGTCGATGGGATCCGGAATGAGTGGAGTCGGTGCTGCAGTTCACCCCACCTCCAAGCTTAACGGCTCAGATCTCGTCCGGGCGGGCGGGATCCCGGATCCCATTCAGGTGGGATGACGTCCGGGTGGATGGGATCCCAGATCTCATTCAGGTGCGATCCCGTCCGAGTGGGTGGGATGCTGGATCCCATTTAGGTGGGATCCCGTCCGGGTGGGCGAGTAGGATGATGCGGGTCCAGTGAGTGCCTCAGAGTGGGACGACCCGCACTCTTGCGCAGCTGTCTGGACGGGCGCCCCGGCCCGCCTCGGCTTCCGCCTGGGCAGAGAGGTGAGGACGGCACCCGCTGCTGAGGACGGCTGCGGCGGCTGCCCTTCGGTGCCCAACCGCCTCGAACTTAGTCTGCACAGCAGATGGGACCGGCGGAGACTGCGCGACACCCTCCGGCGTTCAACCGCCTCGGACCCCGCCTGGGTGGGCGGCGCTGGCCAGGCCCCCGACGCAGACTGCAGTGGTCCCCTCAGACGTTTTACCGCCTCGGACCTCGTCCGGGTGGGCGGCGCTGGCCAGGCCCCCCGGCGCAGACTGCCGTGGTCCCCTCGGGGGTTTAACCGCCTCGGACCCCGTCCGGGTGGGCGGTGCGGGCCGGGGTCCCGGCGCAGACTGCAGTGGTCCCCTCGGGCTTTTAACCGCCTCGGACCCCGTCCGGGTGGGTGGCGCGAGCCGGGGTCGATGCACAGGCCGGCGTGGTCGATGCCGTCGCCGCCCCACTTGTGTCGGAACGCGTCGCCGCTCATCGACTCTGGGTTCACCGGCCCAAGGAGGTCGGCGGCTGGCCATCGACGGCGGCGTGGCGCGGCATGTCCAGACGAACGTGGCGCGGCATGTTCAGACTTGATGGGTCCGACGACGCCCGGCCCATCTCGCGGTTGCGTGGAGGCACGCTCGCTTCTGAAGACGTCGTCTGTCGGCTCGGCCAGGCTGAGTGCGTGTCTCTTTTTCGGGGTGGGAGTCCATCACACGATGTAACGCGAGGTAACTAATTTTACCCCGTTTTTGCTTTCAACCGCGCCGGTGCACTGTCGAGCAGTATGCCGTGAATACGGGTCCAGAACCTCATGTCCACGAAACAACGCACGGATTGAGCCACGTGCGTTCACACGTGTGAGAAGCGTCTGCACCGATATTACAGCGCTGTCCGTCATAAAACTTCATTCATGTGGCGGACATGCTCTAGCACGCCGCTTCGCTGTGGTTACACACACTGTGCTGTACTCCAAGTACTTGCTCAAGCTGGAAGAGCGATAGGTTCCCAGCGCATAGCCAGAGGCCAGGCATCGATTAATTTCACCCGTCCAGCGGGGCTGTGATTACTAGCCGTCTCGAGAAAAGACTTAACAAACACCTTCGCCGACGCTCCTTGACCCCTGCTTTACGAACTGTAATGAGGGGCTCGACGGTGGCCGGTCCCAAGCGACGGGCTTGCCTCACCTGGCGGGTTGAATGTACCGAATGGCAGACGGAAACAGCGCGTCGCTGAATACAGTAACACATCGCGGCATATTCTACATGAGCAAGCGTGTAAAGCCGTCGTTGTATGTCTAAGCCAGAGCAGCAGCAACGGCGGGGGCATTACCAGCACATCATCCCGCATTCACTACTGTGGCTGAAACAGACGCTTTGACAAGGACGCGCTTTGGCATGATTGGAGAGTGAGGCGTAGCTGACATGACTCGCAGGAGAGTGAGAGCGTGCCGGGCAGAGTGCAGCTGCCTACCCATCCGCTCCGAGCGACACTCGAATGTAGAATGTGGGGCGGGTAAGTGAAAGGGAGCCCCGGAAAACTACGCGGCGTTATCGGCATTCACAGCGTGCATACCAACTAGTCCCAGGTGACTGGATGGTTATTTTCCACCGCGCTTTACGGCTCTCTTTGTTGCTTGTACCTAATTACTAAGCTGTTGCGTACCATGGGCTGCCAGGCAATCGGTGGAGCTGATCAAAACAAACATCCTGTAGGCCTGGTGGGGTGGCGTGCGCTTGAAGCACACGATCAGGGACTACTTGGGTCGACGGGATTGCAGTAAAGGCATACTGCAGATTATAGAGGTCGTTCACTACGAGCCTTCAAGGTAGGACTTAAACAAGATATGTGCCAGACGCACTGTGATTATTATGCGCCAAGGCAAGATGCATCTATTTGTTTTGCTATGCCGAATGCACTTGTGTTTGCATGAGTGCCCTGCGTGTTTTCCTGCGAACTTCTTCATGATGTCCACTCGAGCTCAAGGAAAGCCACAAATTTGGACGGGCTTGTTTTTTATTGTTTAATGCAATATAACACAACACAGCATGGTGCCGCTGTTGGTTGTGGATCGTCTGTTAGGACCTTTCTGACGTCTGTGCTAGTCTGCAAACAGCTTGGTGGTTTATTGAGCAAACCGCATTTTGTTTTAATCTCGAATTGGATGGAGATGCAACTAAGCATGACATTTTCCACACTTAAATCAATGTTGATGCCCAGCAGTCTTGTGAGGGCCACCGGATAGCTCACGTAAAACCACAGCACATTGTTGTCAATGAACATTGATGCGAGCGACTTTGCTGGATCAATCTCGGTTAACGCGGTAGAAGTAGTGCATTAAGGACCCGTCCTTATGTATAGGACTGTGTCGTAGCGGCACAAAACTGACATCGTATTTATGTTGACACAGTGACACACTGACTTACATGCCGACGGTGTTCCATGAGTGGGTGTAACCTGTGACATCGCGCAGGTTCTCATGCCGACGGTGTTCCTGGGTGTAACCTGTGTCATCGCGCCCCAGTGAGCGCAGACTCCGCCCCATTGTCACCAGAACTAACGACGGTACAGCAACGATACGAACAATACTGTATGATGTGAGTCAAACCGATAAAATCGCGTGACTATAAAGTTTGTTAAAACCGTAATGAAGTCTAAAAAGTATTTTCGAAAAACCTCCTTCACTGGGTGCATTTGACAAAGATCGAGCTTCCGTGACCTTATTTACTCATACGTTAGAGTCTTATCAGTGCTCATCAGAGCAAACATAGCCGCAGGAAAATTCTCGCGAACGTATTCCTAGGACAGATGCATATTGTCGGATGCCTGAATACGAACTGTGATAGTCATGACCTCAGCAAAAAGGGTACTACCCGCGACCTATGAAAGATGGGGTATTTCGTTTGTTGATACTCGATTGCCGTAACTTCCTAAATCACGCGCCACCTGGCTCGAAAGGTAGTGCAGAACTCAATGACGTCCCACGCTCACCTCGCTGCCGAAAGTTTCCGTGATTGACATGACCACATAATGCTAGCATGATGATGACCACATGCGTTCTGCGATCTGGGCACTCCGCATTTAGACACCACCGTTTCTAAACGGGTTTAAGCAAGGTCAGTGAGGCACTTTATATATATATATATATATATATATATATATATATATATTATACAAGCCATCGCAATGAAAACGATGATGCAGTCAGTCGTACAGGATCGACTATGCCAACAACGAATGCATGGGAGCAACGTAAAGATTATCGATGACAACATTCACACGTTTGAATAAAAAAGCGGCTGAGCCAATAATATTTCACGCAAAATAACAAAAACAATCAAATATGCATAACATGCCATCCACATACAAACGCCCAGGTCCCAGGATGACCGTTCGACAACCCACCTCTAACTCACGTCGGGCTCTCGGGACGCCTCCGGTCCCGGGACACCAGCCAGCGGCAGCGCCGTGTCTCGCCGCCGCCGCGTGCTCCCCAGCCGGGTCCGGCGGCCGACTGACTCGGCCTGGGCAGCGCCGCCGGCCCGCCGCGCTGGCCGCTCGCCGCCGTCTGCCCGCAGGCAGCCCGACCTGGATCGATCCCGACCGGTGACGGCGCGGACGACGGTGTCACGCGCCGGGCCGGCACCGGCGAGCGAGCCAGGGAGGACACTGGCTGGTTAGAAGTCAGCCGGAATCGAGGCTGTCGCGACCGGGCGCTTCAACGACCCTCAAGGATGCGGGGTTCCCGTAGCGGTCATCACAGCCGGCTGGGGCTGCTGGTGATGGTACGGCCTCAACGATGTCTCCTGGCAGCCGTACAAACGGGCCAGAACTTATGCCTATCTTGCCAACCGTTACCGCACATTCAACTGGCATAATTGCTTGGCGTCCAGTTAATACGCGTAAAGCACTGCATACGATATCCTATGCAGCGAACTACGAATGTTTCGACCTCCCCACGGTAGTCATGCGAGGTAATTGAAGTATATTCGTATAATTTTACTCCCAGGGCAAGATTATTTTCTAATGAGCATCTGAGTGTAACCCCGTGCCGACAGGAGACGCTGATAGTTTATTTGCATATGGTTCACGGGATTTGTTGTGCTGATATACGAGTTGTTCGAAATTATCCAAACCGGCTGGTCCGAAACAGCCTTGGCGACATGCGTGTGGGAATAAGGCGGCTTTCCGACCAGTTCATCTACCGGCATTGCCTACGGAATTACGGTCTACAGGGCTGTTCACAAGTCCATACACAGTAATTAACCACAAATCGCTTGAAATAGGCGCTGAGCAGCACACCAACTGCGGTCATTACGTTATTCATTCCGCCACACCACCTTCTGTATACCGTGTTACTACCACGGGCAAAACCATCCGTGGTTAAAGTCCGTTTGAGCGACGAACGAGCCGGAGTTGATCGTTTCGGAACAATCATCCATGACGACTGTTAATGCGCTGTTTTCTCCGCCGCAGCCAGGTACGTCGTTAGCCACCATTAAGCAGCCTCCAGGACCAGACGCCATGCGATGCTGCGCCTACCAGCCTCTGCCCGGACCTTGTTCTCACACAGACAATGAGGGCCAATCCGCAGCTGAGTGACCTTTCGGCGGTTGACAAACGAGATCATTCGCCGGCACGTAAATAATAAGCACTCGGAACGGGTGGTGCAAGAGTGATGCGAACATACATGACATCTGTCGCCGCCTAAGTGGAGGTAACCAGGCCATTGATCATTACAGTTTTCGCTCACCGTAGTGTGTTTCGAAACCTCTTGTGTACGCAAGAAAGCAGCGGAGAAGACCCTTAGAATACGGTAGAGACGAGGGGAGCAGGTATGTAAGCCAGATAAAATGGTTTTGATGAAGCGCATTTCTCTCTTAACAGGGATTGAAGACAGCTGGTGTTGTTCGCATGTCTCAACGTGCAATTTCAGATTTCACGGACGATATCCCAGCGAGAATTTGTCGGAAGCAGTGCCAGTCCGACCACCAGTCAGTTCGGACACCCAGTCAACTTTGAAGTAAACTCAGCCTCCCAACACCACCAACTTGAGCTAGGGTGTGGATGTTTCCTAGTCAAAAGAAGGAAAACGTGTGGTAAGCGGTTATTGCTGTTTTCCAGATCCAACAAGGGAGGCAACGTACTCTGGGTTCTCCCGAGACAAAGGAATTGATGTTGTGGAAAGGCCAATCAGCGGATGGTACAAACTTCAGTGCACCGCATAGTCGTGCAGCTCTTTCCGCCAACACACCGCCGACAAAATGCCACAACGGCACTTCATGTATTGCGACCGCATCTGCTGTAAAATCACGCATCTCAAAATCCAGTGACAAGGCTCATTAACCCATTACAAATCAAGCACACCACAGCACCACCGAGCCGCCGTTCTCACGCGGTGCGTCCCAGAGCGTCCATTCCGCGGTGGCCCGGCACCGCGCCCGCCATCCGCGTGGGGCCCCCGACACCACGCTCCGCACACACCACTGTCACCGCCGCGCTGCGCCCACCACGGACAGCACGCGACGGCACCTGTCACAACGCGGCGTGGCGTGGCGGCGGCGCGTCCGGACACGGCGTGGCGGCTCCCTGACGCGTCACGTCCGCTGCACTTCCAGCCGACATCAGTCATCCTCGCTGGCGGGGCGGGCAGACATCGACCTCCCGCTGGGCGTCGGCGCGCCCGAGACACCGTCACCCTCGGCCTGACCCCGCGCGGCAGGGTCACCGAGGCGGTCCGACGGCCGGGCGGAGTGCGTTGTCGGGGTCGGCCGTCGTCGCCGTCGTCGCCGTCGCCGCAGCCAGCCCGTGTCCCCAGTACCGATATCGCCCACATCGGCTGTCTGCTTGTCTCAACGGGAGGGAGCGAAACAAACTTCGTTCAGCGCACGAAGGCAAAGGCAATGGACATGACCCGCCAGCGGGGACGATGAGCCTCACTGACCCAACGCCTCCTGCTGAGCCTCACAAGAGTGACATACTGAGTCGCGGTGGAGTTTTGTATGGGGGAGTCACGGGACTTTAGGTGGCCACTTGTCGAGGCTCGACGTGCGCCACCCAGCGCACAGGGAGCACCAGCCACGTGCCAGAGACTGCGCACGCTACAATACCCGAACCTGCATAGTGCACACAGCATGGCTTTGCAAATTCAATGATATTCTAATCAAGGCAAATGTGACAGCCAAGACCAACAGACAGCGGCACGGCACGAGTAGCATGTAGTCAAAGCTTGGAAAAAGTAACCTCGCAGCGCTCATGACATTTCATCCATAACTGTTTAATCTTCCAAGGTTTGTACTCCAGATGCCACTAACAAATATTACGCATGTTGTCCCATCTCATCTGATGAGGCTGCATGCGTAATATTTCAAGAATATCCTCCACCGTTCAAATGTTGAATGCCCTTGATCAACTCGCCTCAGCCGTTCAGAGGACTCCAGCTCGGACTCGTAATGCGGCGGCCCTGAGCACGAGGCCGGAGCGAGCGAGTCGCTTGGTCCGACCGGCACGTCCGCTGGCGACAGACGGTCAGCCCGGCCCGGGGCGACCGCGTTAGTCACTGCCCGGCGGGTGGAACATCCGAACTCCCGTCTGACAGAGACGCCAGAGGCGAAACTATCCGATGAATTAGGCCGACAATACTTGGGTGGTGGACTCAGGCTACGTGAAACAAGCTTTGCTTCGCAAGCTTTCTTTTTTTCGCAAAATATGCACTCCATGCAAACCGTTTGAGGTGAACTCCTAAAAATAGCCAGAGAGTATCCATGAACTTCTGAATGATGTAAACAAGCACACGCAAACCCAAACTAAATGTGCCAACATAAACACACCGTATCCAAAACATCAGACAGGAACAAGGATTGCGTCAATGTGCACTGAGTCATGCTTCGCTTATGTGCATAAGAGAAAACATTTTAACAAAACTGGAATGATGGGGAATTCCTGATAAAATGACAAAACAGTCGAAAGCATATTCAGGTATGCTATCAGAGCCACTAGGTTATGTGCAGCCTGCAGTGTGCGACATCCTACGCCCGCCATCACAGCCGACATGGGACCCGCGGCTGAACGCATCAAGTTTCTACCCGCTACCACTCATCACCGCCATTAACTACCCACTGCTGAATATTGGGAGCCCACCCAATGCTACCTGGCCTGGCAGCGCGCTGCCAGTGGCAGCAGCCTTCGCGCCACTGTTAACCAGTGCGGCCCGCCCCGCTCGTCAGACGCAACGCCAGTACGAAAGGCACGGGCAGACAGGGGCTGACGCTCCAACCTCTCGCCCAGTATTTGTAAGCTCCGCGGGAATATATGGAAACAGATGGAGCAAAATACCTCGCCGCGACGGACAACACCTATTCTATCTACGACCTTTCAGTGGTCCTTTGCTCACGCTCCGAGCCGCCTTCGACACTGCCACCTGGTGTTCCGACCACCAGCGCGTATCCTCCCCACCCGCGCCCTCTTAAACTCGGAACGTCAGCGGGCCCGGGTCACACGAGACGCCATTCCGCCCAACCCAACTTGAACCCCGGGTTACCGGCGCCTCCCGGTGACGCCTGCCCCACTGGACACTGCGAACAGCGCTCGCCGAGCGCCGGCGGCAGTCCCCTCCCCCCCCCCCCCCCCTCACCACACGTAGAAATACACCCGCTGCCAGGCGGGCAGGTAGTCGAGCAGCGGCTGCGCGAGGTAGCGGCCGAGCGGCAGCCGGCGCGCCAGCAGACCGAGCGCCGCCGCCAGCCTGCCGCTCCGTGACGCGCTCGTAACAGGGCGAGCGCAGCAGGTACAGCAGCAGCTGCAGCTGCCGCGAGTACAGCTCCGTCCGCTCGGCGCCGCCCAGCTGGCCGCCGACAGAGTGCAGGTGCAGACTGCAACAGAAGTGAAAAGGTAATGCTGAAGTCAGAGGTCATGCAAAACACTAAAAAGAGTAAGCAATTGCAATGCAGGGTATCTGCTAGATTTGCCAGACCTATTTGTAGATGAAGTAATTCAAGTGCCGAAAGAACAGCATTAAAATATGCCGGAATGGATGGGACAGAACACCAAGCGGCTCGCTTTTCTGACCCTGTTTACACTTTGGCACACACCGTGTGTCACGGCATGGCTTGCGTTTCCGACACACACCCAAGAGCCTGGAACTAGGACCCTGGCTTTTGGGCTTGGACCTAAGCCAGTTCCTAGCAAGGGAGCGCCCATGTCCATGCATGCAGTAATTCAACGTACGGAGAACCAAGGCAAGAAAGTCAGAAATTAACCACCAGCAGCAGCATGCCCCGCTCGGCAGCCGCCGGTCCGCCTGACCTGGTCAGTTCGACGGCAAGAGGCAGCAGCCAGGCCGGCCAGGAGCGGTAGCCGGTGACGCCGGCCGCCCCCAGCTGCAGCAGCGGCCGCAGCACGTACAGCGTCTCGGCGGCCAGGCGGCGCCCCTGCAGCGGCCGCGGCCGGAGTGACGTGGGCGAGGGCGCGCGCGGCACCCCCCACGCCCGGCGCACCGGCGACGCCTCTGCAAGCGCCGGCAGGACAACGGGTCAGGCGCGGCGGGCGCCACGAGCAGCTGGACATTGTCCCAGTGACGTCAGACGTGGCTGCGGCTGGTGAGACTACCCGACTATGAGCATCGGCCGCCAATTCATATGACAGGAATCTTGATCGCCACAAAAACGTGTGCTGCGCCTGAAATTTTACGGCCTTTGCTACTGCCATGACATTCGGCAAATACCGCCCACTGAATAAGATGATTCGGCGCCAAAATACGCAGAATGAAACCATGCAAAGCGACGAATAACTGATAGACAAAACGTAAGCCCTTTTATTTGCTTTTGATCACAAATTTGCACGTCGCATTTAAACGACAATCGCAGATACCGTAATAAAGCGTGAAACGCGGCTGGTAGGGCTTATGACTTGCTTTGGAGGCATGCTTTAGGAGGCAGCGACATCTGTCTTGCTGGCGCCAACACCCGCCGGCGGGCGCCACCGCCAGCGCTCGCCTCGCCCCGGAGCTGCGGCGGACCGCGTGCGGTACCTGTGGCGACGCTGCGGACGCGCCGCCCGGTGCTGGGCAGCACCACCACCTCGTCGGCGGCCGGTGCCGCGCAGTCGGCCTGCGCCGCGTCCGGCCGGATTGGCGGCGAGCTCAGCATGCCACAGCCGTGGCCGTACAGCAGCACCAGCCGCAGACACGCCCTGGCCGACAGAGGGAGACGGTCAGCGGTGGTGGCTGTGAGGCTGAGACATCAGCACGCCCAACTAGGGCTGTAGAGCAGCCTCAGACACAAACGTCAAGACACACAGACAGACACGACTGACACGTGTACATCTTCGGTCTGAGCCAGCCGCAGTTACATGACAGACACCAACGCGCCGAAATAAATCGCACGTTAGACAACTCCAAACGGGTTATACATGACGAAAGAACTGCCAGCGCGCCCCTCCTCATTCCTCCTTCGCCGCGGCTGCCGCCCGGCCACACTCACTTGACCACCTGGACGACGACGATGGCAGCCCAGCGGCCGGTCGGGCCGAGCAGCTGGGCGGCCGCCAGCTCGACGAACACCTCGACGTACTCGAGCAGCGCGAGCCAGGCGCGCAGCCGGCCACCCGCCACCGCCGGCAGTCGCGGCCGGCCGGCCGGCGCGGCCACCAGCAGCCGGTTGGCCAGCGTCAGCAGGCGCGAGACGGAGTAGACGAGCTCGGAGACGGCCGAGACGCGCGACTCGGTCCGACCTGGCGGCGGGGTCACGTCAGGGACGGTGGCGGCGAGCGCTCGGTCCGACCTGGTGGCGGGGTCAGGTCAGGGACGGCGGTGGCGTGGGACTCGGTCCGGCCTGGCGGCGGGGTCACGTCAGGGACGGTGGTGGCGAGCGCTCGGTCCGACCTGGTGGCGGGGTCACGTCAGGGACGGTGGTGGCGTGGGACTCGGTCCGACCTGGCGGCGGGGTCACGTCAGGGACGGTGGTGGCGAGCGCTCGGTCCGACCTGGTGGCGGGGTCACGTCAGGGACGGTGGCGGCGAGCGCTCGGTCCGACCTGGTGGCGGGGTCACGTCAGGGACGGTGGCGGCGAGCGCTCGGTGTGAACTGGTGGCGGGGTCACGTCAGGGACGGCGGTGGCTTGGAACTCGGCCTGACATGGCGGCGTGGGTCAGGTGAGGGACGAAGGCAACCCGCATGGACCATGCCCGACCCAGTCCGCCCTGACGAAGACATCAAATTTTACTGGCCTTTCGGACACCGCGCGAATCACCACATTGGAGTACAGCTCGCGCCTGTCACGGGTGTGCGTGATGGTTGGTGCGGATGAAGGCGGCAGCGGAGCAGCCCGCGTAAACAGATATTTGGAGCGTGATGTAGTGTCGTTCTGTGATAGGGTCTAACGAAAAGCGTTTGAGATCGTCCGCATGACCGGATGTGACTGCACGGCGATGGCACCAAATGAGATGAAAAGCGAAAGACACAATGGCGCATAGTATGACTGTGTAACAGAGCGTAAACGGTGTTTATAAGAAGACAAACTAGTGAGTGGCAGTCGCTACAGCACCTATCTGCCTGACGCGATACTACCACGCACTTTTCCGTATCACTCCTGATCTAGTTCCGTGGCGAAGTCCGCCCCAATACTCTCAAGGCGCAACAGCATACGCGGTGCACGAGAAACGCCTCGAGAAAACGTCACTGAACAGCAAAACATTCGCAAAAGCGGTGGGCCCCGATCGTGTGTGGCGAGGCCAACATGGATCCGGAAATAACATAATGTCGCGTTAAAAACACCAATAAACCGATCACTCCCGTCAAGGACGCCAAACATCGCTGCGCATCGTGTGAGCCGCCCCAGTGCCTTAGAAACTGAGGCTATCTAAGAGATATGGCTCGTGAGATAGCAGTAAATTCGAGTCGGGAAACGACGGAAACCGCGCCTACTCCAGCTACGTGAAGGGTTACTTGAGTCCGGAGACTAAGACGGCTGCCTGGAGGAACCCGACTGGACCCGACGGACTCGATCAACATCGCTCGACATTTATGTCCACTAGAGTACCAGGGTACCAGAGTCAAAACGGTCAATTGAGCACGGAAAGTCAGCTGCGATGACGAATTTCCACACCGTTTGATCATCATACACTCTGAACGTTACCGGCGACTGCAATCGAAATGCCTCCTGCGCTATTTGGGACTGGCGCAAGCAATGCGCAGGCAATTTCTTTGAGAAAACAAAACAACGCAACCGCCCATTCTTCCCCGCAGACACGAACCAAGCCGCGGAAGTAAGCCGCGTGCGGCAGCAGAAGTAAGCACCTCTGACCAAGATGGCGCGTGCCATGAAGGCCAGCCAGCGTCGCCAGGGCAGTATACTGCCGCCGGTGCTCAACCTGGTGGTAGTCTCCGCCGTGCTCTTCATCTGCCTCTACTTCATGAAGCGCGCCTTCCACAACATGAAGCCCATGGATCAGAACGAACACGACTGGGTGGACCGGTCGCGGCTGCGCGGCGCCGCTGCGGCGGGAAGCGCCACGGCCGCGCCCGTGGCGGTCCGACGAGAGGCTGTCAGGCAGGTGACCGAGCCTCCAACGGCGTCCCCGAGTGTCACAGAGTCGGCCCGGCCAGCTGCGGCCACCACCAGCGAGCCGCAGACTCCTCACCCACCCACAGATGCTCCTCCTCCGCCTACCGAAGCCCCACCGCTGCCCACGGAGGCCCCGCCGCCGCCCACGGAGGCCCCACCGCCGCCCACAGAGGCCCCACCCCCGCCCACGGAGGCCCCACCGCCGCCTACGGAGGCCCTACCGCCGCCCACAGAGGCCTCTCCGCCGCCCACGGAGGCTCCACCTTCACCCACGGAGGCTCCACCTTCACTCACAGAGGCTACACCTTCACCCACTGAACCTGTACCGTTCTCGTTCGATATTCCTGAGCCCATACTATACCCACCCGCAGAAGCACTGCCACCAATCTCTGAAACCCAGCCGGAAGCCATCTCTGGCACTAGATCTCGAGCCCGCCGAGTCTCTGGAGCCTGAGCCCGCCTTCAGCGGAGACAGGGAGCCTTCAGAGCCGGAGACCGGGGCCGCTGAGCCGGCTCTGGCGCGCCGCCGGCGGCACCGACAGGAGCCCTGGCTGCTGGGAGAGCTGAACCGAGACCAGTGGCACGAGAAGGAGCGCGTCCAGCTGTTCCGTATGCCGCCGATCTTGTGACACTCGCGGAGCGTGAACCCAAACAGATGGAGCGCGGCACAGACCGTTTGTCTCCGTGCCGGACCACAACTACTACCGCAATTCGAATACCATGTTGATGGCTGTAGTGTTGATAAGCGCGGAACAACGATGGAAGGAGAAGCAATCCGGGGACCAGGTGGAAGCCAGAGGCCGATAGCCCAGGTAGCCACCGTCCATCAAAGTGCTAAGCCATCCATGAGCAGCGTCATAAATACTTGCCTATAAAATGTCATGCCCTACTCGCTTTTGTCCCTTGTTAGACCCAATTGGTCGCAATAAAACAGACACCCATCACATCCAGCGGCCATCGTTTACTACTCCACAAACTTGTTTCGCACACGTAAGTCGCAATAAGACTCAATACGAACACTGGGGTGGCGGGAGATCCATCCCGTCGTCCATTAAAAAAACATCGAACTAAACTTTAAAGTGAAACAGATTTTGATGTATCCTACCCTCCCCCCAAAAAAGAAGCAGAACAACGAACAAACCAAACTCCAGCCAAATCGATCCGAAATTTCCTAGCAATAGCCAGACAAAGTCGCAATGTCCGCCCTTGGTGATAGCCCGCATCAGAGACGCAACGGAGAAGCAACGGTCACGGCAACGGAGAGGCATTGGAGAAGCAACAGCCATGGCAACGGAGAAGCGCTCGCGGCGTGACAGTGCACACTCGCAGAGAAGCAATGCCATCGCCGAACAATGTCCCTTCATCATGTTTTCTTAGAAAAGAGCCGCTACGCGGATCCATCGTTCCGTTCCGACACTGGACCTCAGCGTGTCACGTAATTGTCATGTCAAACAGCGACACCCAGTGCTCATCAGAATGTTTTGTGTCAGGGGTGCACGGTCATCGGTGTACGCTGAATCTAATATTAAATTATATACATATATATTATAGTAATAAAATAAGCAACAAATTATGTATTCATAAAATAAAATGATACGTGGATATCTGCTAAACTGCGCTGAATCTGTTGTTGACCAGAGTTGAACTTGACCTTCTATGACCCTATATTTTAAGAGTATGCTGTAACCCAGCAGGACTGATGGCGCATCATGAATTCAATCGGTGACAGCTAATCGTTTGCCTTCGTAAAGGCATGACATGTCTCTGTGTTCGGCGTTATCGTCTATTGTTGCCTACTCCCAATAACATCATTTTTGAGAAATTCCACGTCTCTTGCCTCACTAGAAACAAAGATAGTGGGGACAGGGAATATTTTGTTCCCCTGCAAGGCATACCATGTTCACAGGTCTGCTTAGGCACATGATGGCAAAGCTTCCTACAACCACACTAAAGGGTCCTTCAACAGCCGGCGACAGATTTCAAGTAAACACACACCTGGAGGCCTTCACCACATGTTGACCCGAGATGTGCCTCAGCAAACAAACCTGCCAGGTAGTAGGAGACCCACTTCAGGACGACTTCCAGGTCGGCGCCCTGCTGTGGCCGGCTCTTCAGCCACGTCTGGTACTTGACCAACTTCTGCTGCATCTGCTCCATCAGGCCGGGCAGGGCGCCCGTCGGGGGTAGACATGCTGATGCTTGTCAGGTGGATGGTTCAAATGCACTGCAGGAGGTGGACAAGCATGACTATGGCTCAACTTTGGCAGCCATTATACAATGTGAGATGCAACTTTTTCTTCACAACCCAAATTCTCTCCTTGCAATTGCCTAGATTTGAGCCAGGATCTTCTGATTGTGATAAAAGTGCTCCACTGGGTCTCTTCCCTTTGAGACCCTACCCAGTTAGCTCAGTTGGTAGAGCAATGGGTTGAAAATCAGAAGACCCTGGAATGACACACAGCAATTCCAAGGAGACAATTCAGTGGCCCAAGACAAGCATCATTCAGCCCTTCTTGGGACTCCCTAACACCTAGCAATGGTAAGAAATTAGCTACCCAAAACTTGTGTGCATGCTAACATACCTGAGGATGATATCACACACCAATTTTTCAACTTTTTAAGGCCTAATCCAACCTTTCAAATGAATGAATTTATGGGGTTAGGACCCATGCTAGGCAGTGCTTATTGTGCAGGTTCTGACTCTTATCATCCCATTTGAGCATTCAATTTCAGGTAAACAGCAGAATCTGGTGATGAAAGTTTACTGTGCTGCAATGCTTGATGGGGCTACTAACACCAGCCACAGACCATACATGTCAAGGGCAAATAGCTTGAGTCTTAAGCAACTAGAACCCATCCTGCCCTGGGTGGGTGGATCAGAAGACACACACTCTAACCAACTGCACAACCAGGACAGACCCTGGGTCCAACCTGGGTTCAATTTTCTATTTACCTGAAAACTGCTTCATATTAATGAACATGTTCTATATTAATCAGTTAAGGAGGCAAAATTGTGATCACACTGAAATGCAGCATAAGAACCTGCATGGTCATGTTGCATGCAAATGTCCCACAGTTTATTCAGCCAAACTTTGAGATGTTACAGCTTTTCTCAACACTGAAAACTGTGTGAGCCTAAGGTCATCACTGGTTGCAAAGCCACATCTTTAAAAATAATTGTACAGTGTATCCAATCTGCTCCAGCTGAAACATCATCACAGCACAAGTAAGGCTCTGCCTGCAGCATGATTCATAGCAATACATAGCTATCCTTCCCATAGCTTGGATGGTACATTGCCAGGCACTTCACTGGAGCACACCCATGTGTGGGTTTGTGTCCCCGAAAAAATGGTCATGAGAGTTGTCTATGACTAGCAGATAGTGGCTTGCCAGGATGAGGAGTATGTCAGCCAGTGGCAGCCACATCCCATGACATCTGATCATGTGGCATGCTAAAATGTATTGGGAAGAAATCATTCATGGATCTAAAATTTGACAGCTAAGCTGATGGGCTTCAATACCTCTGCAATAAGCAATGCTCGGGAGGGGCACTTTCAAAGTTATTTATAAAAATCCCATTCATAAAAACCAAAAGTTCCAACTTACTGTAATATGACAAAATGGTATTCTCAAGCAACCACAAGTGTCTACTGGTTGCAGCTTGAGAGATGCAACACATCATCAATTTTTCAATGAGACTGCTTCCTAGGCAATAAGTAATTACTTTGAAGGCAGTTAAATAAATCTGCTTACTGCTTGTATAACATATATTTAATGCACATTAATGTTTATGACCTGATTTTCAGTGGTCTTACCAATTGAAATAATGTATGCACATGACAAGCATGCTACCTCCATATAAACAGCTTGGCATGACACAAAATATTCCAGCCTCTGCAATTCAAAGCCATTTGTAAATTGAGATATGCATGTCCAGCTTCTGGAATGAAAATCAAGAATATGGAGCAAAGAACAATGAATGTTACACAGGTGCACAGAGCTCATTGAATTGCCTATGACTACCTCATGTGGTATCATTTTACTTATCTCATCATCACAGACCAAAACTGGTACAAATACACAAGATTCCACCTGCGGTTCGAACCTTAGTCATACCCCATACGGGTATTCACCAGCCACGGACAGTAAATCTGAGGCAGAAAAAAGACCGGTTTTGCTGACGTACATGATTTTCGAGCCACAAGTTCCCGAAATGTGGCGCTCCGTATCTTCAGCTCGCTTAGCGGTTAGAAACCTCGCACCCCATCCAACACTGGCGCGACATCAATGGAGATATAGGTAACTGAGTAGGCAGGTATTGCTTAGAGCCCTGGAATAGCTGTATCAGAGTCCACTTGTCGCTGCTTCGCCAGCTTTGTAAATTCCTGCTGAAAGATTTTTATTTCTGTTTGGTACAGGCGCCATATGGCTGCTACCATCTTGCTAACGTTCACTGATAGCCAATCAGCTTAGAAATTTTAGGCTACCAATCACCACGCTGCGTCTTTCTTGCGGTTGAACAGCAACCATTGGGGTGCTTAAACAGGCTGCTCGAATCGAGCGAACGGAATAAGTGGACCAACCAAACCGAGGGAAGAGGTAAATGTTGAGGCGTTGACTTGGTTAGGATTGAGGTGGAGGGTATTCCTGATTATTGTTATTCCTGTGCTAATTCTATGTTGAGTCTGGCGCTGTGGTGGCGTGTGGTTTGTACGATTTTACCGCACTCAAACTAGCATCAAGCTGTTTATAAGTAGGGCGCATGCCTCTGTCAAATAGGGATACCAATTTGTCTTTGTCGCCCTTCTTTGCATTTACGAGTTTCTTGGCATGAATTTGTGGTAATTTTAATTTTTGTAGGTTATCAGCATTTAGCTAGTCATGTTATATGTGTTTGGCACCCAATTAACAACAGTAACCACAAGTTGCACCATGTTTTCATACCTCGCACACAAGCTACGTAAAACAGGCTAAGAGGAAGATAAGTGCAAAGAGTAGGGCATTCAGAACTGGTTTTCCAGAGCATGTCATTGGTCAGGCTGTTGCCATGACATTAAGCTTGTAATCTATTCACATTCTGATTCCTCATTTGGACTACTCCGCAACTTTTCTTTGTATTGATGTTAAATTCATAGCTATGCAAAAGGACTTGTCTGATTGTGGAAACCTAGTACCAGTAACAGCTCTGAGTAACACTTAAGCAATCCTGTTTTCATTATTGTCAGTGTTCACAGTGATATTAATATTATCCACTTTAGGACTAAGCCATGGACTGTTTGATGTCATGGGACATTCCTTTATCTTTGGTCTAAGGTTGTATGGTATAAAATTATTGAGTGTTGCAAATTTTGTTGATAAACCTTCTTTGAAAAACTCACCTGTCATAATTGAAGCTCACAATGACCAAGTACTAAGTGGTAAAAATAAATGCCTTAGAAGTGGGGTTGTGCTCAGGAGCAAAATTGATGCTGAAAATATCATATGATGAATGAAGTAAGATTTTTTCTGGTGCCTATAAGTAAGGCAAATATGAATGAAGGGGATATCCCTGCCCTGCACTGGTGGCAGCATGAATGATTATTCTTAGTATTGATACCATGTTTTTACACATGCAGGAATATGTAGGAGCCTGTTGCTGTTTGATACCTCAGAGTGTATTTCTGTGTGATATTGGACCTATACCTATACCTGTACCTATACCATATTGCAGGTGTACTGTAAAATTTGGCATTAGGTTTCTTACTCCTGCTAAAAATCATGCCTGCCTTGTGTAGGTACTGGTACATGAAAGGCTCATGGAGTCAACTTCATAAACTCTTTATTGACATCATTATTTGCGTGGGCAGTTTGCCAGATGTTGTGAATGATTTTATGAAACAGCTGCTTTTCCTACACTATATGCATGCTTGGTTGATGTGTGCCCATGGTTTGGTGTAACTTGCATGGAGAGGGGGTTACCCACTGCCTATATTGCACTGCCCATCACTGTGCTGACTGATGCTCTTGGCTTAATGCATTTTACACTGTGATAACTTTTATCCTGTGATGTGATGATGAAGATGAGCAATGGATCTTATCAGTGAATGTGAATATTACACCATCATGACTATGTGATGGCTTTAAACATATGCTGTGAGTGTGCCCTATTTGAGCAGGTGAATCTCATTCCCACAGGTGTGCCATCTGCCATCACTTTCCCATCATTGTGCAGTTATCATCGCCGTGGGGGTCGACGCCAGCCCTCGACACCCACAGATCTGTCATCCGGGCTCATCTGAGCCACCAAAATCCACTGAGCTCCTGCCCAGCCTCAGCTGGACCACCTCTGTGGTTTCCGGGCCTGAGCTAGCGCAGGCCCTCCGGAGCCGGAGGCGCCGCTGACCCGTGACCTCCGCGCCGCCTGGGGCGGTGACCGGGCGCGGCGCGGCGCGGCGCCCCTGATGTCGTCGGCCGCCATGGCGTCCAGCTCGGTCAGCCAGGAGGACGTGGAGAACGACTTCGAGAAGTCGTCGCGCCGCTCGCGGATCCGGATGGCGCGCGGCCGGGACGTGCGCGGCCAGCAGACGGCCGCCGCCAGCAGACTGGGTGAGAGGGCGCCCAGAGCGCCTGCGCTCCCCCCCCCCCCCCCCTCTCCCCCCGGGAGGAGAGCACCGGGATGGGGAGGCTCACGCCTGACATTTTGGCATGCTAAGACCAGATGTGCGTGCGTGCTTGCGTGCGTGTGTGTGTGTGCGTACAGCATGCTGTTAGTATAGCCTGCTTGCTGAGGTCTCTAGGAAAAGACGACGAGATATGCACGTGCCTTTGCATTGAATCAGACTTGTTGTTAAGCAGTGAATATACATAATTTTGTACCACGAGCTCTACCAACCTACATTGATGAATCTACGTGGCGAGTCTCACGTGTGATGATGCATGCTTAGATGTTGCCTCAACGCTGGCTGTGAAGCTCTCCATACCCATGCACCGCTGCATACTAGGCACATTCTTCAAGCCGGCGGGTAAACAGGTGACCAGGACAGTGCTATTGATTGCTCACTCAGGTGCGAACTAGTCGCTGGCACCAATTTTTACCTCACGTGAGCCCAAATTGTGGGCCTTATCCATTATTCCTGGTGGTACCAGTAGATTGACTTACTAGTTCGGAAATGAAGAACGAAAGAAACGGGATCTGTGGTGATGTAGCTCGGGCTTTTATCTCTTACGTGCGGATTTCCGTCATCCGGCGGAGTCAGCCTTAAAAGCCGAGATGGAGACGCGTCGTCCCTGGAGACTCGTCACTGACAAGGTGCAGCACACAACGTGACCTTTGTGCCACCATGTCTGCCAGTGCTCCGAACCGACCTGAGAATCGTTCCGGATGGGGCGGCAACCATCGGCGCGCAGTCTGGCCGCCCCCCCCCCCCCCCGCGCTGCCGCCTGACGCCTGTCGTGTCCGGCCCGCAGCGGCTGAGACGGTGGCCGAGGCGGACGATGCGGTGGAGACGCGGCCGCCGGACGCCGCCGGCTACGCGGGTGACCATGACGCCAGCCCCAAGCCGGCCGGCCGCGCTAAGGACAAGCGCCCCACCAGGTGCGGTGGCGGCGGAGAGGTGCAGGGAGAGGGGTGGTAGGGGTCAGGGTTCTGTCTTGCCGATAGGGGTCTGGGCTCCGTGCCGCGGCTCCACGGGTCTAGCCTGCAGGTCTGCCCTGAAGCACCGTAGGCGAGGGTGTCGGCTGTCGTGGAGTCACACTGGGCAGATCGTTTCTTGATGCTTCGGGTCACATGCGACGCGATATGTTTAGTGACTGCCTCAAGCTTGAAGCCACCTTCGCTGCCGGCTAATGTGTATTCCTTGAGAACGGTGACACGACATCGCTGAGGACGAGTTTGTTTGGAGCAGATAGCTAGTAAAGGCGTTGGCGGGACCGTGCAATGACTCAGGGTATGATGCGGTCCTGGCCAGTGACGCGACGCAGCCTCTCTCGCCGCCCAGCCCGGCGTCACGGACCGCGTCCTCCGCGCGCAGGCCCAGCCACATCAACAAGGGGAAGCAGCAGCGCGACCGCAGGAAGCTGCGCGAGAAGCGGCGCAGCACCGGCGTCGTCCACATGCCCTCCACCGAAGTCAGCGTGAGTCGGATGCGCTCGCGACGGCTGCTCGGGAGGGGCGGGTCCCAGCTGAACAGCCGTGGTGACTCTCCGGGAAGGCCGGGCCCCAACTGAACAGCCGTGGTGACTTCGAGCCCCAACTAACAGCCACAGTGACTCCCCGGGAGGGCCGGTCCCCAACTAAAAAGCCGTGGGGATTCTCCGGGAGGGCCGGGTCCCAACTGAACAACCGTGGTGACTCTCCGGGAGGGCCGGGTCCCAACTGAAAAGCCGTGAGGATTCTCCGGGAGGGCCGGGCCCCAACTGAACAACCGTGGTGACTTCGGGCCCCAACTGAACAGCCGTGGGGACTCTCCGGGAGGGCCTGGCCCCAACTGAACAGCCTTCGGCCATGCTGCTGTATGGAGCAGTCCGTCCCGTGTGGCGTGGATGACGCTCGTTTGTTGGCGGGCAATCGAGTGGTAAGAGTGCGCTGGTGGATCTGATGGCTGATTTATAAACTTCGAATCGAACACAGAGCCGGATTGTTGGGTGTATAGTCGTATCCATGGCATAAACAGAGAGCAGGTACGCGACCGTGCGCTCCTCGCAGCTCCCTCGTCGGTTGATGGCGAAAATCTGGCTTTCGCTGCAGTCGACAGGTGGCAGCACGAACGAGGACGATGAGGAGCTGTCCACGTGCCAGGGCCTATGTGCCGAGACGCGGCGCAACACGCAGCACAACGAGCTGGGCGCCTCTGCGTCGCTGGACCCTGTGGACCGCCACTTTCAGAACCCGCTAAGGAACAAAAGGTACGGAGCTGACCGGGGCTCAAAAGCATGCGAACCTAGTAGGCGATTTGTAAGCATGTTAAGCAGCGCTGTTTAGCACCTATCACAGCGTCTCTAGGTAAGATGGGATCGTGAGTCGTGTCCGCCTCTACCCGAACACTAAGCCTCCTACGTTAGCATGTATTCACGAATTCACGCGCGATCGTGGGTGAAGTGTGGACTGCTGACACGTATCTGTACACCAGCACTGGTAAGAACATGCAGGTCTGAGGCTATATGAAGGATGACATCGGAGCGCAAAAGACATTGTTGTTAAAGCTAATGGCACTTGCCTTTAGATGGACCGCGCAAGTCGTGTTCGTACAAATAACAAATGCGTGTGCCGACTGCCGCTATGCCCGGTAATTCCACGGTATCACCAAACACTGCAGTTTTACCAAATATAGCGATGAATAGTATAAGGACGAAAATGTCAAGTTATTCAATTTCATGCACTTCCTTTGCCTCAGCCCAGAGGCCCGAGTCCGCATGATATACGGAGTCCAAAGGCATGTACGTGACTCGAAAACGCCACCCCTCCGCACGGAGTGGTCCGGGGACATGTCCTGCCTGAGCACGGATGACCTACAGCGCATACTAGGCTGCACGTCCTGGCCAATATTTCATCCTCCCCGCCCTCCACCCACCCCCATGGCGCAGCTGCCGTCCGTGGGGCCTCGCGTTCCGCCGGCCCGCGCGCGGGGCATAGCAAGCAGCTGCTGTGGCCGGGCGAGCGCTCGCCAGACTGCCGTCGACTTAACGCGGCCGGGCCGCTCTCTTCCTCTCTCTCCCTCGCGCGCGTGGGTGGGTGCGCTGCTGCTGCTGGCCCGCCTCGGAACGACGCTGAGACTCCGCTCGGTGCCGGCGCGGCGCGGACACCCCGCAGCGGCGGTCGGGCGCCGCCGGGCCGGCGCTGTTCCATGCGCGACGGAGTGGAAGCGGGACGTGATACGCCGAGGGACGCGTCTGGATCGTTGTTGACGCGAGCTGTCTCTGCGGTCGCCCGCTTCAACGTCCGGTCGGTGGGCCACGACACAACATCCGCCCAGCCGCGTCGAAATGACGCGCGGAGGAGCTGCCTGGGAGTCGTTCCCGGTCCGCGCGAGATGACGAGACGCTTACTGGGACGGCGCGGGCCGGCGTTATTGCCCGGCTGGCCGCGGGAGGACGGCCGACCGCGCCGGATGCATAAGCGAGGGCCGGCCGGCGGCGGCCCATTCTGGCTGATTGGCCGCGCGCCGCGCGCCACCTGGCCGCCGCCGGGGGGCCGGCTGTCCGGTGGCACCGGCCCCATCGCCGCCTGGGGACCGCCGAGGCGGCGGCGGCTGCTGCTGCTGCCCGGCCGGCCCGAATACAGAGGCGGCTGGCCAGGAACAGGTGCGGAGCCGACAAACGTCGCCGCGGGACGCGGAGAGGCGGCGCGCAGGTGTTCACCGCCACGGCCTTCTCGTCCCGACTTCCACCGCTTCCGAGGATGCTCTTGTATTTATTATGGCGTCTGAGACGTACGTTTAGCACTATTGCACGAGAGATACTTAAACATGGAATAATGCATAAGAGGGGCCCAGGCTGTACTGCGTCGCGTTTAACGATTAAAGCCATTACCACACTGGTCCGCCGCGATCTGCTGAAGCCATGAAGGTCACGACCTACCCGTTGCACTGGGGTGCCCCGAAACTCAGTCGACAGAAGTCGCACACCCACACCCACACAAATGTGGATCACAACGTCTTCCTGTCAGCTGCGATACCCCGTGGAAGGTCGCTTAACTGCACGTTAGTGGCTGCGCTTTATGGCATTTGATCGCTGCCAACACCGACTGCGTGAAATGCCCCCGTTTGAAACGTGCTGGCACCCATGCCTGGGGCTCTGGTGACGCACGCCGGCGCGCGCGGCCCGGGACCGTTGGGACCGAGGACGCTCTCTGGGCCGCGCTGGGCAGCAGCGCTAACCAGGTCCAATATCGAAGCCCATTATAGGTACAAACACACAACACACACAATGATGCCAACAGCACCAAGGGCGCAACAATGCAGCGCGGCACAATTGTCGACAGCGGCGCTCGCAGTGCTGCGATCAAGACACAATCGCTGGGACGCATTTGTTCTGCCGTTCCTGCGTCATAGCGGTCGCGTATGAATGGATCGGTCATATGTGCGCACATATTGCCGTTAGATTGCCATTTCTGTCCGAATAGCCTTGCTTCAGCTCAGTTATTGTGTGCTTGAAGCACGGCATGAGTTCGCCAAAAGCTGGCGGCGCGCTGTGCGCCAGGTAGCCTGCACAACGCTCACGCGCCATAGGCTTGCGTTGGGCCGGTACGAGAGGCCCAGGGTCCGCCCAGTCCCGCCGAAGGCCCGCTCAGTGTTGTCCAGGGTCCGCCCAGCTGTCCAGGATTCGCTCAACCATGTCCGAGTCCCCTCCGGGCCCCTCAGCCACACTCCAGGTTCCCTCAACCATACTCTAGGCCCGTCAACGACGCTCCGGGCCCCTCAACCACGCTTCGGGCCCCTCAACTACGCTCTGGGCCCCTCAACCGCGCTCTGGGTCCGCTCAGCCCTTTCCAGGGCACGCTCAGCCCTGTCCAGGGCCCGCTCAGCCCTGTCTCAAGTTCGTCCAGCCCGTCCCGTTCTCTGGACTGCATTCGCTCCCGTCCAGTCCGTCAACACATTCGGTGCTGTGTACGCGGACGCTGATGCTGTTCCCCAGAGCCTGGGAGCAGTCTCGAGCCTTCATCACCGCTTGTGATCCGTTTATCGGGCAGCCGCGCGCGTCGCGTGATCCGTTCATCGCGGCCAACCGTGATCCGTTCATCGGTGTCGCCGGAGTAACGCAATTAGTGGCAGAGGTCTGGTGGCGGGGCCCCGTCCTCGGCGCCGATCTCAGCAAAAACGGGGCCTCCCCGGGGGCGCGAGCAGGGCCGGTCGAGCATGCGAGGCTGGGGGCCCGGCGGTTCGTGAGCTGAGCAAACAGCCAGCTTAGGGCAAGGGGCGATTGGGGCGCCATTTTCGTTCCTAGTCGTTTGTGGCAGTGGACACCCGTGGTACGTGTTCCTGAGTTGCAGCGTTAGCTTTGCCATTCAGCGCATTTCGAGACCATTAACTCACTCCGCACTTTGTACACTTGAACACTCCACCTGTATCGAAAGTACTGCGTAGCGGCGGCAAGAGTTTAAACTCGACACGTCTGGTTGGGAATGCTCTGCTAACTCGGCCGGCAGCCCGACGGCGACGCGCGAAGCTGATACATAAGTCATGCGGCGGCGGCAGCAGAGCGACGAACGCGGCGTGCGCCACGCGGCGGTGTCATCCACGGCTCTCCGTCGTGGAGGTGTCTCTTCGGACGGAACTCGAGGTTGCCGATGGGGTGGTAGCCGGCACTTGAGTTTCGCAATATGTGCCGATAAGACGGTCAGAAACGGTGATGTATGGCGTGAGGCAGTCACAAACAAAGCTCCATTGAGTGAGGCCAACAGTTGGTTCAAGTGACTCGCAAAAGGTACAGCCATTTTCTGGTAAGACCACCTTTTGCAGGGTTTCACAAAAAACAAGCTGTTGGTCGATTCGGGAAAGAAAAACAACGCAGCGACCGTAAAACGACTGTAAAGAACTAGAAGTACCGCGGCACGGCTTCCCTCTGCCAGAAGATGCGGACGACCGCAGGAATTGTGAAATGATATGAGACAAACAAATCAGCTTGAGACCCAGGCCAAGCTGGCCAAGGCCATGCTCAGCCGAGCATCGGACCGCGCCACAATAGGCGACATGGCCTGTACCAGCAGTCGATTGGCCTGACATGTGGGTCGGATTCTGACGCCTGTGTGCTTGCGGTGAGACAGTGACAGGACAAGAACTTGAATGGGTTTGAGCCAGTGGCATACCTATGACATCTGGACACTTGCATAGGGTGATGTTTTCCATATAAGGGTACCATTGGGTCTCTGTCATATTTAACCAACAAGTGCTCGCGCTGCGAACTCATCTCCACGTGATCGACCCCAGACGGCGCCTATCAGCACGCACCACACAAAGCCGTCGGCCGTTTCCCAGGTGACGTCACCCTGCGTGTCGTCCCAGCTGGTGTAACTGTCCGTGACGCTCCAAATGTCCGGCCCGCGGAGGGCACCGCATAGCCGGCTTCTCGCGAGGCGGCGGCCACGGGTCAGCTCGCGGCGGCCGCCCGCCCCAGCGGCCCGGTCCCGGGCGTCCAGGGCGGGCTCGGACCGGACGGAAGCGGTCACGGGGGCCGCGCCGCCGCCGACTGGCCGGCGCCGGCCCTGTGACGTCACCCGCGCCTGGTCAGAACTGTGACGTCACCCGCGCGCAGGCGTGTGACTCCCAGCGTGACCCGTGTGATGTGACGCCGGCCGTGTCTACAGACGGCGAGACATAGCAGCTTGGTTTACTCTGCGTTACAATTTGAACTTGACGTCGTGAACGGTGGCGACATGAAGCCGATGGTGTTTCACTGGAAACGGTATTCCAGACTGGATTGAAGAGTAGATCAATGCTAAATTAATGCTTGGATCCGTTGACAAAAAACGCGTTTTATTTTTTGTTTTGGGAAAGAAAAATATGTTTTTGTAAGGCGCCGTCAGCGTTGTGTCATCACGGCTGTGGTTTCCTTGGAGTGGACAGAAAATTCCGAGTATCAAAAGCTGAAACTGCGCCCTCAAATCCCGAACTCTCGAAACGTTGCCATATTTGTGCCCCGTGTGACGGTAGATTGGTGCTAGCGAGGGAGGCAGCCAATCCTGATGCACCACAGCGCCTTTCGAGTCCCCTTCCCTGAAACCGGCCGGGTGGCCGACCTTCGAGTCAATAGGAGCATCCTGAGATGGGGCGGGCAACGGCATGTGCAAACGCGCTTGCTCACTGGCGGACACAAACAGTCTGGCAGATAAAGGCGGAGAGGAGAGGTAGCACTCTGCAGCTTGCAACTGGGTTACACCTGGGACGCCCACATTGGCCGTCTCCATGGCA